CATTAAATGTCTTAAAATTAGATATGGTTTAAATATCATATATAAGTGTAAATAGTCCACTGTAAGAAATTCATAACATGACATTATATCGCTTGACCAGTTTGCCAATAGAAAACAAATTGCTGAAGTAATATAATATGAATACATTTATTGTGAGAAATATGAAAGTCTGTTGCCATAATAATGTGTTCACTGTCTAATAAAATACATTGACATCATCTTCTTCGTTCATGTTCACTGGAGAGGAATTGCTGCAGCTGGTACCCCTACACTCACCACAGGCCGCAGAACACTCCCATCTTCCTGCATGCGCATTTTCGTGAACTGCAGTCACTTTCACAGTGGCAATGAACAACCTTCAGCAGTGCCTGTGGTGCTGGTGGTAGGTGTGTTGTTGTGGGGTTCAGTCGACCCTCTACCAGACTCCATCCCGGTTTGGATATAGTGCAGGCTGACCTATCCATTCCTGTACCTGGTAATAGACACTCATGCTGTGATACCTAGCAGCTGCAGCAGTGGGTGGGAGAGTATGTAACTGGACTGGAGAAGTACTTGTTGACACCTTCTCACAGAACTTGTGGTATCGCAGCTTATCAAGACCTTCGTTTGGTTGCCCACCATACAAACATACAACTGCTTCTTCACCAGCGTTTTGTCCCTCATCCTTGGTTGAAACTTCAGAAAATACACGAGCTTGCTCCCTAAATATCTGTTTAGACTTTAACTTTCGAAGTGGAACGCCCTTGCCAATACCAAACAGAGGAGAATGTTGTGTCACGACCAGCAATGGCATGTACAAATGGCAGTAGGGTACACATTTCTGGCCCTACGGACCGCTGGAACCAGTGAATGTCCCAGACTCGGAACTTCTTTCCCTTCTTCTTGTCAGACTGCAGATAGAGTGCCTCCGATTCTGGATTAGTACTGAAAATGAGAAGAATTAACAGGTCGGTGTCTTCTCCTATAACTGTGGTGGAACATTCATTTGCACACTCCACTGCTGTTTTGGCAATGAGAACATCAGCATCACCTTCTGCTTGTAGAACATGACAGCCAGCAGACACCAGTTTCTGGGAAAGCATGTTCACAAACTCCTGTTTGTTGGATGCATTCGTCAAGAACTGTTCCTTCTTGGTGGTGAAAGGGGTATCGTGATTGAAGTTAACCTTTACTCCAGCTGCACCACGAGACCGTCGAGCGTGTGTTATGTCTTTTGTAGATGGTCCTGCCATGTAGCCATCAAACACAATAGTAGGCTGTTGAAATTTCCTGACAAAGTCCACATACATGATGCAGATAGAATCAAATGTTGCACCTCTGGGCCATGGCAGTCGATGTAGCAGTGATCCACCATCAAATACATACTGCATTTGATGTGTCAGAGGTTGTGCAGCATGCATGTCAACTCCTTAAGCCATATTCCAGATAGGATCTGCTAGTATTGATTTTTTTAGCTTCGCGAGGTAGTCCAGATTGTTCAAACAGAGCTTATGGTTGGTTGCACAGCTCATACCGTACAATGAATACGTCACTCATATTCTCAGAGTTCTCACGTGCAACAGTTAGCAGACGCTGGAAGAGTAGCTGTGAGTCTACTGGTACGGATTGTCCATCTACTTTAGCACATGATTTGCTATCCATTGTGACCACCGTGTCCTTCTTCTTGAACGTAAAGTCACCCACATTTTGCCCAGCCATGGATTGTAGGATCTTGCAGCCCATTTCTCTGGCTCGTTCAGCATTCACAGTACTGCTGGCTTTAACCTCGGTAGCAATGTTAGAAAAATATTAATCACTTAATATTTAAATATTAATATTATTAAATCAGGGACTGCTCGTATTGCTTATGTCAAAAAGTAAAGATATTTAAACAATTTCTGATACCTACTCATCGTCATTCTCTTCTAGATGCACAGCTATACTTTCAAGAATGCACTCTCTCGTAAGTTGTCTACTGGTAGACCTTTCAGCTCAGATTTCCCATCAGTGCCGGACAGGTATTGTACAGGAATCTGCTTCCCTGTCCTGAAGTTTATGCTACAGACTTGATGGTAAACAGCATCTGATGCATGCATCTTGGGCATATTCCATTCTGCCTTGAACATTTTGAGCCCAGTCATCTTTGCGCTTTTTACAAACACTTTCCACAGTCTCTTTAAAGTTCTCACTGGAAAGCTTAACACAGTTAGTTCCATCATCGTGTGATCTTTTTTTACCTTGACGTTCCACTGGCTGAGTACAAAACAAGCAGTGTTCTTGAAAGCTGAAGGAAGTACCTTGTGAGCGCAACTGCCGGTTTCGTGTAGATGAGATAATGGGATTTTCTTTTTCTCTCAGGTATTTGCTGATGTGATGTTTATTGCAGTATTTTTGGCGGCATTCGATATGAACTGACTGTCCAGAAAGTGTTTCAATGTTGTCACCACGTTGTTCACTTGCCAGATTAATGCTAGTACGGTACTGCCTTTTTGACGAAGAGTCACTGTAGGCTGATCATCTGACAAAGAACCCCGACATAACACACAAATATAACAGTCCATGTTGAAGGTTTACATATTTTCCAATGGTTTCAATCTGACCTCTGTAGATATAAAGATGGATTCACTAAAACGTAGGTCTCAGATAAGAGAGTCACACTAAGTTAACACAATTTAATGTCTTCACACATTAGGTCCAATCGTCCAAGATTTCCCTGCTCTAACTTTACTCTAAAGTAGGGCGCCATAGCTAATTTTAATGGCATTGCAGTACCCTCCTAACCATCAAAAAAGCACATACAAACAAGTATTTGTAATGGTTTTGTAGCTGAAGGTGCCTTCAGGTGTAGAGTATTTGCATTAGTGTGGAGTGAGCTAGGAGACCTTTTCAGAGCTAAACTGTAGGCTAGAGCAAAATTCCACCTTTTAGTGCAAAATAACATATAAACAATGTGAAAAAATATTTACATTTTATTTTCAATATAAATTGTTTTATTGATGGTGCATTTAATAACATAACGAAAATGTAATCTGTTCAAATAACATAGTAAAACAATTAAACTGGATACATTTTTAATCCACTCAAATTCGACCCCAAAGAATAGAAATAACACAATTTTAAATGACCGATTTGAACATCTTCCCCCACTTAGATTTTCTTACATTTTTTGGTGGAAGTACTACACTATGTGTAGATAATATCCCCACAAAAAGAAATTCTGTTGCAATTTTTTCTAGGTCCATCCTTTTTTATACACAGAATGACCGGACTATATCCTGGTCGTCTAACTTGGCTGGATGAGTCATCTGAGTACGGCAGTCCCTGAGAACCAGCCTCGACTATGGTCTTGTCACCGGCTCAGCCTTCCACCCTGGACTATCGTTTATGCAAGTTGAATGACTATAAATTTTGACCAGCGTGACTGGACGGTTCTACTGAGCGACGACCGTTGGTTTTAATTAAAGATTTCCAGCTGTCCACCAGTACTGTGCTCCTCTGCTAACTTCTAATCTGTTTACCTGAGAAATGTTCAACCTTCGTGCGGCCTACAACTTTACCCACGTGTAGGTGACTTCATGAAAAAGCGTTCTCGCTTATCGCCAGTCATATTTAATTGAGGATTCATTATTTTACATTTCATTTGAATATTTATTACAAGATGCACCTGCATTTCCATCCTCTGTGACCTTTTACAATAGAATTTTTGATGACTGACAATTTGGTATCAGTTCTCTTGCGTTTTCACTATCCCGTTGGCTAGCCTATATGTGTTGCCCGCTCTCCAGCAACAACGGAACCATGAAATTTATTAAATAAAAGTAATTCTTACGTTTGATCTATGGTGTAAAAAATCGCTCCATTTCTGGCAATGGTCTTGATTATTTCAGGGTATTGTCTTGAATTTTATTGTGAAATTTAATGGTTTGCGTCGTGTTCGTAAGCGAGTTTACTTACATAGCAAAGTACAAAATTTTACAAATCACTAAGAATTTACGGATAATTTTTTAAATGAAATTGTATTCCAGAACTGATATCGGACATAATTTCATCCTCTCTGTACCGAAAGCTCTTTCAACAAATAAGTTTGACGTTACACTTGCTAAGGGTTGAGCTGGAATAATCGTCTGAATCAATTATCACGCCAAGTAAGTCAGCAATAAAAGTGAGTGGAGGAGGCGGGACCTGCAAGAAGCGGTTGACCTTGAGACGACAAGACGATTTTTTGAGCTTTTATACCACACATAATACCCATGTATTTGAAATAATCTACTAAAGAATGAATCATCTAAAACAATTTCCCTTGAAGTAAATCCAGTTAACATCATTTCATAGAATGTTCAAGTGGCGGTTTGCTTTCCAATAAACGCACCCAAACCTGTATGGTTACAGACCATTTGTTTGGGTGTAGCGCATGCAGTGCTATCCATGCTTATAGCTTCACCAGAAGATTTCCACGCATTTTCAGAGCACCTTACCTACAAGGCACTGACCACAGTCACATTCAAGTGTCCTGCGACGCAAGGTGTCCGTGTGCCTCTTTATATGTTTTTTTTAATGTTTTATGCATAATGTGATGAACAGAAAAGAGACTGTAATAACTACGGGAATGAATATTTAAACAGTGAATTTTAGTAAACTAGATAAAATGATTTGGGTTTGTAATTATTTCAGAGGAGAGCAATGTAGACGATGCGCTTGGCAATAATGATCTTAGACCTTCTTTCTCATTAAGCTTGTTCGTATAGTTCAAACCTTTCAAATAAATCGAACTACTCAATTGAACACTTCAATCTTTCCGTGGAAAAACAGCATTGTTCAATTGCACGTTATAGAATAGACATTTTTTAAGAAATCAAAGCAATTTTGGAATGGTTTATTCCCAAATCATTATTATGTAATTTATTATTATGAATTTGAAGCTAATAATCGTTTTTGGAAGCATCGGAATTTCTCTTTACTATCTCGAATGAATTTTGGTGAAATCATAATGAAATAATTTATTCTTCGATTATGAGCAGACAAACTATCCTCTTTATAACTTCATTGTGAAATTCATATAGTTTTTAGCCTGGCTAAGTGCACAACATGGCACCTAGCGTGAGTGCCAGATCGTCGCAGAATTTTGCTTGCCTTGCGAGCGACGGCCGGAAGAATCCAACTCCAGGGTTTCGTGTCGACTGCCCGACAGGTCGGGAAGATGGAATTAAGAGCAAGACGGGCGATGCTTGGATCGCTGGGAAACGGATTGATGATGACATAGGAAGCCTGTGGAGGATTCACGACAAGCTCTACGACCTCACCAACTTCATTGCAAAACATCCAGGAGGTACTGAGCTAAATTATGGAATTGATACTCGGTCCACATGTTGATGCAAATGCAATAATTTCAAGCCAAAAACTGCCCAAATTATTCAAACGAAAATTAGAATAACTATTATTTATAAAAATTTGAATGTAGAATATTCTTAGAAAATACCGCGAATAGTTCATAGTCCGAGGTTAATTATAAACTAAGTCGATTAAAAAGATTTTATTAACCAGTTATAAGGTAGCTAGCCAAGCACACATTTCTTAGTGATCACGTGCCTGCGTAGAGAGAAACGTAAAGTTTTTTTGCAACATAATTTGGCCGTAGCATAAGCTGCATTTTTTTCTAGTACATAAAGGAACTTCAACAGCAGGACACATGAACTTCTCTCGTACTTGTAAGAGTATGCAGAAACATTTCTCAATCGGACGATGTGATCATTAGATATTTTTTTTTACCACGGTATCTCGTTGAAAGTTTTAGTCTTTAAAAGAAAAGTATATTTTTGTTTACCTTATAAAATAATTAATTTAAAGAGTGAGAATTAACTGCGACATATTCGTTATCAACGTAAATTGCCCTTCTTAGGAGGGCATAGACATTAAATCTGTATTATAAAGATTCATTACAAGCCCGTATGCCTCGGTTTAAAATTTAAACGAAACAATTCAATGATCTAACTCATGTAGGTATTTATTATAATTATTATAATCAACTCCTCTTTAAGTGCACATTTTTACTCTGAACCAATCTTTACTGACTAACATAAAATAATTTGGCAATGATTTGTAACAGTAGCCGCGCTTCACTCAGTTGTGCCATGCAGTGTCGCACTATTTGATTACAACAATAACTTCGTCCGTTGATTATTAGGACATTACGAAAAGTAAATTGATATTATTGCTTCGTATAAGCGGTTAAAAATGAGGAGTGGAGGTATCTAGTGGTGACTGTATGCAGCCTGCAAGTGGTTATCGATCTCAAAAAAAAAAAAGAATTATTTTATATCGAAAATTATTATTAAATATAAAAGAATATAAATTTTAAAAGAATTTTATTAAAAATATAAAAGAATTATTTTATATCAAGAGTATTAAGTTCTATTACGAGAGCTTGATGCAAGTAAACCATCCATCAATCATGACGAGCAGTAAATAACAAAATAGTTACTTACAATTGACAGATAATTTACCACAGCTTCAAGTCTTAAATTCCTTCCATTCCATCGACTGGGAGGATTTATATATATTTTTAACGCAGTATTTGTAGATTTTTAGAAAATACATCGTTCGCGCAGGTCGGTTTTGGCTGGAGACGACGCGCGGCACGGACATCACGGAGGCGTTTGAGTCTGCCCACGTCAACCCCGCCGTGGCGAAAATGTTGCCCAAGTTCTACGTGAGGGAAGCAACCAACAAGAGAAACTCCCCCTACACTTTCCATGAGGACGGCTTCTATAAAACTCTGCAGAGGAAGGTCATTGCAGGCAATGGGGGAATTGATGGACTGCCAACGCTTATTCAAACATTGCTATTGTAATTGTTTGGTATGAATTTATGGTTTTTTGTTGTTTACAAACACTTCCTACTCTCTTATTGCCGATCGACAACATCAGTTACCTTCGAATAAGCAAATAATTTTAGCGAATGATTCTCCTATGTTTTTCTCCAGCGAATGATAATGTTGGGAAAACCCGCGATGACGTAAAGTCGCGGTAGGTGAAGCACGATGCTATATTTTTCTGTATTTCTGTAGACACATCAAAAACTGCCGCAGGTATGGCCCATCCTGAAGAAGATTGGAACAGGACCCAACCTGAAGATCAGGCTCCTCATGGACTCCTACGTAGCCATCTTCTTGGCACTGCTGGTGACAGCGTCGCTGTATCACTCTTACCTAGCGGCCTGCGGTGCCGGTGAGACAATGTGTGAAAATAATAAAAACTAAAAAACTTGTTCGAAGCACGGACGAAAATAACGAGGCCTTAATACGATTTAAACTCCGTCCATAATATAATTTGTGGTAGACATATATTGATTTTTTTAATGAGTTTTTATTTTTTAATTTACAACTTTAATAGTAAACGAAATTAGCCCCGATGACCACCAGATCAGTTAGGGAAATCAAGCTGTTTGGTAATGTGATTAAATCTGACAATTTTAACAAAGGATCTTTCCTAAGGTGTGGTATTGTGGATGATTTGTGCGTTGTCGCACAACTTCTTTCACCAAGCAGACAACTTCCGGATGTACTACTTTGACTTGTCACTGATGGCTTCCGCTGAGTGGCGGATCACGCATGGACTGTCGCATCACTTGTTCACCAACACGCTCTACGACTTCGAGATATCTGTCCTGGAACCAGCAATGCGCTTCTTACCAGATCCTCACAAGCACATCATGAACAAATACGTGTCACCTGTAGCCTGCCACTTAGTGTTATTGTTCGCATTCTTCGTCAATGGATTCAAAAGGATCGCTGCTATAATCATGGGTACTCATAAGCTAGTGTGGGCCAACGCACTACCGCTGGTAGAGTGCGCGCTCATGATGCTCGTCTCCGGGAGTGTTCAGACCGGCTTCAGGTGTGTAATTCGCGTCTATTAAACAAATCCTAAGTTTATAGTTACTCAGCACAATCCAAGTCATGCTATTATACTAACCGAGAACTAACCACATGATTATGGTGAATAATTTTACGGCACATAGAAGCAGAAAAAGCTACTTGTGGAGACTATACTCATTATTTATCACCCAGGAAGAATGCTTCAAATATCGTAAGAAACAAATGTAGTCCTCCGTTGATAAATGACTTCCGCGTAGCTAATGACAATAAATTTTTGAAGGCTGTACACTTTAGCTCATGATTAGTCAACTTATTTACATGACGCCTCAAGTGCTCTCGATATACTAATAATTTTGCTATAGTTTTAGTTTTGCTTGGCGACACATTCGTTCTTCTGTGTTGCTATTCGTTATAGCATCCAGCTCATTTCTAATGAATGGAATAATTTTTAAGTGGCGGCAAGTTCACGTTTTGCTGAAATCATTTATAGATACCGACGAGTTTTGTTCACAGCTTGTGGATGGCGATGGTGTTCTCATCAAGCTTTTGCTTCTCATGGATCGGTGTTGTGGCCGCTCACCACCACCCTGAGATCTACCACGCCTACGATACCTTCAGGAGCGACCCTGACTGGGGGCTGTGCCAGTTAGACGCCGTGCGGGACAAGTAAGCAACTTATCCTGTTAAAAAATCTAGGACGTTTCTCACTTTTGAAGCAAGAGAGTATATGTATGAGTATGGCAGGAATTCCACGCAATGAATCATGTGGGAGCTATTTTTAGCGCAATTGAACGACGGGAATTTGTTGTCTATAAACATACATTGTTACACGAAGCATTCCTAGAATCTGTGTAAAACAATCGGGTTGCGATGACTTCCAAATTTTCGTACATTCTACAGAGTTGAAGTGACTGGATCCCTTTTCCTGACATCAATTTCTTTTGGAGATCACACTCTTCATCACCTCTTCCCAACCGTCGATGCTTCGAAGCTGCCTCATTTGTACCCTGTATTCCTCGAGACATGCAAGGAATTTAACGTGAATTTCAGTTTTTTGCCCGCGAAGCAACTGGTTTGCGGGATGTACACGCAGCTGTGCTCCAATAAACCTAACCCTGAACCTCCGCGCTTCCCGCGAGATCAACCACTTCTGCCTGAAGTTATTCGCAATATGATGGAAGAGGATAAGGATACCAAGTATCAGAAAGAAAAATGAGGCTCGCAAGATGAAGGAGTGTAATGATGGTGAAAAAAGTTAGAAAGAATCAAGTTAGGCATTAATCCCTCAATGTGATTAGGATGTGCTCATGACACATTCTAATCAATGTGTCGGTGTAATTAGGACATGTTTCGGTGAAAAGTGAAAAAAAAACGAGTGAAAACATGCGTTGTGCAATAATTAGTACATTAAATGGTAGTAGTGAAAATTATATTATACGAGAGTCAGAAGGTATCATCAATTATTCGATAGGTTTTTATGGCTCATTAATTGTTATAGGTTGCGAGAGTATACCTGCGAAAATGATGCGGTAATTTTTGTGCAAATTATTCGCATATCAATGCCGTTAAGTTGAACTTAATGTCATTAACTGGAAAATGATTTTAACGATTAGGAAAACTGTTCCGTCTAAAATGATTTTTAAGAAGTAGGAAAACAGTTCCTTCTAAAATTAAGTAAGAAAACTTTTCCGTCTAAAATCGCACCCATTGCAGACTGTAATGTAATGAGCAGCAAACCACAACCTGTAGTGCGTGCATCACTTGTGATACTCGTGATACTTCGAGGTGGGACGCGCCCACAAATTCGTATTCACGGATGATGAAATTAGTGAATTATTTTTCGTTTTACAAAAATATCTAATTCCCAACAAAAATGATCCGGCAACCATGTGCGACTGTTGCCACACTCTTCTTAAAGTTAAATTCAAACGCGAAAAATTATAAATAATATTGGTACAAAATTTTGAAATGTAACAATGTTTATGAAATGGCGCCGGCGGCGCAGGTTTGGAGCAGCGGTCTCTGATAAATTTGGTTTGATGTGTATAAATTTTTGCTCTGAATTATCTTCAGGATGAGTAAAAAGTACTTAAAGTTAAGTCAAATATACTTTTTACACTTTGACGTTGCCACCTAAGATATGTTGGCCTTGGTCGCAAGAGGTCTGATGCCTACAAGCTCCAGTCAGATAAAACCGTTCACGCTGACTGTGCTTCTTACACAGCGAACATTCTACTAGGCAACAAAATCGATTATTTATTACCGTATTGTATCTTCTAACTTGCATATGACATATAATAAACCTTGTAAAGGACTTTCTCGTTGACTAGTCCTTTGGGAACGTTTGCTGAACTATTCAAAGACGCGCCATCATGGCAGGATACAGAACGAGTATTCCATGATGTACGGTTTCTAGAAAGAAAATTACAAGAAAATACATAAGACAAACATACAAAGAATGATTCATGATATATGCAAGAAATGACAATGTGTGAACAAAGATAAATCAATAAATATGAAACGGTATAATCAATAATTCAAGTAATCAAATCTAACTGACCGAATATAGCTTGGAACCTCGGGTACTTACTATACATGCATCTAGGGTCCAACACTGAATGCTTTGACGCATCAGAAATAAACTACGACTAGTAGACTAATTCTACATCTGCAAATTCAAGAGAAATTGAAAATTGCGGCTACAAGCCTTATTACTTATCTAAGGACTTATGGGTTTATTAACAAGAGCCCAGAAATATCTCGTACAATTCCGATTTTCACAATTCATATTTTGATTATATTAGTGAAAGGGTGGGTTATGAGAGTCCAGAGGTATATGATATTTTTGATCGAGCGCGTATCATATTTTCCAGAGCTGGGCAGCGCTACTTTGAAATATAGGAGCGCTACCGCTACCGCTACATGCTCTAATTGTAGCGGGCGCTACCGCTACATCCGCTAGATTGTAGCGAGCGCTACCGCTACAGTACAAGGTAGCGCCGCTACATTAGCCGCTCCAATGGCCAAATTTATTGAAAATCTCTAAATATTTATTGTTCTGCTATTGGGATTTACTCATAAACATTTAATGTTAATAAACATTTTCAAAACATATCAATGCAACTTTATCGCAATTAACCTAACCGAGCTAGTACGGGTTAGATACAGTAAATAAAAGTTACAGTTACTTTTATGTTTTACCTTCCCTACATGTATGTCTACTTTAATCTACCAAACTCAAAAATTATCCACATAAACATGTAAAAAATCAATCTTTTATTTGTATATATATGTATGTGGATTATTTTTGAGATTGGTAGATTAAAGTAGACATCCATGTAGGGAAGGTGAAACATGAAAATAACTGTGTAAAAATAACTGTGAGCAAACTGAAACATGAAAAAATACCTGTAAGTGGTTACTGTTAACAAATTAACAAGTAACAACTAACATGTTGACACTAGTAACAGGATGAGGTTGACAACATTACACCGAAATCTTTCGTACAGTTTTATTCTGTAATTTATATTATGTACGTATCATGCTGGTTTTTAAATAATATTTAATACTATTAAGTAAAATTTAAAGGCTTTATCTATAAATGTAGCGGTAACGCTGTAGCGGCAAAAACCTCGTATCTCTACTTAAATATGTAGCGGGCGCTACCGCTACCGCTACAATTGCTTAAATGTAGCACCGCTACCGCTACTGAAAATGTAACGGCCGCTACATGTAGCGCGCTACTGCCCACCTCTGATATTTTTTGGCAGTAGTTCTGACTTCTGTGATGTGACGGAATGTTAGATCAGACTAAATTACTTTCTCGTTTATTTTTAGTTGTCTTATTAGTTCCCCCCGATGAAATTTTGAACTTCGTCAGTCAATGACGAAATTTATTTCATTCGCGCAGTTTTCTACGATATTATTGACTGATGTCACATCATTCAAGGAATCATTTACGATATTATTGACTTGACTCGAGAAAATAGAGTAACTTGCTCTGCATCAAATTGCAACAAACAACTTCGTTATCGCAAGATTAGCATCTGGTTCTTGATAAGGCGTACAAGGTTGGTGCATTATTTTCATCCGTCGTATGCAGGTTATTTCTAGGCGAGCGCCGCAAGTAGATATCAAGTTAATTATTATAGTGAATTCAAAAATTAAGAAAAATCTAATTAACGGGTTGAATATTAAATTATATTTTTGAGTATACACTATTCATTAACGTACTTCTCGTTAATGAAGCAGTTATCGAATCTTTTCCAGTAAACGTTTGGGACCTTCAAGAAAATTCAGCAAAATGATGTCATGTTCAAAATCTACCTAACATTTGGGTGCTGTTTATCATGACTGACTAGATTCATTTTCGCTTGACCTGACGTGCATAAATTTAGAAAATGGACATATGGGAACATGGCTAAATACTTATTCAAATTGCGCACATGTGAACCTCTCCATAACACTGTACAGTACACAAGGCTCAAGCAATGAGCTACCAACTCGATGTCCTAAGAAGGGACATTTGATCGGTATGCCTTACATGCTGCCTCTCAGTCCTTAACAGAGCCTTGCTGTGGTCGTTGCATACCGACATTCGGGCCTTCCAACGCTAGTGTTAATTGAAACTGTGAAATGAGAATTATGAGAGTGTTTCATAGAACATTTTTTTTCATCGAAATATAGGTTATGAGTATAAGAGCATTAGTGCACAGTAGTTGTGGAGGAGACTATATGAATTATGCTAACTAGGCTTGCAACGTTTTTGCAAGCCTTGCATTTGAACCAAATTGCAGATGGAGAAATGAAACTCCTATGAACCAAATTGCAGATGGAAAAATGTTCAAATGAGATATTTTTAAGATAGAAACAAGAAAATGCTTGTCCCCTAATGATAAGCAGTACGAATAATATGTGAATTGGTTATTCAATATTTATGCTGAACCTATTTGCAAAATTAAATTGAAATATATATCTGTAATTAAAGAAACAAATATCTAATAAGTTTTATTGTAAGTTTTGAAAGTTTCAGTGAAAATGTATTGGAGACCAACATCAGTTCAAAAATTTGAATACCACTATTGCAATAAAGAGAACAATAGCCATATTTACACAGATTCAAGCATGACTAGCGAATAAAATGCCGAAAGAACAGAATAATTTATCGATCAACAATTTAATGCTAATAAAAACTAAGAGCGATTAAAGTTTCAGGATACCTTCCAGACAATGCCTTCTTAATTTGACTAAACAAAAAGTTCGACGGATAATTGAGGAGTCGAATAATTGAGGAATGAATTCAAATTCCAAATGCCTTATACTGCCTAGCAAGTAATGTGCAGCAAATTCTATTGCCGCGGGACGTATTTATTATGTTCGATCTCTGTTCGTTGAACAGAAGCTAAAAAAGCTCGTGCCCAAACCAGCGAACTTCGATACAAGGATGTTTGAAATGATCATTAAATTTAGTTCTTTTACAATGAAGCAACGACGAACTCTAGTTGGCTTACATCTAAAGTACGCTTTTTAAAAAAATTAGTTGTTAACCGTCAAAAAAAGCCCCGTAAATGGGCGATGCTTTAGAAATTTGAAATTTTTTCTTCATCATATCTACTATTAAATATAAGGGGACAATTATTAAAATCAAGAGGGCAGCTGTTCAGCCCGCAACCTCGTAATAAAACATGAAAATTTTCGGAATGACAATGGGAGGGACTGAAGAGAAGTTACTAACTCTACAGCTTTTGACGTTGAATTAATGTTTATCAGACGTTGTTCCAACGAAACATACCCGTAATTAACGATGTTTCAACGTCATTTGCCTGAAGAGTAAGCTATCAATATTTGTTACATTTTCCAGCAAAAACGAAGTAGACCAATGAAAATAAAAATTGGAAATAATATCAATGGTTGCGGTTCGAAGGAAATCATTTGTGGGCAGGGTGGCCCAGTGGTTAAAGTTCAGAGTACCACGATTGGAGCAGAGGCGCGGGTTCGATACCAGCTCTGTGCGCCAGTTTCTGGTAAGAATCGGCAAGGAGGCCGGGCGGTCAAGCAAAGCAAAATTGAAGCAGTGAGCTGCGAGTCGAGATCGCAAGCTGTGGATGTTCTGCGATGTTAAGAATCGGCGACAGGCCTACGGCCTACTAACGCTGAAACCGCTATATTATTATTATATTATTATAACGCTGATAATGGATCTGTTATCTGTCCACACGGAGGAATGCTTATGCTTTCGCGTCAGGAACAAATTTCTGATCCTTGAATCAGCTATAACTCAGTTAATTCAATAAGGGTAGTCGATACATGGGACTTGAAGAAAAATGTTCCTAATATTTTGTGCAGATCTTCTTGAATTTTGAGCAAAAAATCAGAAGAGACATCCAAATCTCATGAGAATAAAATTGAAAATCCATTGGAATGGTGCCAAAAGAAAAATCCTTTCACAGTACCACACGCAGCGTCCATGGTTGGAATGGCTCTGGGAATCCTAATCCGGGATTTACGGTTGACGTCCCAACTAACCGAAATATTTTTCTGAAGACGGCTGATGCTTGGATGGGCGGGAAGCGGGTTGATGATGCCGCGGACAACCTGTGGAGAATTCACGACAAGCTTTATGACCTCACCGACTTCATCGGCAGACATCCCGGAGGTAAAAATCACTAAAATGTTAGCGAAATGCAATTAGAAATTTAACAATAAGTTTTATTACTGAACTGATTTCACCTGCGAGCACTTCCGCATAAAGAAGCAGAATACTTAGTGCGCTATTATACGCTCACAAGTTTCAAAACTTCGGCTCCATCGTGACCGGAGCTCCAGCAGTTTAAACGTTGCGAATCAACTAAGAAAGATTCGACTATTGACATTTAATTGTATACTGTACTGCTAGATTGATTTGGGCGAGGCGGCTTCCTCAATAAGAAACACGAAGCCTCAAAGTAGTATTACGCTAAGATTCGCTTCTAAACGAATCTTTTGTCACGCAAGGTCGGTTTTGGCTGGAGACGACGCGCGGCACGGACATCACGGAGGCGTTTGAGTCTGCCCACGTCAACCCCGCCGTGGCGAAAATGTTGCCCAAGTTCTACGTGAGGGAAGCAACCAACAAGAGAAACTCCCCCTACACTTTCCATGAGGACGGCTTCTATAAAACTCTGCAGAGGAAGGTCATTGCAGGCGAAATTCTTTCAGGACTCGCTGGTTCCAATAAACATTCAGCACCGAAATTTACTGCGCTTTTTATATTGTGTATTACATTTTAAAATGATTCATCATTTAACGCAATTCTTCGTCAGTGTTATGCACTTCACGAGTTATCACCAGTGGCTATGCTTTTTGTTCTTGTATGCCATTATGAAATCTAAATACGCAAAATTCAGGTAATTGTGTATATGCAGTTGCCGAAACTACTGATTAATGCTATGATCGGCTTCACTTGTCTAGCTAGAGTCTGACAGACCTGATGAGCAATGTTGACCCAAGGTGTGGCCAGTGCTGCAGAGGGTGGGGAGGGGACCGAGCCTCAAGATGAAGCTGATGGCCGACGGCCAAGCAGCGCTGTATGTGGCTACGGTCTTCGCTGCTGCTGTGCACGCTTCATACGGACTCGCCTTCTGCGCTGGTGATCTTGCTATCATAGTGCTACTAATTCTCATGTAAATTTAGTTTTTCTTGCAGATAGGAATTGTTGGTCGTTCTTGCGAATATATTTTTCGAGGGAAATTTAATATACTGGATTGCGTTGAAAAAAATTACTGACCTGAATTTCACCTGTTGGAAATGGTTGTTACGTGACGAATGTGTCACTAAACATACGACAGCACGAAGAGGGCCTAGTGACTTTATGAAAATACTTTGAAGAGCAGTTGGTAATATGAGAAATACATGCAGAGAGAAAGAAATCTTTTAAATCATTTAAATCATTTTAGAAATCATTTAACAAACCCATAGAAAATCGGTATTATAAATCAGTATATACTTATAATCTAAAGCAGGGTATACTAAGAAAGTGACATTAGTTATGAATAGAACAAATTGTCACAACTTATATGGTCCAAATAGTACGAATAAATGTACAAAGATAATATGATAATAATACTAGAGGCATATCGTAAGTATAGTTCCGTGAAATGAGTTATAGTAAGAAGCGGGATGGTGGTACAAATATACAAAAAAAGTTTTATATAAATACGATAATTTTAGACAGGGAATTTAAGCTTCTCAAATAGTCAAACTTGTCTTCATTTCTAATTTCAAGTGTTGTGTGCAAATGTACGTACACTAATCAAGATCGAAAGACTGCAAAATTGTTTAGTTTGACGAGAACTGAAGTCGCAGCAGCCCTTTGAAGTTGAAATAGCACGACTTCTTGCTTGGATACTGAACAATTGCATGAAACTCATTAGCTAGGTCAAGTATGAAGTAAACCCGTAATTTTCTAATTTCTAAATGTATGACCAAATCCACCTCAACTTGGCAGGTTTGGTCTTGTGGACCATAATGGGCACGGCGCATAACTTCTTCCACCAAGCAGATAACTTCAGAATGTTCTACTTTGATCTTTCTCCGCTGTCGTCATCAGACTGGCGCATCACTCACGGCTTGTCGCATCATTTGTACCCCAACACTCTCTATGACTTTGAAATATCCGTACTGGAACCGTTTATACACTTCCTACCAGAGCCACATAAACACTTCCTCCACAGATACGTGACTCCAGTCACGTGTCACCTTACGATGCTACTTGCTTTCTTCATCGAAATCATCAAACGGATCGCGGGTCTCATCATTGGAACACGGAAGTTTGAGATGATAAACGTCCTGCCCTGGGCCCAGTGTGTCGTCATGATGCTATGCACTGGGAGTTTTCAGACTGGGCTGCTGTGAGTCTATTATTAAAGAACAATTACATAACAGCATAGGGGATATAAAATAGCTTAATATTGCAACTATGACGGGGTATTGTAAAAATGTATAATCACTGCTGGTCGCACGATATGTAAAATGATCAAAATTTTTTCATATCTAATCTGATTCCTTTTCATCATCTCCATTTCTTGGGCTTATTGGTTTTGAAGCTTTGCAGAGGTAACAAGATTTTATCTTTCAGGGAATAATTATGTTGCAGCTTGTACCTGACGACGATATGCACCGCGAGCTTTTTCTTCGCCTGGGTGGGCCTGATTGCCGCTCACCACCACCCTGAGATCTACCACGCCTACGACACCTTCAGGAGCGACCCTGACTGGGGGCTGTGCCAGTTAGACGCCGTGCGCGACAAGTAAGTATCAGAAAATATTAAGAACTTTTTCATACAATGATCAGGCAAACGTGTTTTTTCTTTGTTATAGAAAAATATGTTAGAAAAAATACGTTGTACATAGTTTTCACGATTTTATTTTAGTGACTTCATGGTTGAAGCGTTATGAGGATTTTATGGAGAATAGGCCTTGTACTTCTACAGCGCACTTTGCATTACAATGATTTCCATCCCATATTTCAAGAACTGATTAGATATTAAAAAGTGCTCCCTCAGCTAAGAATTTCATGAAAAATTATTTTGGGTACCTTTTTTTTTCTTCAACGTTTTCCTTGGCAAAACATGCAATGAAAACAGGATTTTTATCATTTTTCTTCAATTTTCTACCCTATAGGATCGAAGTGACAGGATCTTTATTCCTGGTCGCGATATCTTTCGGTGACCACAGCCTCCATCACCTTTTCCCTACTGTGGACCACTCCAAGCTCCCGTATCTTTACCCCGCACTCATCGAGACGTGCGAAGAATTTAACTTGAACTTCAGCTTCGTTAAGCAGAAGGAACTGATTCTCGGGATGTACCTGCAGATTTGCTCTGCAAACCCCAACCCTAAACCGCCAGGCTTCCCGCAAATAAAACCTCTTATTCCAGAAGTTGTTCAAAAGATGATCCACAAGAAGAAAAATCACTCGTGAGCGATAAATTATTTGCATTTGTAGAATAGTGTCTCACTAGGAAGGCATAATGGATATTTTGACCCCCCATTCTTTTTGGTTAAAAAATTATTTATAGAAAAATTGTCTACAAATTAACAATAATAGGAAAGCGAGACCTGAAGTCTAAATGTGTTGGACACACAGTTACGTGTCTTTTATTCAGCAAAAAGAAAAAATGCATCCCTCTCGCGTACATCTTAATAATTATCTTCATCAAGGTTATGCTTTATACTACAATATTTAATTTATCGGTTCCGGTAAATCTGAAATGCGGGAGAGCAGAGATGTGTACTTTCAAACACTCCTTATACCAGTGCCTGAAATGTCAATGATAACATCCAATAATAAATATCTAACACAAATTTCTACTACTCTGCTATTTGCGTTCTGTATGATAGAATTTAATGACATCCTTGAATATAACACCAGCGCAATGATTATTTTCAAATGAGACCTATTCCACATGTCGGATTAGCATACCTTTAACTGTATTCATACGTACCTCATATTCCTCTGTTATCTGTTAAGTGACTGAGATGTCAGCTCGGCATTGAGCGGTCGTCTGTTATACCTATCCGCTCCTGCCAACCGTTTTTCAGCAGTCGCCCACTTCTGTAATCCCCGAGCTGTCATAAGCTTTCCACATCACTGTCTTCCCTCCAGCAATGAAATGCATACAATCATTGTACCTTTTATTTTTCTAGTTAATAGACTAGAAATAATTTTTTGTCGAGATTTTAACGTAGGGTTGTGATTTAGAAAAGGTAAATATAAAATTCCTGCGAGCCGTGAAAGGTTTTAGCGTGCAGCTAAACCCTAGAGTCGGAGATGTCTATATGTAGAACTGCGTGTCTGTTATGAACTTCGGTGGAATATATTCACGTTGAGGTTGCCTTAATTTAGTTGATCACTTCGCACTCAATAGAAATACATAAATTTCATATATTTATGTTTGTAAAGCATCGACTCCTTATTCCCTGCGTTCTTTCTTCACGGGCATGATTCAACTATAGTTTAAATAAGGATCTTAACTATGGACACTGTTCCCGGGTGACCCCTCCTTATTTTATACAAACCTCGTTCAATAGATTTCATCAACCAAATCTCGTAGGTTCATGTAAATTATGGTAAAAGGCCGCTTCTAGTCACCCCGACTCCACAACAAAAGTTCCCTCGTACGTCGCAAACTCGGCCGTGTTTAATCTCTGCCCAGAACAGCGCATAAACTATTACTTTTTGAGCGTGGGCACTCATTCAGGCAAGCTTACTCATTTCAATTATCCTTTTGAAAGAAAATTTCAGTTCATGCGAAGGTTGAGCAAAAAAAGCATTTAAAGTTATGAAAAAATGTAACTCAATACTCACTGCAGTGAGTGACAGAGTGCGCATTTTCTCGTCGACGAAAACACGAAGTCACAGACGGACGGGCATGACGGGCACAATAGGGCATTTTTCCATAAATGAGAAATGCGCTAAAAATGAGAATGTTCAAAGAAATAATGTTCCAACGCAAGAAAAACATAAGTCGGTTAAGCTCCTTTATTGGATCATAGCAACACCGTACGAAGACAACACCATACCTGAATGATAGTGAATACTTCCAACAACAGTTCAAGGCCATGGGTGATTAGTGGCAAGACCTTAACGCGAAGCACTCAAGAAATTACACCGCAAGAAACCTACCACTGATCTTACTGTATGCGGTCATGCCATCATGATGCGATTCTGGTGGATCGTAATCGGTTCGTTTGATTCATTAAATGGTATTGTATAATAATTTTTAGAACTCCTACTTTTTACCATATGGACATTATCAAGTCCCACAAATCATGCGAAATTATACGAGAGAAAAAAAAGAAAGCGATGTCTGTCAGAGGCAAACAAACAGCAAGTAATTAGCACTAACATCACTAGGAAATGACCAAAATTACAATGCACTAGTTATTAAATTTAAACTTACCAAGTTAGGTAAAAATTAGAGAAAAATAAAATATCACATAAAATAGGTTATACGATGGGTACAAAATTAGATGAATTACCTACCGACATACAACTCGATATTGAAGAGCATGAGGACGCGATTAAGATTTAACGCGTTGAAACTTAAACATCGTCAGAGGAAAAAAATTAGATCACTACTCACTGCAGTGAGTGACAGAGAGCGCATTTTCTCGTCCGTCCGTCGGTGAAGTCACGGACGGACATGACGAGCACAATAGCGCCTTTTTTCATAAATAAGAAAATGCGCTAAAAACACTCGGCAGGCACAGTAGGGGTCATCTCAACGTTGGAATGTACGATACAAATTGCAAATTAAGGTCGCGTATACACGGGTGTTCACTTATAACCCGAACATTCATCAGCCATTAGAATGCGCACCTGGATAAACAATTTGCATTTTTGTAATTATCACAGAACTCCTGGCTAATAGATCAGGACATGGAGTGAAGAGAGGCAAGGTTCACCAAGAACTTTGTTTCAAGTGAATAATATAAAGGAGGAAATTGAACGAAGCATCAGTATAAACTAAAGCATTACCAACACAAACAAATAATTCAAAGATAAAAAGTAATTTATTATGTAAAATATAATACATGCGATTTATCTGGAGGCAAGTTTGGAAGGAAAACGTTAGCGACTCAGGAATAGAAACATGACAACAAAGTTAGGCCAAAGAAAACACGGCTCAAAACTGTTAGAATTCCTGTAACAGAATAGAAGCACAATCGATATAAATAATTAGATACTAGAATAGTCATTGTTGAACTAAAATTTATCTCAGCGATTATATATTGAACGAACGTGAAAAAATTGCCAGTCATTAGAACAAAATTTGTAATAATGGGCCAACCGATGGATTAATCAAGAAAATTTTTAAGGTACAAAGCACTCTTTAAAATTCGACGCACCACCTGAAATTTTTGTGGCAAATGAATTTCTGCCAGCATCTACTCGAAAAAAAACTGTAAAATATAGTTGCGCATCTGCATCAATTCAAGGCGAACTCTCCGCTTGGCGCTCACAAACGAAAATGATGCAACACAGCAAGCTAATATACAAGTAATATGACAAACAAACATCTACAGCAAAAACTCCATCAAGGCAGAAGAGAAAATAGCATTACACTCCCAAATTAAATACCATCTGAAAACAAAGTTTACCTGTAAAAACTTAGAAATTAACATAAAGAATACGTGGAAATGGAGCAACGAACGCACCTTAGATAAACTATGATTGCGACTACACAAAAAGAAGCGGGCAGTACAAACTCAAATGCTAACCTTTAAAGACTGCAATATCAGCCACGAACTCTTCAACGTAAAGTGTCCAGCTGGGGAGGGGATATAATGCTGCTGTACTGCACAAGTGCTTAGCAAGACGCCGAATTTATCAACAATGACGAAGTTTGAAGCAACGATATGCTGCACCAACTAATGACCGAATGAGATAAACTAGCAACAACCAATAAACGCTGACGTCATCAAATAACCTGAGTACCGCATTTCTCAAGAAGCTCGATTTATCCCGAATTAGAACATTTTCAGGCAACAGACAAGTTTCGGAGTGATAGACGAGCTAATACCGACGTATGCTCGACAACTGGCATCGCCGCTTGTCTACATGCGAGACTGAAAATACAGCCGAAACTCGATTTTTTTCAAATGCATTAAATCCCCAAATTCATTGCAAAATAAAACAAATAATTACTGAAAATAAGAAAGGACAAAAGTTGCGCTGACTTTTAAAATAGTCATGTCATCGGTCAAAGCAATAATCTAATCGAGTCTTGATAAGTCACCAAGAAACAATGCATGCAAGTATGTCGCAGTTATGATTCCCTTCTAGAAAATCTCAACCCCAAACTGTAAAAACTTCCACCATAAAATGAAATCAACAAGATTTAAGTATTTCATCTCACGTGTATTTTATTGCGTCATATTCACTACGACAAATTGTCTTATTTTTAAGAAGAATATTGCTCAACGGATCTACATTTCATTAGGCACTTGGGAGCAGAAGCAAGAAAAATAGGTGAAATAAGTAATTACAAAAACCAACAAGTTCAGAGAACTGAAGTAAAAAGGGTTATGGAAAAAGATACCGCTGTTGTTCAACATAAATGTTCATGGCTATTCGGTTCTATCAGTAGTTGGCACAAAATCATATTTCTCACAGTAGATTAAGTTGGTTAATTTGCATGGAAGTCCAACTGTAGGATGTCGAAAAACTTATACACTAGTTTTTGCACACCGAAAATTACGCGGGATCATTTCCTTACGATAAAGGAAAACTAAAAAACTCTCAACGCACCGAAACTATCGAAGGATCTAAAGAAACACTAAAAAACACATATAATCCAGTTTCTCAATCGGAAAACCTTATCGAAAAAATGCCAACCAGTGAAAACCAATTTCCCGCACACACAAGCGTCAGAGATAATGCGATAATGTAAGCATAAATGTTTAAATAAGCGAGTTTAGCCAACTAATTTACCAACTGTTGTCGACGAGATGAGTGCGTTAACAACACAGATTATTGGGAAAACGTGAGTAGAAAAACAAATTTCATGAAGATCTTTCTAATTTTCAAAATTACTACAGAAGAACACGTAAAATTTAAAGCCGAGGCGAAAAAATGCATCTGAGATGGTAAAAAAACATTGTAGAAACTGTTTCGCTGGTTCCAGATACAGAATTTCAAGATTCCTTGTCTCTCAATCAGCACGGGAATCATCCAAGACAATTGAATTACACGGAGAAAATTTAAATTTGTCGGAATTGGTACGTAGATATTTCTGAAAGTCATTTGGGTAGACGAAAGTTGGTAAAGTATGTGATGCAGTGAAATAAAATCGAATGAGAGCCAAATAAAGCGTAAAGATCGTAGAAATACTAAAAACTCTGGTATTAGTAGAAAACAAAATTTAGGATACCTTGCTATCCAGAAATTGCTATGGCGCGAGACAAGCAGTAAAAAGAGGGGACTTTTTCAATGCATTTGAAAAAATTTTCCAATCGATATGCAGGAAAAGAAATCAAATTCTCCCGGCGGATGTTGCAAAATAAAAAGGTGGTGCTAACTCGTACAGGCATACGCACTGGCAGATTCGTCGCAAATATTTTCCGAGACCACCAAGAAACAGTACACAATAAATTTAAATTAAATGGGATGCGTTTCGCAAGAGAATTTAGAACTTGGATTTTACATGCAAATGAGCAGAATTTGCATAAATGAAGTGCGCAGAAAAATTGCCATATTAGCGATTTTAATAGGAAATTGATCTTGGATATTCTTGGTTCAGGGGCTACGTGTAGTTTCGAACACAAAACAAACAAAAAATTTGATAAAATTTGCCACAAAAATCTTACCCACTATTTGGCCTTATGTTTTTCAAGTTAATACAACAATCGTTCCAATAATAATGAGAATAATGGGAATATACGAGAGAGAAGGAGAGCTTTTCAATGGACTGGGTGAAGATTTCCAAGTTTGATGTTGACATCATTGATTTTTACATATTTATCGATGTTGCCATTGATATCCAACAATGTTGCCATCAATATCCATCAATGTTGCCATCAATATCCGTTAATGTTGCCATTGATATCCATCAATGTTGCCATTGATATCCATCAATGTTGCCATTGATATCCATCAATGTTGCCATTGATATCTATTAATGTTGACATTGATATTCATCAATGTTGACATTGATATCCATCAATGTTGACATTGATATCCATCAATGTTGCCATTGATATCCATCAATGTTGCCATCAATGTCGCCATCAATATCCATCGATGTCGCCATCAATATCCATCAATGTTGTCATCAATATCCATCAATGTTGCCATTGATATCCATCAATGTTGCCATCAATATCCATTGATATTGCCATCAATATCCATCAATGTTGCCATCAATATCCATCAATGTTGCCATTGATATCCATCAATGTCACCATCAATATCCATCGATGTCGCCATCAATATCCATCAATGTCGCCATCAATATCCATCAATGTTGCCATTGATATCCATCAATGTTGCCATCAATATTCATCAATGTCGCCATCCATATCAATCAATGTCGCCATCGATATCCATCAATGTCGCCATCAATATCCATCAATGTTGCCATTGATATCCATCAATGTCGCCATCGATATCCATCAATGTCGCCATCAATATCCGTCAATGTTGCCATTGATATCCATCAATGTTGCCATCGATATCCATCAATGTCGCCATCAATATCCATCATACCATCAAGTGTGCACCGTTCATTAGGTATCGCATTCAATAATTACGAGTTACAATAAACTAGAGAGAATGTAACAGAGGATAATAAATCGTTCACCATTTTAAAACTATTAGTAGATACGGTAATACAAACATATATTCTTCATTTCCATCAAATGATCTGGAAGATTTCCAAGTTCATAACCATTGCTCGCAATACAATTTAAGATTAGCTACGAATTACATGTCACAGAACCATTAGCATATTATTTGATATGAATTTTAAGAAATTTTTTCCTTATTGGTCGCCGACTGTTATGAAATAACCAGACACAAATTGAGGTGAAGATAGCACCGAGCTGAAAAAGTTTATAAACGTAAAGCTCAAACTAAACCATAATTACATGAACCTTGGCGAAATAAGCAACAAGTATAAATTCTTAGTTTATAAATTAATTACATACAGAACAGAATAATTTAAGACAGAATCTTCTTTCATTTAATTTCAAATGACTGACAACTAAGTTTTAAATAAAACATATTCTTAAAACGTTGGGCACCAATCAAGCGAATTCTGCTAACGGTTGTGGCAATTTTTAAATTAATTTTTATGATTCACTTCAGTTCTTCCAGTACACCAGATACGTCGCGACCCCAAAGACATTTTCTCTTGAACCAAGAAAGCAACAAAAGTTCAGAGTCGGAAAAAGACAAAGAAAGAAACATTTTCAACGAAATTCCGGCCTGGAATGCGATCCGTTTATACCAGAGCAAATCGACGGCCAACAAATTCACTGTAAAATATGTCGAATTGATGAAAAACATCGAGATATAGAAATCGATATACTAACCATCCAAAATACCTGACTTGCGGTGGCACAGCAATGATTTAATTAATTCATTCATATTCAAAATTCAAGTGCGGTTAAGAGCCCGAGAGCAAGGTTCCTACTCAGGGCAAGAGTTTAATGACCAGCGGGTACGATTAATTTGAGCTCAGTCTTGAATTGAACTGTGAACGCACTGCTGGAACTAGTCATACTTTCAAGAAGTTACGAGTCAGGAAGTAATAAGCGTGATGCGTTGGGATCGCGTGATCTATTCAGTGGTAATTCTTTGTAGAATTGCCCTGAAATGCATTGTTTTATTGGTCAATGTCTCATCTCATGGTTTGTTAAGACTATCTTTATAGATTAGCTTAAACATTTCGTAACTGAACGACAAAGAGCTACACCCATCATATTTTGCACCATATAATACATACACTACCGGAAAAAATACTATGATAAGAAAGCATATGGGAAAAACGTGCATTATATACAGTAGCAGATAACTTAAGACTCCCTCACTCGTGTTATGATCAGCAAACTGACACATCCCAGCACACAATAGACATGACATCCCTTACGAGCCGAACTCTTCTCCCTCATTTCATGGTTTTCAAGTTTGGTCCGTCCTATGCTCTCACTGCACACTCATGATCCAAGCCAATCCGAAACGAAGATACAGAATAGAGGCTGATAGATAGGTTCCAACAATGAGTGCCATGCATTTAGTCCACACCATGCAGTGAGAACCTAGTATTATTAAGTTGGCTAAGCTATTCCGAATCCAACAATTGGTCCACGTCATCGCACCCGTTGCTTTTTCCATCCCATAAGAGCCACGTCATCGTCTATAGCAATGGGAGCCATGAATACTTTTCCAAAGGAAAAATCCTCGAGATTTACAAGAGGCTGCCACTGATCGGCTAAGTTATTGGCGCTTCTGGCGGCGTCCTGACTTGTCGCCTCGACGCCGCGGTGCAGAAGTTGTGGCGTCACCCCCAGCCTGGGGAGTGCAAGGATGGGGAGTCGCAGAGTGGGAGGGGGAGCCAGTTGATGCGGGAGGGGAAGACGGTGGGGAGAAGTGCTGCGAGAACTTCTCTCTGTACAACTGATTGAAGAATTCCTCGATCTCTGGGTCACTGTAAGGGAACCAACAGAATTAGCAGAAAAACACCAAAAACACAAGCGAATTTGAGGCTCACGGTCGTCTCAGGATACCTATCCTTGTGACACAAATATATGACACGACTCGAAAGGGAAGGTTAAATTAAGTTGAATAGATTAGTATACCGCGAAATTCGCGATAAACGAGTTTCATTCAGAGTCATAGAAGAGCGTAGAGAGACCAACTGACATACAAAATTAAAATATCAAGAATATAACTCAGTCCTCACTGCAGTGAGTGACAAAGAGCGCATTTTCTCGTCGACGAAAACGTGAAGTCACGGAGGGGTGTACAGACAGACTGACATAGCTAGCACAATAGTGCATTTTTTCAATAAATGAGAAAAATGCGCTTAACTTATAATACGGTAATTTACAGAAGTGACTTGATAGGAATCATTCCACAAAAACGCAGCAAATAAGACAAAATTTCCATCCCTAATTTTCAATAACTTTTTTCTAAGTATATTTCATCTTTGTTCATTCAATAATGAGGAAAATAGAAAGGCTAGACACCAGGCCAAGTGGTCAACACCCAAATAGGAGTTCCCAAAACTAGGTTGCTTACGTAGGCAAGTCCCCAGCGTGATGTTGTTGCTGCTGCTGTTGACCGCGCTGCTGCTGGCTCTTCTTCTTGCCCGCCACTATCCTGTACTGAACTGCGTGTGTGTTGGCACGAAGTTGTTTCAGATTACCAGCCTGACAGTTGGCCCACTCAGTTATGTCGTAAACAGCGCCCTCCATACATGCGTAGTATCGCCACCGCAGTCCGTAGTAGCGGCTCTCCGCCCATATATCGCCCTGCGCAACCGTCCGCTCAGTCACACAGTGGATATAACATAGCGCGTGTGTTGACGTTATATTAGCGTAAGTTATCCCGTGTTTGCAAAGGTGACTAAAATGGGTCATCAATTTATGGGTTTGCCAGAAATTGATTTCAACTTAATGAATTTTAGCAGCGATTAGTAAGTTATTGAGAAATTTGTCAAAATCAGATAACGATTGAACCATAACGAGCGAGTGGATAACGATTGGATAATTGTCGGACGAACTGAAAAGTTCCACGAAGTCTATGGAACTGTTCTCATAATATATTTAAGACTTGATTTCGATATCCTCAGAAATCCATTGTGATTAGGCGACATAACAATCACGTTAGACTAGATCACCGGCAGGTTAGCCCAATGTTGCCCAGATCGATGATCCCTGAAATTTGACAATTCCGTTATTCCAAATCCAGTTCATAAATTTGAAAATGAAATTAGCTATTTGAATGAGTTCACGCTTCAACCCAATTCAGAATGGAACTTTCACTGGAAAAATACTGTTGTAGGCATCTGGAGTAAACTCTAATCGTTTGTTTTTGAAATGAATAAATGAAAAATCGACTTGAATACAATACCGTAGTAGTGTCAAGTGTTCCTAAATACACTTCGCAATATAAGGCTACCCTAACAATTGACAAAAGTAAAGTAATTCATTTGTCCTTATAATGAGGAAAGGTGTTGGTTCATATTAGAATGTGATTGCCTCCACTGCCGAATCAGATCAAATATGAAGCTAATTATTAATAACAACTGAGGCAACGGAGTCCGTCAAGTATTCACAAAATATTCTAAATGACAGTTCTAAATTTGAGACAGGAAACTGTGAAGTAAGTTACCTCCTTGGCACCGTGCCGTATATTGCACTGGTCGCAGTACCGGGCAGCGTACAACGGTCGGTCAGGAACTTTAATTCTCTTGTGTTTGTTGGGGCAGCTGGTGCAACAGATGAGGTTCGCTGACTCCTCCAGCTTTCGCTCCAAGTCCTTCAACAAGTCTGCTAGTTTGTCCCAAGCTTCGCCAAGTTGACTTTCACCGAGTAGTCGCTTGTCGTACGCTTCTCGCTTTGCCTACCCATCAAATTGAGCTAGAGTTAAAACATGGATTTGCACGAGGTTAAAATCAAAGTAGAGCAAAACGACAGTAATAAGGAAATCACAAGTACAAAACTTCGCTAAAAAGACCAGCACTTTAGAAGGAATAACCCAAAAGCAACAATCAATTAAATATTGACTTAATATTAGAAACTAAGTAATTCTGAAGGTTCAACTATGTTGCAAAAACAAGTTGGAGATATGGAAAAAATATATCGAAAATTTGCATTTTGTTCATAAAAAAATACAAATAACCTACACTCCTATTTATTGTACTTCCAACATAATTATTAGCATTACTTTACATTACATGCTCCAAGGAATAATGAAGACGAGTAGTCTTTTTATTGACGAAAACACTTGCAATAGACTGTGATGATCACTCACAGGCTCGCCGATCTCCTCGAACGCGTGGCCTAGAACTTTGAAGGCTTCCTCAGCGCCTGGAGTTTTGTTCTTGTCGGGATGAACCAAGAATGCTTGCCGCCTGTAGTACCTGCAAGAGCCAAGAAATATTTCTTCAAGAATTCAATGAAATAACAAATTTTTCTAAGCATCGTGAGAAATCAAGTATCAAGGATTCAAGTTTTAGTTTAAAAAATCTGCGATTCAATAGGTTTTTTTTATTTGCTATCTAAAACTAGTATACTCCCATCTCATGCTTCGTTGATAAACTCGTGTAAAATAGAATTTGCCATGAATTATGAAGTGCAGCGAAATATTTAGCGCACTCTTATTGGCTTCATTAGTCTCAACGAATTTCGAGTTCAAAATTATCTGTATTTGCCTCTAGTCGCAGCAGATCTTGAAGCAAAAAATTGCAGCCGATTTGACTGTATTCAAATTTCCCTTTAAATTCATTCAAAGGGCAGGACGCATTTCGTATTCCTGATGCAGGAAGGATTTTTAAGAAAGTTTCAAGTAAACACTTCTTCCAATAAATATTCAGATATTATGACCATCATCCACCTTTTCACTGAATTAAATTTTTCTAAACTAAACCGACCATGCAAGAAGTGCCAGATCTTACCATGAACTGATGTTACACGCATATTTTCAAACACGTAGCAAAGAACTTCGTGTTGCTCCACGCTCGCATGTGGGTTCTAGGGAATGCAACTCTCAAGGTGAATCCAGGAAACCTTACAATATAATTGCCTGTACCTGCATATGTCCTGCTGTTAGGCGTTGAGCGCGACGCCGATTGCCTGTACCTGCATATGTCCTGCTGTTGGGCGTTGAGCGCGACGACGATTGCCTGTACCTGCATATGTCCTGCCGTTAGGTGTTGGCGTGACGCCGATTGCCTGTACCTGCGAATGTCCTGCTGTTAGGTGTTGAGCGTTGACGCCGATTGTCTGTACCTGCATATGTCCTGCTGTTGGGCGTTGGGCGTGACGCCGATTGTCTGTACCTGCATATGTCCTGCTGTTGGGCGTTGGGCGTGACGCCGATTGTCTGTACCTTCGAATGTCCTCCAGGGAGGCGTTAGGCGTGACGCCGAGGATGTTGTAGTTGTTAAGGCCACGGCATGCGAGGAGCCTCTTCATGGCCTCGTCTCCTGTAGATGGCAGGATAATGTTCTGCTCCAGGTAGTGGGTTGCTGACGCTGTGTCCAGCGCCCGCTTCTTCGAACCTGATGAGTATTTGAGCGTCAAAAACAGCTTTGTCTGTAGCTGCAGGAGACAGGAATGTTAAATTTATTGCTAAGTAAAGCGGTAATTACTTAGGCGTTCAAAATGTACCTCACGTTGTCTGGTTAAAGTTTAAGGCCACAAAATACTGTCACTGCCAATCACATATTATCTAAAAATAATTCTTCATATAACAGCCCCCCTTCACAAAGCTAGAGTTTAAAAAGTAAAAACTATTTTAACAATGTTAGTGGCAAATAGGTACTATTACTAAAAATGTACGACTATGTATATACATTTCTGGTGTGCCATAAGTATTTATAAATGTAATGGTGTAAAATTTGAATTTGAAAGCATGTTGAAATGGAGTAAAATACATCATAAGCTTCTTTATGCGATTTTATCTCCGGTATTGCATATTTTTTTGGGGGCAGAACGCAGAAGCGACATGATTGGCTTGTTAAAAGTTAAGAAGAAAAGCTAACCTTTAGGTCGCCAGAATTTTTCCAGTTTTTCGACAGCGCAGCCCCACAAGTCCTTCAAGGCAGTCAGACCAACAGATCCATAGAGCTTGATGAAAGACATCGCCTTGGTCCAGCCGTGCCAGAAGAGGCTAGAACTCATCAAGATGACCTCAGCCACGAGGTTGTAGAGCCACTTCGAGGCCAGCGCAACATAGCAGCAACACAACTGCAGCAACCTTGCTGCCACCGTGTGCCATACTGCATAAAAGATGCCTTTTTACTTCTCTTTTATTCGTAGGGAAAAGGTGGAAATATTCATATTATCAACGATGATAAACTTGCTAAATTTTTCTTCTTCTATTCATGGGAAGCGATATTCATTATAAAAACTATTATAAACCCACCTCATTTCTTGCTTTTTTATTCAGGTGGAAAAGTTTAAAATATCTAAATTACCTACCAACAAATATTATAAATCCACCTCATTTGCTTTTTTTGTGGGGAAAGGATTAAAATGTTTATATTACCAACAAGTTGAAAATATTTCACAAGCTAACTGAACATTCCTTAGACGATGGTAAGCCGAGCATACTAAAAAAGCCTAAGGCTGTAGCTGCATTTATCAGTATAGTCTTGTATAAAATCTTTCGTGTGATAAATTACCTACAGTACGGCTTTCCTGGGTTTTTCATAAAAAAACTTATTAATTGCTCCCTGAATTCATCCAGAAGTCAAGACCAGTCTAGTGAAACTTTGATGAATGTCTTAAATGGAAGTGACAACTAAACTTATTTTTATTCATCGACTTACAGATCCTTTTATAAATTTACAGTGAAACATTCTTAACGTCCATACTTTAATAAAGGCCAAGGTATTTTAGGCAAATATTTGTGAAGACTTACCATTTGGCTCTTTTCTTTTCTTATTGTTGCCTTTATTCCTGTTACCAGAAGCACCCTTGGCAGAGACAATGTTGTTATTGTTGTTATTGCTGTTGTTGTTGCTGAAACTGTTGCGGGATTTGTGGCCAGTAGCGCCTACTACTCCTCCAGCAACTGCACCTTCCATGAAAAAAAAAAACTTACTCAGTATTGTTGCGCAGTCAAATGATTTTATATAAAGTTGGGCTACATCAAGTTGGGACAGACATCCACATATAACCCCACACAGCCCTATGCATTGTAATGCTGCTACGGTATTCTCACTACTACGTATATCTGGTAGTGCTCATACAACACAACATCATAAGAGCCCTGCAGCAGCGATCTAAACCGGCGCGGGTGGTGACCATCTTAAAAGAAGCGCGCTTCTTGATGTGACAAGAGACAATAACAACAAATTATCGCAGCACCAAGAAGGAAAACATGAGTGGCTACTGTTTAACGTTCAATTCTCATCATCGAGAAGTTAGCCATAAGACTCACCATCGTCTTCAGATGAAGTTTCAAGTCTCTGAGGTGCAGTAGTGCTGCCGGTCTGAGTGGCGCTTGGAGGTGCCTGTGACTCAGATACTTGCTTCTGAGCACCGCTCTGCTGAGTGGCTGAGGTGCTGCTAGAGCTGCCTTCTGAGAGGTTGTTGATGAAGCTGCTTTTCCTGCATAAAAGCTACTATCTTAGTCACTTAAATCAAACTAAATTATTATTTACATCTAGGTAAGTTGAGTGGTTTATGGCATTGAAGTATTTAATTTCTTCATAGAACAAATATGCATGGTACATTGAGATCGGCAGTAAACTTTTTTAATTAGAATTAAATGCATCACTTCCTTAACAATAATCAGGTTCAACACTGACTACTGATTATCTCCAGATAATGTATCAAAAAAGTGTATAAAAGTTTGAAACAAAAAAATCTGTAACTTATTCTAAACAGAGACCTTGGTGATGGCCATACAAACACTTTTTATACAATAATTTAAAATACAATCACACTTACTTCAAATTCTGTTTCTGGTTGTAAATTTTGTTGTTGTTGTTGTTCAGCACAGGGCCTGTTGGAGGAGTCACCTTGGTCTTCACTTTGACAGGCACTTCACTAACAGAAGACTCCTCTTCACTGTTCTCCGTGCTGTTGGCAGACCTATCAAATTTCCCAGGCTTTGACTTGGGACTGGTAGACTTAGTGTCCAGACATGCACTTGAAGTGGAGTTTAGACTATCTAGAACTCGGTAAGATGAGACCAGCTCCTCAACTGTTGGGTAGACAAATTCATCCAAACCAACACGACTGCCGAAGACGGGGTTGACAGGCTTCTTTGATTTTGTCGACAGAGATGGGGAAGATGAAGATGTATTCTTAGATCTCTTGATAGAATTTAAGGCGTTTGATACAGGCACAACAACTGGAACACTGGTATTAGTTGAAGTGTTCTCAACATAGTACTTCCTACTAGAAAGGGAGCTGGAACTACTAGAGTTCATGGAAGTTTTGGTTGACATCTCATTGGCAGCTTTTGAGCTACTCAGGACGTCTGAATATGACAACTTGTTTGAATTACCAGAGTTGCCAGCAGCCATCTTGGCCTCAGGATTAACAAAATTGCATGGCACAAATGCACTGCTATTTGTATTTCTCTTGGCTGAGGATATTTTGCTGCAAGCATCTGGCAGGTCAGTTTTAAGAGCTGAAACATCATTAGATACTTCATCAGCTGCTTTACTGAGGCGTGAATTATCCCTAGATATCCAGTTAACAAAAGAAGAAGACAAATTACCCATTTTTTCCAAGATATTTTGGTCAGAGGAGTAGAAAGAAAACTGCTGAGGTGCTGCAGTCTGATGGACAGTCCCTGTGTCACTATTTAGGGCTTGAGGGTAAATCTTAGAACTATTCATTGGGTGCTCACTTGAATGGGACTGTAAATTGCATTTATTAAGTGATTCAGTTCCATTTTTGTTCTTCTTGTTTTTCTTACTTTTACTGACGTTGCTTGTAGAGCTATTGTGGCCAGAAAGAGTTGATAAATCTTGCATTTTGTCATTAACCAGGAACTTTCCATTCTGAACACATTGAGCAGCCAAATCATTAGCATTCTTGGGAGGCGGAGTATGAGAGAGTGGGGTTCCAGGAGCTCGTTGCAAATCTTCTGTGAGTACTCCTATATTGTTCAAACTGATATTTGGTAATGTACTTTGATCAAGAGCAGCGGTTGCAAGCATTTCAGAAGAAGAATGGCAAGTTTGAGTGTAAAGACTAGAGCAAGGCTGAAAATTTGAAGACATTGGAAGCTGGCCAAGCTGCTGGTGATGAGGAAACACACTTTGACTCGTAGTGCCAGAATTTTCCACAGTACTTGTGTTTGGACCCTCTGTGCTGGTAAGATTGCCCAAATCCAAGTGAAAGCTATTAAATCTACTTCCAAGATCACTGCTGGAACGGTTGAGAGGTCCTCCTATGTTTCCGAGGGCAGTTGCAGGTCCCAAGCCTGACTCATATGCATCTTGACTAACAGAAAAACTGTGATGGACTTGAATCAAGTTTTCTGCCAAAGAGTTTCCACCAGTCATGCCATGGAGGTTTGGATGAATAGTGTCAATGAGATTTCCATGTCCTGCCAGAGAAGAATCTGGACCAAGCCCTAAATTAGAGTGAGTTTGTTGTTGCTGCGATTCTATATACTGCTGCTGAAGCAAAATGATCAGCTGTTGGTGCTCCTCAGGAGTGAGAGTTACCAGGGAATTAAGAATATTGTATCTACTTGCAGGATTCTCCCATATATTTCTGGGAAGATAAGGAATGATTTCTTCCAGGAATGATGCCTGTTGTTGCAGAGGCTGATTTATATAGGGTTGAGGGACTAGAGGGGGATGGCCTCCTGTATCTTGGCTGCTCATGAAATTGTAAACATTTGAAGCAGAAGTTGCAGTACTCCAGCCATTGGAGGTGTCACAAAGCAAGTGGCCTAAATCTGTGCCAAAAGACAAGCCTGATGTGGAGGAACCACCAGCGCTGCTGTTGATCACTGGTGCAGGTGAAGCAGCTGATGCTTCTGGAGGGGATGCAGGATTGACACCTGAAGAACTAGCTTGACGGACAGCAGGGTTCATCGGATGGTGGGACTGGTTCTGTGACATCCTTGTAGTTCATATGATCCTGAAAAAAATTTCACTTTAACCATTTGAACGAAAAATTGTAGGTTTATAAATGCAATGCAAGTTTGATTATTGATCAGAGAACATATTTGATTAAAATTTTCAGGCAGTCAAACAATTTCCACGATAACATAGGTAGATCAAAAAGGTTTGGCACGGTAATATTTTAATGAAGTTTTGATAGCAATTACATTCATTTTAAAATTATCAGAAGCATTGAATGATGAAATATTGCTGGACATAATTACATAAGACATGTACCTACTATACTACTAGGTATAGGTATATAATACATTTTGAAAATTGAAACCAGAAAATTATATACAGTACCTACTTTGAAAACAAAATCTTGAAGTTTTAACAAATGCAGTATTACTAGATTTACCATCAAACGGGGTAAAAAGGGACAGTTTTGAGCATTTTTTGGTGATAACTTCTTCCATGAAACATTTCAAAAACGAGTTTGGGCTCATTTTAAATATCTTTGCGAGGGCTATTGAATGGCATCTCCAAAAAAATTCATATGCTGTACATGAGGCGCCAGGCGCAAAATAAAAGCATCCCAAATTACCCCTGGGAACAGGGTAATCTGGAACACTTGCAATAAAACTTAATTTTAAAACATTTGAAGAACGCAGAATGTACTCATCCATTACTAACAGTCAGGGTTGGCAATGATTAAATCAAAATGATTAAATCACTTGATTTTTTTATAAAAAAATCATGATTTTTTTTATTTTTTCAATTTTTTTGATTTTTTTATATATTTAAATATATTGAGTGGCAGTCTTTAATTTATATTGAGGTATTGTTATTCATGGTTTAGTATAAATGTACTATTACTATTTGTTATATATTGATTACAATATACAATTTGAATGTGTTAGCTAGCTTATTCAAGGTGGGGCAGAACTGATTGAACAGTTTTGAGGCAAAATAAAAGAGTAATGGAGGTACATAAAGAAGAAAGTTTATTTTCCTCAAGATTAGCATAACATACCATTTAAAATACTTATGTTTTGAAAACAATATCAGGAGGATGGTGTTTGTTAGCTGCATCACACTGTTGGAGACTTGGAGTCATTCTCAGAAGTTTCCTACAACAGGTTCAAATAAATGGCAAGGTATGGCCATAACCTCTGCTACAATAATCCATTCCCTTAGCTGTGGTAGGGTGTGAGGGCAACTTCTGAACACCCTTTCTTTTAGATGTCCCCAAATAATGAAATCGCAAGTGCTCATATCAGGTGACCTCACAGGCCACTGGGTCTGGGAAGTTGGGAACATGCGTTTCAAAACATTGAGTGACATTCGGGCTGTGTGAGCTGTAGCCCCATCCTGCTGGAACCACACGTCTCCCAATGCTTCATTTTTAACAATGTTTACCATCATGGGCTGCAAGAAATTTTGCAACATTGCAGCATAGCGATCGGAATTCACTGTTAACGGTTACTCCCTCCTCTGAGAACGACTCCAACAGTGTTGGAGCTAACGGCCCCCATCTTCCAGATATTGTTTTTAAAACATAAGTATTCTAAATGGTATGTTATGCTAACCTCTAGGAAAATAAACTTTCTTCTTTATGTACCTCCATTACTCTTTTATTTAACTCAAAACTTCTCAATTGGTACACCCCCACCCTGTATATTGAAAGGTTGACATTGTATTGACCTTTTAGGCAATTAGAAAGATTTTCCACCCTAATATGAGTATTCTAATTAAAATATTTAATTTCAATCTTTAAATATGTGAATTTAAAACTAGAAACAAAACAATTACAATTATAAGACTATATATAAAATAATTAAATGCAGTGAATGGATATAAAATATTTGAATTGTGCACATGTTTATTTCAAACTGTATTAGATTTTTTCATAACTTAAGTCTCGTTTCAAGTCATATGAGGTTTGTTTGGTTATCGTTCAGTTTATGTTTAGTATTTGTTTATTAGTCTGAATTAAATGGGAACAGTGCAGTCAGTCACTCAGTCACTACTAGTTGGTGTGTATAGAGGGTAGAGTCTGGTACATTTACCTATATGACATAAAACTAGTAGATCTATTGATAGTGCTGTGCACTGTGCTATCAGCTACCTATTTGTAATGTAACTCTTCAATGTTTAGAAGATCTGCATTCCTGAAGTGTTTTTGTATATTGAAGCCAGTTAAATGGTCAATATTTAGCTCATTACCTTGCTCCATACAAACTTTACAAAGCTAATGAATAGACTTATCAATAATTGTTCACCCAAAAATCCCTAAGTGGTGGACACTACCTTGGCCTGTTGGCCATTATTGAAGGCAATAAGTGCCCTTTTTAGCCATCCATTATGATCCATATACTGTTATTGTTAGTAGGCTAATTGCTATAACTAATTGGACTAGGCCGACCACTGGCCACGTATTATTCTTCGCCCCTCATTGACTTCGCTTTTACCATGCCACCCGTCATGAGCTGACAGTTGAGTAATTTACGACGTCTCTTTCCCCTCAAACATTGCACAACGCCTCCATTTGAGCAGCTAGTATGCGGGATTTTCCCTTCGCGTATCAGCAGGCTCGATCATAACTATTTTTTGGTAGAAAATATCTACAATGAGGAGGCTGATCAAGGAATGCCGAGTATACCATTCAATGGAGAATAAAAATTACAACCCGTTAACATCTCGAAAAAAGTAAAAAAGTCGCAGACATGATGAACAATAATATTCAAAGTTTCTTGAAATTTCCTCTCTTTAAAACTCATTTAATACAAAGTTTACATATTTTTTGTTACTGGTCGACGCTTATAAATAAATAGCTGGGTATAAGTATGGAAAAATCCATATCGCCATCTCATTTGCGAGTGGAGTAAAGTCTATCCTAATTAGTGAAGAAACGCTTAGGGAAAAGCCGAGCCTGTTCGAAGCCTCTCGGTTTTCAATCAGGGCCTTAACATAATTGCAAAAAAAAGGAAGTTAGTTGGTGCTAAAGTGAGATGAAAAGCTAGAAAAGTAAATATCAATTGCTAGCCCAGTACTTGGAATCCGTATCACTGTTTATCTTGCTTTTTACAGTGCCATTCTGTTTCTGTGTGAGCTTAGGCAACTTTTGAATGACTGATACTTATTTTTCTACAGCTATAACCCATACCAATACCGAACAAATGATTTTCAACATATTGGATCAGGATAACCCCCTTTATTTAATACTTGTTCTTTTTCGTACCCCCTCATTATTTCAGGCTACATTCACACTACTAAGATTCTTATGATTCGATTGCACAACGTTCATATAGGTTTTTGAAAACATTATTGTCAATTATCCATCATATTTTTCACAAGTTTATGATCTGGCTGATATTTTAAATAGCTTTTTTAAAAAAATAAAATTTTTTAAGCGTGCCCCATATATGCCGCACATCGCAGTTTGGGACATGCATGCGTGTACCTACCATATATGGCGCACGTCGCAGTCAAAGTGTTAAGAGACGGTTCTAGACACATAAAAACTAATTCCAACACAGCTCGGAATTAGAAACACAGCTTGTACCGAGCTATGTCGTATTCCAACGCAGCTCACACAGGGTGTCAGAATTCTAACACAGAGTGTCAGAATAACGAATTACGATTTTAGAGCGCTGTCAGAATCAGTCTCACAATATGCCGCATTTAGTCACAAACATGTCGAAATTCAGCTATTTTGTAGATTTGAATTCTGAAGTCTCTTAAATAAATATGGCAACAGTTTGTCATGTTTCATCATTGCTGGCAAGTAGTGTGGTGCTTTGAGAGTGACATAAAACCAATCTGAACTTGAATTGCGAATACAGTGATCTATTTATAGCCATTTATTTCTTGCTTGGGTAAACACACCATATTCCAACACCTTAAGGACGTAGCAAGAAATAAATGACTATAAATAGATCGCTAAATGCGCAACTCGAGTTCTGATTGGTTTATGTCACTCTCAAAACACCACACTATGCGCCAGCAATGATGAAACGTCCCAAACTGTTGCCATATTTATTTAAAAGCTTTTATAATTCAAATCTACAAAATTGCTGAATTCCGACATGTGCGTCACTAAATGCGGCTTATTGTGAGACTAATTCTGACAGCGCTTCAAAATCGTAATTAATTCCAATGCTCCGTGTTGGAATTCCGACACCCTGTGTGAGCTGTGTCAAAATACAACACATGTGTGTGTCTAAAACCGTCTCCTAACTTAATCATCTATTAATTTATTTACCACTTTAAATCAGCAAATACAAGTATTCCTAATATATTCACAGACTTATTTAAAAGTCTCAAACCATTATATTCTTTCTACACAAATAAGTTATCACTATTTGGTAGAGCAAGGTCAACTATCAACTTTCACACGTTTTTCGATGTTGTCACTGGGTGACGTGGACTTGCGCTCTGAGTCTGAGGATCTTAACATTTTCCTGCCAGACCTAGTGATTTGCAGAAATATTGCACACAATAGTATGATGTCACTATTTCAACCATCTACGCATGCATGGAACTTAGACAAGCTTAATATAAAGAAAAAAGTTGAGAAGTATTGGAATTAGCCACACTGTCAGAATATGGTGCGTTTACCCTACTGTTCCTACGTCCATAAGGTGTGGGACTGTGGGAATAGGGTAAACGCGGTATATTCCAACATTGTGGGTTATTCCATCACCTCTCTAGTTTTTCCTTTATATTAAACTTTGTTTTAGTTCCATGCATTTGTTGATGGTTGAAATGGTGACGTCATACATTTGCACATCAAACTACTGCCAAAACACTAGGTCTTGGCCATCTAGCGGGAAAATATTGAGATCCAAAGAGAGACAATGCACGCTACCCAGTGAGATCATCAAAAAATGTGTCAAATTTGACAGATGACCTTGCTCTACCAAATAGTGAATAACTGTTTGTATAGGAAGAATATTATGGTTTGAGACTTTTAAATACGTCTGTGAATATATTAGGAATCCTTTAATAAGTGAACTTGAGGGAGAGTCTGAAAAAACTCTCTGCTTTGTCACTAAATCACTATGCCCTATGGTGCATTTACCTTAAGGCCTAAAGAAATTCAAATCATAAACCAGGCATAGGAAATTTAGGAATGGATAAAATTGGCCAGATTAGCCATTGTTTTTGTCTAATTCACAGGTGGCTTCTGCAATTCTGACTTCTGCCCACTGCCCAATTTTCCACTAGGTACCTAAATGGTTTCAAGTGGAGTGGCATGTGCCAATGGCAACTTCTAAATCTAACTTAAACAAGTCACTTTCAAAATTTAAGTTATTTTATCATATTTTATCTCCTGTTTTCTTTTTTTATTATGATGGTGTCTATTATACTAAAACACAAATAGGCTAATAATAACTCAACTAGTCAACATAGTGGCAGAGCAGCAATTTTTTTAGACTCTTCATCAAGTTCATTTTTGAGTTGGGTAAACGCGGTATATTCCGACACTTTAAGGTGGTGCTTGAAAGCCGCGAGCTCTCAGGCAGGCTTGGCTGAATCCCTATGGGAATCTATCACTACGTATAGACATTATAACTCCGCTCGTAAATGAAATATCAATCTGAATTTTTTCATGCTCATTCAGCTATTTATTTACAATTTCCCGACAGTTACAAAATATATGTAAATTTTTTATAACATCAGTTATGATCTGTCTCTTATACACATCTAGATGTGTATAAGAGACAGGTCCATGATTCGTTATGGATGCTCAATATCGTAAATTTAAGACACCAATGATAAGTTACGGCAGAAGTTAGTTTCAGGCGCGAGTATAATTGATGGCAAAAAGTTGGGATCATTTCCATATCCAACAAGAGTAACTATAATACTCCAATACTCCGCAATACTGAGAAATAGTGGCACGCTAGCCCACGTCGGCAAACGCAGTGACGGGAAACATTTAAAACTGAAGCCATTTAAATTCCGGGCTTCAGTGCCGTGCCGCTTGACCATGAATTTTGACTGAAATAGTTTTACTGCTGTACGATGTTGCGGATAGAATGAGCAAGTTTTTTATCATTGAAAAACAAAATAGAAATTTAAAAAGTATTAAACTCATGAATGTGAATTAGATTTTACTGATGAAATAACTTGCCTTTTGAACAGGGATCTAAGCGGCTAAGCAATCTTCTTCTTTTTGGAACATATTAATTTTATTTACTTTCCTCCTTGGAACTTACTTACTTTTATTTATACTCCTCTTACGAACTTATTTGCTTTTATTTATTATTTTCTTTGCAACGCCGGCATCTGTCTCAATCCTGAGGTCCCTAGTTGGCGGTGTCAAAAGATTACCCGGGTTGCAGGTATATAAACTCCTTTATTAACTCATGTTTGGGCTTTTATTACGTTTATATCTTGGGCTACGAAATTCATATACTCCTACCTGTATTTGATCATTTATTAAAGAGCGAGATATTATACGATGGTCAGTTTATGTCAGGACCAGTGCAAGGGAGGTCTCTNTATTTAAAAGTCTCAAACCATAATATTCTTCCTATAAAAACAGTTATTCACTATTTGGTAGAGCCATGTCAACTGTCAAATTTGACACATTTTTCGATGATCTCACCACGTGGCATGCATTGTCTCTCTTTGGATCTCAATATTTTCCCGCTAGATGGCCAAGACCTAGTGTTTTTGCATTATTTCGACACGCAAATGTATGACGTCACCATTTCAACCATCAATGAACTAATGGAACTAAAACAAAGCTTAATATAAAGGAAAAACTAGAGAAGTGACGGAATTACCTACGATGTCGGAATATACAGCGTTTACCCTTCTATAAGTAGACCTGGAAAGTATCTTGGATACCAGCATTTTCATACAAAAGAAATTGATTAAAATATTGATTAGGTACATGAAGAAATTAAAAATGAACTGATTCTAAAAAATCTCTGGTTTGTCACTATGCTAGTCAAATTGAAGGGCGAAGGCTTTTAATTCAAAGCAATATAAAAAATTAGGAGGGCAACTAAAAAGCTTCTTGGTTGCCCTTAGCCTACCACTGGCTGACTGGTACTGTGCAAGTGTGCATTGATTGACTTATTTGAGTAGGCTATGGAAATGGTATCGAAAGATTAGTAGGTAAGCCAGTACCGGTACAGAGTTGATGCCAGTAAATGAGTAATAGAATAGTTACCACTAATTCATGCCCATCACCACCGTTGAGAAACGGTAACTGAATAAAAACAGTGAAATCGTAAACCGTTAAACGTACTTTTGAAACAGTCACATCATCACATGATTTGTCTGATAGGATGAGAGTGTGAGAAATCTTGTGAAGTTTATTCGGTCCTCACTAGTCACTATAAATTACGGTTTTCACAGCCCTCTATAGGGATTTGGGTTCAGGGTAACAAGTTAAGTATGCTTAGTCTGCCATACAAATGCTAAACTGATCCAAGAAGCACACCGTCACACGCGTTTACACTTTACTCAGTGTTTTCATGACATATTTCCGCAGTCAGCGGAAATAGCGCTATATTACGAGTTTTCCACCCAAAGGTCTTCATTTTTCATTCATTCAGTCTGTCGTTTAGATCATCGGATAAAACAATTTTTACATTACAATTCAAGTAATAAAAATGCTGTTATTTACAAATAATTTTTATTTAGAACTACAAATGAAATATGTGGTCATCTAAAATTCTAAATCATTATACGCAGCGGTATCGTATTCATTACACGCCACGCACGTATGTACGACACGGGCCTAGTAAAATTCGATTGAATTACACTGTGAAAGACTTGAGTTCAAATTTGCGTAGAAGCAATGCGTCATGTAAGTATAATGCTCCAGCACATTAATTTAACATTTGTGCATTATCGTACCGCTCGAACAGGGTAGTGCAAGTCCTGCTAAATACTATTGCTAGCCTGAGTAACGTCAACCCTGCATAATCAAGTCGTATGTTTTTTCAGCGATCATGTAAGTAGATGTTGAGTGTTCGTTGAGACCATGTTAGGCGTCACAGTCCTAGGACACTCATCGATCTCTATCGAGTAGATGGATAGAGATAATTTATGTTGAATTTGAAGAAGCTGACAATCCCATATGTACGTTCATACCATTTGCGAACATTTGAATTGATATCAAACTAAGCTTAAAATCTATCAAAATCCTTCAGAAGAATATTAATCCAACTACATTCCCACTGATATTAATGTCTAGTTAAGCCATGCTTATTATCGCCTTCTTAAAATCATGTAGAGAAGCCAGCTATCCCAAAGTATCTATTATGTGAACTGATTTTTTACGAGGCAGCCGGCCTTTGCCTGATAAATATTTACCTTAGGAATTTTAGAGTAAATCATGCCAGAAAGTAGGACTGTCAGTATCCGTGTTCAAGGAGGGTCAGTTATAGGACGGCAGTATGCCTTTACCTACAGTGAAGACTGTACACTCAGTTAGCTTCTACTTGGAGTAAGCCTTGACTTGCAGCAAGCCTTTACTTGAAGCAAGCCTTTACTTGAAGCAAGCCTTTACTTGAAGCAAGCCTTGACCTGCAGCAATCCTTGATGCAGCAAGCCTTGACTTGTAGCAAGCCTTTACTTGGAGCAAGCCTTGACCTGCAGCAAGCCATTACTTGCAGAAAGCCTTTAGTTGCAGCAAGCCTTTACTTGCAGCAAGCCTTTAGTTGCTGCAAGCCTTTACTTGCAGCAAGCTTTTAGTTGCAGCAAGATTTAAGTTGCAGCCAGCCTTAAGTTGCAGCAAGCCTTTAGTTGCAGCAAGCCTTTACTTGCAGCAAGCCTTTAGTTGCAGCAAGCCTTAAGTTGCAGCAAGCCTTGACTTGCAGCAAGCCTTAAGTTGCAGGAAGCTTTTAGTTGCAGCAAGCCTTTAGTTGCAGCAAGCCTTAAGTTGCAGCAAGCCTTTAGTTATAGCAAGCCTTTAGTTGCAGCAAGCCTTTACTTGCAACAAGCCTTTAGTTGCAGCAAGCCTTTACTTGCAGTAAGCCATTATTTGCAGCAAGTTTTTAGTTGCAGCCAGCCTCTAGTTGCAGCAACATTAACTTGCAGCAAGCCTTTAGTTGCAGCAAGCCTTTAGTTGCAGCAAATCTTAAGTTGCAGCAAGCCTTTAGTTGCAGCAAGCCTTTAGTTGCTGCAAGCCTTTAGTTGCAGCAAGTCTTTAGTTGCTGCAAGTATTTAGTTGCAGCAAGTCTTTAGTTGCTGCAAGTATTTAGTTGCAGCAAGTCTTTAGTTGCTGCAAGTATTTAGTTGCAGCAAGTCTTTAGTTGCAACAAGCCTTTAGTTGCAGCAAGCCTTTAGTTGTGGCAAGCCTTTAGTTGCAGCAAGCGTTTAGTTGCAGCAAGCCTTTAGTTGCATTAAGCGTTTAGTTGCAGCAAGCCTTTAGTTGCAGAAAGCCTTTAGTTGCAGCAAGCCTTTAGTTGCTGAAAATCTTAAGTTGCAGCAAGCCTTTAGTTGCAGCAAGCCTTTAGTAGCAGCAAGTCTTTAGTTGCAGCAAGCCTTTAGTTGCAGCAAATCTTAAGTTGCAGCAAGCCTTTAGTAGCAGTAAGTCTTTAGTTGCAGAAAGCCTTTAGTTGCAGCAAGCCTTTAGTTGCAGCAAGTCTTTAGTTGCAGCAAGTCTTTAGTTGCAACAAGCCTTTAGTTGCTGCAAGCCTTTAGCTGCAGCAAGCCTTTATTTGCAGCAAGCATTTAGTTGCAGCAAGCCTTTAGTTGCAGCAAGCATTTAGTTGCAGCAAGCCTTTAGTTGCTGCAATCCTTTAGTTGCAGCAAGTCTTTAGTTGCAACAAGCCTTTAGTTGCAGAAAGCCTTTAGTTGCAGCAAGCCTTTAGTTGTGGCAAGCCTTTAGTTGCAGCAAGCGTTTAGTTGCAGCAAGCCTTTAGTTGCAGCAAGCGTTTAGTTGCAGCAAGCCTTTAGTTGCAGAAAGCCTTTAGGTGCAGCAAGCCTTTAGTTGCAGCAAGCCTTTAGTTGCAGCAAGCCTTTAGTTGCAGCAAGCCTTTAGTTGCAGCAAGCCTTTAGTTGTGGCAAGCCTTTAGTTGCAGCAAGCGTTTAGTTGCAGCAAACCTTAAGTTGCAGCAGGCCTTTAGTTGCAGCAAGCCTTTAGTTGCAGCAAGCCTTTAGTTGCAGCAAGCCTTTAGTTGCAGCAAGCCTTTAGTTCCAGCAAGCCTTTAGTTCCAGCAAGCCTTTAGTTCCAGCAAGCCTTTAGTTGTGGCAAGCCTTTAGTTGCAGCAAGCGTTTAGTTGCAGCAAACCTTAAGTTGCAGCAATCCTTTAGTTGCAGCAAGCCTTGACTTGCAGTAAGCCTTTACCTACGGTAAGACTTAACATGACGTAAGCTATTACTCTCACCAAGCCTTTACCTACAGTAAGCCTTTACACGCTGTTACCTTTTAATTACAGTAAGCCTTTACATGCAGTAAGCCTTTACTTGCAGTAAGCCTTTACTTGCAGTAAGCCTTTACTTGCAGTAAGCTTTTACTTGCAGTAAGCTTTTACATACAGTAAGCCATCAATTATTGAAATGATCCTTTACCTACAGTAAGCGGGTAAGCCTTTACCTAGGGTGAGATTTCACATGCAGTAATCCTTTGCACGCCGGAAGTCATTACTTAAGTAAAGGCTTAGTGCAAGCAATTACGGAACAAATAGCCATTTATATGTAAAATATTGAGAGATATTTGGACAATTCATCTCATTCTCCGTTAGCACTTCATTTATCCCTTATTCAACGATCGATTAAAAATGTAAAAAATGAAAACCTATATACACGAATTTAAAAGCAAAGAAAATAAACAGCCAAAAAGATCGCCATTTTTTAAAGAAAATCAAGCTCCTTCGTCAATTCGAAACCTACAACACAGATACAAACTACAAACAATTAGTAACATAAAATTCAAATTGAAACAACAATTCAACAATAATTAAACAAAAAAAAACTATCAATCCTCTACAAATTGTAGATAGAAAGTACCTTCTGCTCATGTTTATTTCATTTGTATATGTTTTATTTTCGATTTGGTTCTAATGTCCTCAATTTTAGGTGAATGGTTTGAATATGAATTTTAGGTTACTAATTGTTGGTACCTGTGTTCTAGGTTTTGAACTGACGATGGAGCTGGACTCTGAAACTTTTTAGCTATTTTCTTTGCTTTTAAATTCTTCGTAAATTTGCGTATTAAGCAACCAAACGATCTTAATACCAATAAATACGTTAGTATACCTTATTTATATATACAGGGTGTTTCAGAATTAAGTAACCCTTTTAATTTGTTAATAAATAAAAAACTAAGAACGTTATGAAGTTGAAACTTGTTTTATTTTTTTTAAATAAAACAAGTTTCAACTTCATAACGTTCTTAGTTTTTTATTTATTAACAAATTAAAAGGGTTACTTAATTCTGAAACACCCTGTACTTTTAAAGTTATTCATTTTGAAGGTGTGACTACAAATAAGTCTCGCTCTGATGACAAATTCATAACAAAAATGCTCGCTTCATTCCATTTATTTTCTTTTATTCTACTCGAAACCTTCGTTGCATTTCCTTAGGTTGGATACACTCAACTTTTATTTACTCATAAGTCAGCCAAATAACTGATCTTATTTTTAAGACAAAGAATAATCTTTCAATTCGGTATATTGGAAGCGTTTAAGTTAATCCCAAGCTTTATAGGTAGGTAGTTGTCCAAGGTGCATGTATAACAGGCTGAATAACAGCTGAATTACGTGTAGGTTAAGCAAAGAATATTTTGAGTGTGCATGAAGCACTCTGAATTAAAATAAAATTTCACGCCATATAAATTAGAAGTTGAATAATTTAGATTTGAGTCGCACTAGCCTAAGGTTTCCAATGTATTTGAAAGCAGACAAGATGAGACATCTAGAAAAATTCTGTACAATTTGAATTTTATTATCAGCTAGTTTTAAATTTAATAGTTTCAGCCATGCTTTTACACTTGGGATGTAAAATACTGAACCTTTTCACGTTTTGATTATCGGCTCTTGGAAGTTTTCTCTGCGTTCGATCCGAGCGTCATTGGAACATTAATAAAGACTAGGTAAAAATTCACTTAGACTCCGGTACGATTTGCAAAATCTTTAATGTCATCTGCTATCGTGAAATTTGACGTTAAATGCTTGATTGAACATAAATAAAACAGATCTATAAAACTACGTCTAACACGTAACGTTCCGAATGTAAATTGCTACCAGAAATTTCATGATCTTTATTTTTATCACGATGTTCTTACTCTGAATCAACTGTTAAATCTATGCAAGACGCTATATAAATGAGCGGTTCGTCATCGTGCAGCGAGTTTACGAGTACAGCGAGTGTGAAGAAAGGCTCCAGAAATGTCGTCGAATTTCAGTAAATGAAAATATACAGTTTAAAGAATAGCTGATCTAAATTCTAGAGACAGTTCCAGACGGGACATTCTAACAAAGTGTCGGCAACAGGACTGACTTTGTTGGAGCGAGCAAACAAAAATTGCCAGTATACGCGAATTTAAATTTTAAAAGATATACAACCCTCAGCATGCCGTCGACACCTTCTCTGGCTGAGGTCTTCAGTGACGCGGAGCTGGCACGCAGGGCGGCTGTGGATGCAGCCTTTTTCAAGTTAGTATAATACGTGTGCTTACGCTACAATTATTTTTAGTGTGCTCACGCTACAATTATTTTTATTGTGCTCACGCTACATTTATTTTTAGTGTGCTCGCGCTACAATTATTTTTAGTGTGCTCGCGCTACAATTATTTTTAGTGTGCTCGCGCTACAATTATTTTTAGTGTGCTCGCGCTACATTTATTTTTAGTGTGCTCACGCTACATTTATTTTTAGTGTGCTCACGCTACATTTATTTTTAGTATACTCACGCTACATTTATTTTTAGTGTGCACACGCTACATTTATTTTTAGTGTGCTTACGCTACATTTATTTTTAGTGTGCTCACGCTACATTTATTTTTAGTGTGGTCACGCTACATTTATTTTTAGTGTGCTCACGCTACATTTATTTTTAGTGGGCTCACGCTACATTTATTTTTATTGTGCTCACGCTACATTTATTTTTAGTGTGCTTACGCTACATTTAATTTTTAGTGTGCTCACGCTACATACTGTATATTTTTAGTATTATTTTTAGTGTGCTCACGCTAGATTTATTTTTAGTGTGCTCACGATCCATTTATTTTTAGTGTGCTCACGCTACATTTATTTTTAGTATGCTCACGCTACATTTATTTTTAGTGTGCTCACGCTACATTTATTCGGGAGCAGACAATTAGTGTTTGTGAAAGAGAAAACTTCTTCAAATTTGACTATAAATTTGGTTAGGAGTTAAAGTGAGTTTTTAAAATGACTCCTCGATGTAGACTTAAGAGAATTTGTTTTTCTATTACTGTTCGAGTATTTTGTAATAAATCTCCACGACTGAAATGATTTTTCTAAGCATAATTACTCATACAGGAGTTGGCCAAAATGAGGGAATCACCTAATATTTTGATATCGTAATTTTTGAACATGTTACAAAAAATGAAAACGTGACAAATTTTTTGTTTTATTATGTATTGTTGCTGCTAATTGATAAATTATCCACGCACAGATATTTAAAGGAAATTTTTGTGGCCATAACCTAACCTATTACATAAAAATGGCAAACTTCTCTAACTTTCAAAGAAGCCAAATTGTTGGTGCCCGTATGGCAGGTGCTGGTGTGACAGAAACTTCCCGAATGCCTGACGTTTCGAAAGGTGCTGTCTCCAAAGTAATGAATGCTTGTGAAAAAAAGAAGGTAAAATGTCCTCAGGAAAGTACAGGTATGGCTGAAAGTCGAAGTTGTCTGAGAGAAACCGTTGGTTTCAAAGTAGAATTGTGAGGGACAATCGAAGGACCACGGCTGTTGAAATTATGCAGACCTCAATGGACACCGACAGAACCCAGTTCCCAAAAAGACTGTCAGCCGAGAGCTGCACAGATATGGATTCCATGGAAGAGCGGCAATTAGAAAACCTCTGATTTCATATACAAATGCTTCAAAGCGTTTTGAGTGGAGTAAAAACCTCTAGAATTGTTCCCTCGAGCAGTGCAAAATGTGATTTTTTCTGACAAATATTCGTTTACCTCATTTCCAACCAAATTTGAGAATAAACATACACTATATCGCTCAATAATTCTCTTTGTCCCATAAAACATATTGTGACACGTGTGCGTAATTTTATGCGTCAAGCCCTCATGCGAAAATGTCGGTGCTCCCTGGCGCAGGTTCCCCATTCATTAAAATGTCGGTGCCTCCCATGGCGCAGGTTCTCCAATGATTAAAATGTCGGTGCCTCCCATTGCGCGGGTTCTCCAATGATTAAAATGTCGGTGCCTCCCATTGCGCGGGTTCTCCAATGATTAAAATGTCGGTGCCTCCCATGGCGCGGGTTCTCCAATGATTAAAATGCCGTGCCTCCCTGGCGCAGGTTCCCCGTTGATTAAAATGCCGTGCCTCCCTGGCGCAGGTTCCCCGTAGCGCCTCACGTGCGCGTGGCGCTGGAAGAGTACCCTCCTCACGTGTACATCACCGAGGCGTCCAACGGGACCTGGACGGCGCACGGCGCTATGATGAACCTGCTCAACCTTCTTGCTCAGTCGCTCAACTTTACGTGCGTTTCTGATATAAAAAAATTATAAATGTAATGAGTATTTTTTCTAACATTCACATATTATGGATATAATCTTATTATTGGTAACGTCACTACTGCTTATATTTGAATGGAACGAATGTATGCATGACTACGTTAGCATCTCCAAAACAAAATTGTCTCTCAAGGAGGTCTCTTCGCCTTTTGCCCAATGTTTTCCTTTGTCTCATCGCATACGCAATTCATCTCCAAAAAGACTTTATTAACGCAATCCTCTAGTTTTTCTCTAACGCAATTTTATAGCTAGATTTTGTATACATATCTCCTCAACAACACACTATATAGGCCCGTATGCTAAATGGGGCACTAGCACAACGAAGTAGCACTACGCACTACAAGCCGTAGTGCGGTACTAGTGCGACATGGAACACTACGGTTGGCATGCTACATAGGGCACTAGCACTTTGAAGTACCACTACGCACTACAAGCCATAGTGCGGCATGGAACACTACGGTTGGTATGCTAAATAGGGCCATAAGCATAGCGCGCTTATAAAAAAGTGTACCGCTTCAGTGAACAACATGTTATTCTTATGGCTGACATTTTCCTTGGCGAAACAGATGAACAGCGTAGAAGTAAAAATTACTTTTCTTGTTTTTGATACCATGTTTTGAATTTTATTTCTTGTTTTTTTTCTGGAGTCATTTTGAATTCTTCTGCAAGAACTTTCCATGCTTCTCTCTTTTGTTCGATGTCTTTGGTAAGCGTGGACTTTGAATATATGATGGGAAAGGTGCGCAAACGCATTGCGAATTTAAGCTCACCATCATAATTTTCATTAGTACCATTACCATCACAATTAAACATTTTACATCAATCTTCTGCAAAGAATAAGAATTACTTAGGGAATAATTAATTATTTGAGTACTTAACTACCATTCTTCAATAGACTCATAGCGTAGTGCGGCACTATAAAGTATTCTAACAGCGAAGTAGCACTTCAAAGTCTTTCTGCATACGAATCAGTAGTGCGACACTAAGCGACACTAAACATTGTAGAGCTACTTCGAAGTGCTTAGTGTCTGTGACGTATTTAGCATACCAACTACTTCGTAGTGCTAGTGCCCTATTTAGCATACGGGCCAATATCTATTCAAAGTTAAGGCAGGGATTAAATGAGAATACAAAATGTTGACATAATCTATAGGTATGCATTGTCCCGCCCTTCTGATGGCCAGTGGGGCCGCGTCCTGGACAATGGGTCGTGGACAGGCATGATGGGCATGGTGCACCGAAATGTGAGTAAAAATTTGATTAAAAATATATAAATTCACTGTTTCCGCCAACCTCTGGCGTAAGTGGTGCCAGTTTGTTTTAAGATTGCTTTGCTGCATTAAAAAGTGGGACCTTAGAAAGCCGTGACTATGGAACGCGTTAAATTTATAGTATGGCTTATCACATTAGGCTAACATTTCAACGCAGTCTAAATGTCAAGATTATTGCGTTCAGAATATAACGGGGTTATGAAGCTCCACTTTCGTGGAGATGTATTTTATTAAAAGGACTATTCTTGCACTTGATGATTTATTCCAAGAGAATTATGTAATAAAGCTTCCTTTTGAGAGGCTTGACGTTTTGAATAATCTTTTCTGTTAATGAAAAAATGAGTTTTTTCCTCGCAAATCTTGGGAACGCCAAATGCACAAATAATAATTTACAATGAATATTCGGTATTAACAGTCAGAGACGTAATTCGTCAAATGTATATCCTTAACTCGTCAATAAATTGCAATCTGCCGTCGCCACTGTGGAGTCATAATCTATGCATATCTTTTTAAGAAGTGAACCTTTAGCTGACGTCAGTTTTTTACTCATGCTCACATACACAATATATCTTCGAAATAACTGTAATCGAACTAGAAAAATAGTGAAATTGTCAATGAACGGCTGGAATAGAATTAAAAAATTTGACCACATATCCCTTTTACACTTGGAGTTACGAGAAGCCTATAAATTGTGTACAAATCCCATGGAAGACAGCCAACCCTGTCTGAGTGTTTATGGATATACGTACGTTGATTTGTGAAGCTCATGCGGAGTGAGATGAAAGAATTCACTGTTACTTATTGACGACACCTGAAGAGGCACTGCAGACATTCGTTCTTTGAGATAAAAATGAGCAGACTTATCACTGGAGGCTGCGGTGCTTAATCTAAGAAAATCTGGTTCTAACCCGAGTTGTCAGCTGCCGAACAACCCATCAATTATGTATATTTCAGTGATTCAGTGAACTCAGATTAAATTAAAACGTTAATTTGATTTTAACCGGACGCACTGTGTGAGGGAACTTTGAATTTGTAATTATGATTTGCTTAAGTACAGAATTCTTGCCGGATGATACATCAAGTTAAGTAAAAGTTGTCTACAAGTTACGATATAAAATTATAAAAAAAATTCTGCAGTTAAAAAAATTGAGTGAATTCAGAATTTAATTTGATAGAAATTTCGTAAAAGCGACGGGTTGTAGGCAAAAATTACTAGTTAAAACTTTTACAGAAACCTGATATTCACACTTGATCAATTATTATGAAATGAACAATTACATGTACTTATATTATTAATCTGCTTATATCACAAGTTCACAAGGAATTTAAAAGCAAAGAAAACGCCAAGAAAATTCACCATATCGATATTGAAAACGTTTCGGAATCCAGCCCCATCATCAGTTCGACTAAACTACAAATGAATAAAATCATTTTAAAAGTTAAAATTCAATTTTAGTTTAGTCGAACTGATGATGCGGCTGGACTCCGAAACGTTTTCAATATCGATATGGTGAATTTTCTTGGCGTTTTCTTTGCTTTTAAATTCCTTGTGAACAATTAACTGTTGATGAATTTTTTCCCTGCTTTCTTATTTGACAGTAATTAATCTATAAATATATGTTACCAGTATTCCCATGTACAATTCGCATGCCAATATTTATTTGGCTAAGCATACTTGCATTCAGCTTTGTAAATCCAGCTAAAAACTCACTTCAGGAAGTGGATCTTGCGTTGGGGCCTTTTGCTGCGACCTGGGATCGTGCTCAGGCCGTGTCGCTCACCACCCCAATCGTCATGGACCCTCTCAGTGTGGTGGTCGGACGACAGTCTCCGAAGACCAACACTTGGGGGTTTGTGCTCGTCTTCAGCCCTGCGACATGGCTGGGCATCTTGGTTGCTGTGTTTGCCTTCACGGTGACTGTGTTGGCTGTGAGCTCGAGCAGCGGAAACAAGCGACCCGGTCGCAAGATCCTTGGTTTAATGGGCCTTAATGTCGCATTTGAGTTTCTGCGAACCTTACTACAGCAAGGTACGTGGATATGAAGAATTCTGTGATTTCTGTTTTAAATCTCGTTAAGTATTCTAGAAATAATGAAATTATTCTTCTTATAATATGCTCTTGAATGAACTTACAGCTTTAATTTCTTTCAAATAACTTTTTTAATTCGGAATTTGTCAGTAAAATGATTTTGATTTTTAAAACGACTTCTTTGGATATTCAGATAGCCGCATCGACGTAAAGTACCGCCCGGTGAAGGTATTGCTTGGCTGTTGGATGATATTCGTTCTTGGCGTCAGTCGAATGTACTCCAGTGTACTTGTGTCAGTCCTGACAGTGAGGAACACTCCAGTTCTTTTTAAGAACCTCCAAGATATCACTCAAAACCCTTCCATTAACATCATCTTGGAAGAAGGTGCTGCTGCTGCTAGCATTTTCCGAGTAAGTCATGACGAGCGTATGGATAAAAAAATATCTTGCGTGATCAATTACAATTATAGAAAAAGGTACATCAAAAACACCTAGTGACATGCACAGAAAAGCTTAATTTTCATTACGAGATGCCTTTCCAGAACGAAAATTTTAATTTTCAGCACGAAAAGCTTAATTTTCAGTACGAGAAGCCTTCTTAATATCGTTGCGAGTGTAGATCGAAGTTCCGTGTGTGATGCACGGTTGACATTTTTGTCATTTCGTTACCGAGACCGAATGATATTTCATGAAATATCATTCCTTTAAATATGCAGAACACGAAGACGGGTGCCATAGGGGCAGTAGGGGAGTTCTTCAAGCAGGGAAGAGTTATGGAAATGCCCCTGACAAAATTCCTTGACGCCATGAACACGCGCGTTCACGGCAAGAAGGACTCTTTGCTGATCGCTGAACAGCTCTTGTGCTCAGCGATGATGTCGCAAAGCTTCAAGGAGGAAGGTCTGTCTAGGATTACTCGGTTAAAATTGTAATAGTAGAATAAAAATTTGATAGACAAAAATTTGGAATTTCAGTTAAAATTATTCTAAGATCAGCCATGACGTTTTTCATTTTTTTTAATTAAGATGTTACTAAATTATTCAGAAATTCGCAAATAAATATAAGATTTTTGATATAATTTTAATAAATATTTGAATGAGTGCTTGAAGGTTAATAGTCAAGCTATTTGATTAACGATAACTTATATGATTCAAGCAGTTTCCATTTTAACACTGAGTTTAATGTCAACTAGCACTTAATTTGAATGTCATTACTAAAATAAATTGATTTGTATCAAGGCTACTGCAAGTTCTACTTGTTGCCTGAGTACTTCACTCAGTACAGAATGGGCTTGATCATTACCAAGAACAGCCCGCTGTTGGACCCAATAACTTACAGGTAATCAAAAAATTATATAATTAGAGATAAAGTTTGATATTTTTTTATTATTTTCTTAATGATTGCTGGAGAAATTTATATTATCTTGACTTTAGTTTACTAACTTCTGCACTATTACCCGAGTTCATGTCAGTATTTGTATAGTTTCATTGTTTTGCAGAAATTCATTCACATAGGTATCATTCATAAAGATCATTCATACAAATTGCCAGTTGCCACGATAATAGCATAAATTCATTTTTTAAAAAAATATAACATAATAGTTTAGTGGTTATTGTCTCTGTACGTTAACATGGACTTTTTTTCTTCTTTATACATAATACGTCGAATGTACGATGTAATTCGTGGCATTTGAGAAAGATTCGGATGAATAGTTCCAAAATACCTATTTTCAATATAAGTTCAAATGGAATAGCAGCGTGCGACACGATCTAAAGACTTTGTTACACACGGAATAATTTAATTTCCGAGGAGCGGCAGTTGTTAACAAAAGTCTACGGGTATCACTACGAATATTTAAGTAAGTGTGGAGGTGAGCACAGCTATCAACCTGGTGATACTAAAAATAAATGCACTCTTCTTCATGACGGAATTATTGAAATAATTTTTAATATGAATTTATCCTAGTACATTAGGCTTGCAAACAAGTAACATGCATTATTATAATATTTTTGTAGGATTTTGCTGTACCACTCTATGGGGCTGTACGAGTCCTGGATCAACAAGGAGAACGCGCAAGCGTCGCAGTGCTATAGCGCGCCCGGCGCTGTCTCTACCATGGAGCCTTTCAGCGTCAACAGCTTTGCTGTCAGTTGCATTGATTATGTTAACGTTTTACATCATATATCATATATATTATCATGTTATATATGTAATCATGTTATATAATTATTATATATATCATATTATATTAAATGTTACAGAATGATTAATATATTACGTTTATTATCATATTATAAGTATTATAGCGCATATCCATTACATTTTATGTCGAGATTTTGTATCGATATTGTTTATGGTGAGAGAATTGTAAAGAATAGAAAAATGAGGAAGAAATATTCGATCAAAAATTGAAAATTTTACAATCGAATTAGTACGTGCATATTTACTTTTTTTAACGGTAGTCGAATAAAATTGGAATATATGAGGTGAGGAGTGAGTTTGAACGGATCTTTTTGAAATTAGATTACATTTGTTTTATTCGCATTGAGGAGATAAAATATTACAGGCTTGAATCGCTCTTATCTGCAGGTATACACGTATTATATTTAGTTGAAAACCAGAAGCATTATCTAACTTGATAGACAATCTTTTTGTACTACTCAATATTGTGAAAACTACTTTGTGGTTTTCGAAAAAGGAATCGAATTGCTTCTTTATTATACTGTAATTTCAATAATACGCCCTCATCATTTACAGTGATTATAATTTGATTAAATAAGCAAATAAATGTATGAAATATAATGTATAAAACGACAATGTATAAGATTAAAAATTTTCGATCTACCAACCATAACGAAAAAATATTCTTCATTATATTGAAAAAAAATATAACTCATTACTCACTGCAGTGAGTTACAGAGAGCGCATTTTCTCGTCGGCGAAAACGTGGTCACGGATGGATGGACAGACAGACAGACAGACAGACGGACAGACAGACAGACAGACGGACGGACGGACATGGCGAGCACAATAGTGAATTTTTTCCATAAATGAGAAAATGAGCTAAAAACGAATAAGAAAATTATCAATATAATTAATTTTCTGGTCCACAAGGGCGTGTTTGGCGCGTTGGCCGCAGGTTTGCTGCTGGCGAGCGTGGCGCTGGCGCTCGAGATTTGCTTTCCTGGAGCCTGGACCGTGGAACCTGCGCGCTGGCGTGGCCTCAACGTCCATAATTATAGCCAGTCAACGTGATTACGGCCTCTAACCTGTCAACGTGATTACGGCCTCTAACCTGTCAACGTGATTACGGCCTCTAACCTGTCAACGTGATTACGGCCTCTAACCTGTCAATTTGATTACGGCCTCTAACATGTCAACGTGATTACGGCCTCTAACATGTCAACGTGATTACGGCCTCTAACCTGTCAACGTGATTACGGCCTCTAACATGTCAATGTGATCACGGCCCCCAAACTGTTAATGTGATCATGTCAACACATCGACCCGGATGCTAAGATGAACTTAACAACTGAACCAAATGAATAATGCCTTACGCAACTCTCAATAAATCCTGATATTATTATGAATAGAGGTAAGAGATTTTATTGAGAACTTTAATTAGGGTCCCTAAATGTGCAATAACAATGATATTCTGGAATATTAATAACATTATTGATTTATATTCTATTAACATCAATGAAAAATATTAATTAAAAGTGATATTGAGTAATATTGAAGTAAAACTGACAATTTGAGACCAACTTTCCCTCTTGAATGAGGAGTCGACATCGAGTTTTTCGGGAAAAATTGGGTGCTTAACTAAATCCTGAAAAAATATATGATGACACCGGAAACTGAATAAATTTCAAAATGTACGGAGAAAAAATGAGATGAAGAAATATCCGTGTAAGTTATGCAATTTCTGAATACATTAAATAAATTAAAGCGTTTAATATCAATTGTTTTGTAATGAAAGAAACCGTAATATACACTTCGTTTTCTGCGGCTGATATATGAGTTTTATTTACCGTTCCATATCCCTGGAGAAAGATAAGGTTTTCCACACCTGCGACCATTGAGACATTGGAGCTATTGATGGAATATTGGGACCGGAGAAAATAGGCACAATATAGTGAATAAATTACTTAGGCTAGAGCGATGATCTTCCATGACAACCTTTCTTGAAATTCTTTCAGGTAATCTTCTCGGAACGAACTGTCGTGAAGTTTCTAGGGTAGTTTTCATATGTACATATTATTCCGTACCGTAGTAGATGCCAGTAAGTTACTTTGATAGAAAAGTATTGACTATCAGCAGAACTGGCTCGACTCTTGCAATGTTCACAGCTATTCTCATTCTCTGTAAGTATCCAGCAATTTACCGCTTTACGTGTAACATTTCATGTATGAATATATCCAGTTATTTCGTTCTTTGTATTTTCTATAGAAGTGTTATCTTGTTTCAGAATATTGCGTTCTTGTGGATTAAAGCTCTTAATGAGTCGCTGCGAGTTTGACTTACAACACAAACCATCAACTTTCGCACTGAGTATGCGTACAGAAATGTAAAGGAAAATTAACATAAAAAAGTAATTCTTTCACCTGAGAATTGAGCATCCCATTTCTAAATGCTCGAATCTATAACAAACAATGAGTGAGCCCTTACATGTAACGACTTGAGTTCAACGTTACCGAAGAACATAAATTTCTCATTAGACAAAGTCTAAATGACGGACTTAACATCGTTTCATTGAGAAACGATTTTCCCCGGCTAGTTTAATTTATTCCAGTCTGCCTATCTAAGTTCATCCCCACAAATGATCACTATCTAGCCGAATGATCGAGTACCGGAGCCTGTGTATTTGTGTCTGCTTAGAGATTGGACCTCAAGTTATTTCTTTCAATTTAACTTATATAATTTATTGCCATTATATCTAACTTATAACTTCGTGATATGCCGTCAAAAAGCGCAAGCTTCTGCGCATTCAGTGTAAATATCAATTTTTGGAAATCTGATCACTAAATTGTCATCCATAACCTGTATTAAGTTGGGTAATTAAAATATTTAAAAATTTCCTATATGGGTCACAGTAACATGAGTTTTCTTGTAGTTCGTGCATGACATAAATATTCGCGGATCATCAATTCGGCGGTCTAGAGGAAAGCCCATGGGCAAATGATCCGGGTATTTTTCACCGTGAACGCCACACTGGGCATGGCTGTGAGCTTCAGCGTCTTCGAGGACCTCATGTAGAGCATCCTCTTCTGCATCTGTCACGCCAACGATCAAGATCATACCCAAGCCTTCTTCGCGTCCTTTCGGAAGAAGCAGCCTATTGGGAATGCCGCATCCTCTGTCGAACTCCTCGAGATGAACTTCAGTTCCCGCGTCGACTGCCTCGTCGACTGCTGCGATGAGCGACTTGAAGCTTGGGGTATCAGGAACTGTCGTCGAAGCTTCCGATGAGGCCCGGCTGATGGAATTCGAACCGGGAATGACTGAAAGAAAATGATCCAAAGTATATGAAAAATATTGAGCCTTAGAAAAATTATAGCAATACAATGAGAGCAAATTGAAGTTAGGTAGTCACGATATAAAATGATGGATTTGCGTTTGAATAATCGTAACTGTTTTGTATTAAGGACTTCCGGAAGGAAATAACTGAAAATAACTGTACATTTAGATATCTTTGTTAAAAAGTTAGTTTGCCATGGATTTTAAATGAATTTTGTTCTTGACATGTTAAATATATTTTACTCACGCTTAGTCCAGAACTTATCAAGTTCGATGCAATTCCAGCGAGCTTTCTCGAGGCTTAGCTCCACACCATTAGCGTCAGTTGTGGGGCACAGATACACACGGACCACAGCATGCTTGTTATCGACATTCTCGTTGGTTATTTCGATGTTAAGATTAAATGGTTTATGATTGAGTCTTTTAACTACGGCGCTTACATCCACCTCGCCGAATTCAGGGTTGTGGTCTACGGCATTTATAAGACTGAATTCAAAATCTTCGAAGTATGTCTCCAAAGGTCCATTCACAACTATTTCGTCCAAAACCACTCCAGTGAACTCCAACTGTTCTTTGGTGTAGGGAGGGAGGGTGTCTTTGTGCTCCTTGAAGATATTGTCGATGTGTTTGTGTAAGCGAAAAAATGCAGGATCACGAGTAGCCGTTTCGAAATGTTCCATAACGCCCGGTTGGAGTTTAAATTTCCCTTTCGGGTCCCCTTGCCGACCTAGCAAAATGTGAGCTTCGTTATGAAGGGCTCCGTAGTATTCCAAATTTGGGCTGTACGCTGAAGATTCGATGATATTGCCCAAATGGTCAATACCGTGTTCATCTCTGATATTTATATGACTGCCATCCGCTGCCGTAATATATCCGAGAGCTATAGCATCACGAATACGGCTCTCATAGATGATCATATCTCGAACTCGGACAAGACCAGTTACGTCTGTGAATTCAACATTATCGGGTCGAGCGGGAAATTCGCCTCCATACCTGTAAGCTGTGTGAGGAGCGAACCCCTCTCTGATAGGCTTGTCCCAGTACAACTCGTCGACAAAGTTCAGATGGTTTGATAAACGTTCAATATCAAAGCGAACAGTTAACTGATGATGAGCCCAGAAGAATAGTTCTCCTTTCCGGTCAAGGTGATAACCATAAATATCATCCCACCAGAATGGGAAGTCCAAATGCCATGTCACATGATGAGTATTGAGTCCAATGTCTTCTCCAAAGTAAGCCACTCTTTGTTCGGGATTTTTCTTGCTCCCTGTGAACTCCATTTGAAACTTTCCAGGCGTCCGAGTCATTTGGGCTGTGTAAGCTTTATGAATAACTTCAGAATTAGCGAATAGGTGAGGAGTTACTTCATACAAAGGCGGCAGAACGATACCTCGTCCAAGGTCAGTATGAACGAGTGCGGCGTAGATTGCATATACAAACTCTCCTTCGTTCATTCTTTCACGGAAAAAGGCTGCGTTGTTAATGGTTGCTTGCCATGTTTTGCAATGCATAAAAACGTCGAAGAGAATGAGGGCTTCCTCCCTCTGACGTTTGTTGAACAGGGAGAACCAGTGGTGTTTCTTAAGTAAGCGATGATCCCTTAGTTCTGTGAGGAGATGCTTAACAGCTTCTCCGCCATCGCTGTAAGATGAAAGATCGGCTTCTGGATCGAAATTATCCGCCACTTCTTTCAGCTCAGCAAACTGGAGGATGTCATCAACTTTGTACAGAAGACGATTGATGTCTTGTTGCCTCTGGGCAAAGCTTGGACCTGACAATAGATATCAACAACCTCACGTTAATTATGGACTGTCAGGATGAAAATAATATAAGAAACGATCTCGAGATTAAGGATCCAAACCAATAAATAAACTACGTTAAAATAAATTTTTTAATATTGCCTATACAGTAGTAAAGTTGTAAGCTCAGTAGGATTTGGAGCTACAAGAACTCTTTCCAAGTACAAGATCAATGTCTAAAAAGCATATAAAAAGCTACTGGGTAAGGCCTAAAGCTCAAATTATTTAACGGTTTAACCCAGTGGTTCCCAAAGTGGGCGATATCGCCCCCCTAGGGGCGGTGGAAAGATTTTGGGGGCGGTAAAGAAGAAGAGGGTGATAGGGGGGCGATAGGGGGGCGATGGAGGGGCGGCAGTCCGAAGTCGAAGCCAGAAGTTCGAACGTTTGTTTGACGATTTCTACACAACACGTGCAGCACATGACTCCCAGTGATGGTTTTTTCACCCAGGTCTGTTTTTAGCGCATTTTCTCATTTATGGAAAAAATGCAGTATTGTGCTCGCGATGTCCGTCCGTCGGTCTGTCCGTCCGTGACTTCACGTTTTCGTCGACGAGTAAATGCGCTCTCTGTCACTCACTGAAGTGAGTACCGAGTTATATTTTTTAAACTTCTCCTGGGTTTACGTTACCGACCAATTAACGGCCGGACTCGCGGCCGATCGCACGGCCAATTTCCAAAGTCAATGAACAAGGAATATCTCTCAAACTAATGAACTTAACTCGATGAAACTTGGTACACGTATTCATTAGGACCTTACAGTAATTTAAAGCTCGCGAAATTTTTTTGAATTTTGCATTCAATTGTTTTTGCCATAGTTATATGTCAATACGGGGCAAAATTCACATTGATCAAGGAATTTCTTCCAAACTACTGAACAGATTCGAACGAAATTTTGAATTTACAGTCCTCTGCGAATTTCGGCCTGTATCGCAATATAACTCACGAATGAAGGTGATATTTTAAAAATTTTCGTAAGCTAAACATCACCGTTAAGTTCTGATGATTACATGTTCCAAGTTTTATTGAGCTGCGTTCATTAGTTTCGTTGATATTACTTGATAATTGAATTTGGAAATTGGTCGTGAGACTGGCCACGAGTCCGGGCCGTAAATTGGCCCGAGACGTCCTAGGTTTCTAGTGCTGAAACAGTTAAAACAGCTGAAAAACATATTGGTTCGCTAAAATGGGCTCTATTTGTGAAATACACCTTCGTGTTTAACCTATATCTTTTAAAATTGTAGCGTACTAAATTTTATAGAAAGAGGCGCATGAGATTATATTTGTCTGTGGGGGGCGCTTGAAATTCTCAGGGAGCCAAAGGGGGCGCCAGCCTGAAAAAGTTTGGGAACCACTGGTTTAACCTTTTCAAGTAATTCTATCAGGTGAAGAGAACATTATGACATTTTTACTTAGAGAAGAGACAGCAAGTTTCTATGATTTTATTTAGAACGTATCCGATTGCTTGAATATATTTCACAATAATGAACGTTTTAGTTAGGAGGAGGAAAAGAAAATTCACCGTTATTGAAATGTCATCGATTTGGGATGTTTCTGCAACAAATTAAATTGTTTACCCATCACTAGCAGTCAGTTAATTCTAACGCAGTTGCTCTCTTGGGAATCAAATCGACATAGTTTACCGTCATATTCACTAAAGTCGCTAGGCCAAGCCCACACGCTGCTGAAGAGGACTATCACCACCAGGCACTTCATCTCATAACCTTCGTCTTGGACAACAAAACAACACACGTCTTTGCAGCTTCTTGGATACTAATGGCGACAAGCTTGAAGGCTGTATCACTCATTCAGACATATCATGTCATTGCCCCTATGCAATGTATCACTTGCTAAATAGATATGTCCGATAAAACGAGCAAAAGATCGCCCTCGATGGCCGCGGTAATATCAGAAGAATTACTCGTAGCAACAGTGCTTGACGTGAAGTGTTTGGAATCTTATCGGAGCATGGTACTGTAAGTGGCCGACATTACTTATTAAATCAGTCATATACACAACATGAGCATGAAAACTGTTATTTTCTATTTACTTTGTTATAATTAGATAACCATAGCATGAATTATCTAATTTTGTTACACAATTTGTTTTTTTTTTCATGATTTCATATTAAATAGGAAGGGACTTTCAGAGAAACAGAGCCAACGTCTTTAAAAAAAGTCAGAAATATCACATCAAAAAGAGTGACTGACGCAATTCTGACACCTAATCAAACAAGCACCTGACATATTGACCTGACTCAAACAAATCTCTAATACGCTGAGCAATGTTTCGCAATCGATTTGCAGCAAGAAAATACTTTTACTAATACGACATTTTCATCTAAACGTTCACCGGCTGCTTTCCTTGAACTCTTTCATTAAATTAATCTTAAGGAATGCCTACGTATTTCATGAATGTTGTACCGCCTGAACTTTCGTCATGAATCTCATCTCCTGAACTCAGACTGTCCCTACGGCGACTTTAAAATCAAAGTCTAGCTCTTCTAGGTATAAAGAAAGTACGTAAGATCATACATAGATTTTACCTGTTTTATAGTATGCAAGCCTTACTGCAAAACATGTCTGCAGTTACTTTTTATCCAAGACTAACGCATGATTGCAAGTTTTTCAATCTTTTTGATGACAGAAACATTTTGATAGCATAAATCAGTACTTCGTGTTCGAGGAAAAGATGTTTCCACAATTCCATGTTTGGGTTTGGAAATGAGTAATCAACTTGTTTGGCAATATTAATATTAGATGGAACAAGTGTGATAGGACAACAATATAACAACATTGTCTAACTGCAAACAAACATTATATAGCGTATATAATGTGCGCAAATTTATGAACTGAAAATATGGTATTAACAACTTAGAAATTTTCTTCATAGAAACACATGTATTTGTGTGCAGAGAAAAACATGATGTTTTACTTAAAAAATCCCGTACAAGTATTTAATATTCGCATTTAACTTGAAGCCGGAGAGAGCGGAGGTAAAAGTGACGATGGATATATTCTGGTTAAGAAATGAAACCGTTAACAGAGAGAAATGGACCATTAAAAACCCCAATCATATAATTAACACGAGCGACACCAATAATTCGCTGTTTCAGATGGATTGAATCGCAAAAACTAATCGCAATGTGTGTTTCAATGAAAATTTAATAAACACATTAGTTTTTAGAGCAAATTTGCGCAGTTGCTTTCTTCACTGACCGCATTAACCTCTATATAGGTTGAATTTTATGATTTTGGAAAATACGGTATATATTGACTGTGGATAAACTTTCAAGGATTATGTTGATGCTGCGGAGCAATGCAAAGGATCTTGCCTGTATTAGATACAAAAGATAACCTTGATACAAAAATTATTGCCATTATATAGGAATTGCCAAGAAAAAGGTCAAATAGAGAGGTTGGTGTTGGGATATACATGGGCCTTGATAGCTAATGGATCGAACTCTGTAATTATTACAGCTGATACTGCGCATAGTAGTCGAGTGGGAGAGGTCCTTCTTTGATGCATGTCGCAGGATCAACGTGACGTTCAGAGGAACACTGGAAGCCAGATGAAGGTTTCCACGAGGAAACGAAGAGGTCAGGGTTGGTAAGAAGGCAGCCTTCAGGCGTCTTCATGTCATTCGAAGGCTCCATGTTGAGGTCCCCGCACAGGCCACACAAGTAGCCTCGGAAGCGGTCAGCGGCCTGAGCAAAGTATGTTCTATGATTAGAAAGTTATTTAGGCAGTAACGGATGAGCAGTATATATTCTTGAAAAATCGTATTTAAAATGAGTGACAGTTTGTAATTGGTCGACTCGCTAGTGAAGAAATGACGTAATAGGAAAAGCTGCAAAATTAACATAAATAACCAGGATATTTGCATTTGATTGAAGTGCTATCAGGATGAACAGATTCAGTTTGTAACAAATTTTGTAGGCTAGTGGATGTGATAATATGAAAATGCAGGGAGCAAATACATGATAAAACTAATCTTTTTATGAAGTCATCCCACGCCTGTAAAATATAATAAGTAATTGGTAGTTGAATCTCAACCACTGCCAAAGAAGCTTGCTGAAGGTAACTAATAGGTAAATTCATTGAATAAGATCACAGTACATTCATTGGATACTAACTCCCAAGCAGGGGGCAATCCACATTGGATGCACTGGAATGTTGTTAAAACGCGAGATCTTCACTACAAAAAGTTCAACAAATGATCTGCTATTCTTTCAAACTCTTAAGCAATGTAATACTGGTGGAAGGTTGACTTCAGGCGCTCCCTCATTTATGCACTTACCAGATGAAAAAAAAATATTCTGAACGGATGCAATCGAAAATCGATTTCCAACAGAAGGATGCTGACCAGAAAGGGGCCTAAATTTTACACTTCTCGATTAAGATTTTAATACTTCCAGTAAAAATCCATATATTGAATAATGTAAGGCCATTGACGCTACGGTCATTTAATAAACTACAAGATCAAATTTCACCTTAATGTAGACGCTGGATTCCTTGACAATGACATCAACAAGGCCGTGCAGCTCCACTTTGTAGAAGCCGCGGCGTCTGTACAAGAACCCGATCACGTTGCTCCGGCCCTGCCCCTTGAGCTCCCTAAAGTACTCTCGCCCATCCCATCTTTGGTTGTTTATCTGTGCGAGGAAAAGGGAATAATTTTGTATGCTTTTGTGCGGCATAGACCATTACTTGATCAAGCAAAAGAAATAAGGAAATTAATACAAAATTTATCGTATTTTCAGTGGATGGGTGAAGTTTACATCCGTGGAAACCGACGAGAGCAAATCTTAGAAGCCGCTATTGAAGCGTGGATGCTTATTCCGATATTATATATTTACTTTGAACCAAAGTTCTTCTTAGCTCATAAATTCATGTGCATTTAAACTACCTACATCCTTCCAAATTAGAAGCAATTTGTGAAGCTCTCACCATAATCTCCCCGTCGTTGATGGTGAGAGAAAAGTCCTGACGTTCACCTCCTATGATGACCAGGACTCCGTTGCGTGCTGAGCGCTGCACGGCGATGCCGAAGTCATCATCGTTGCCGTGCTCGCACAGCGTCGTGGCGAGTGACGCGCAGCGGTCCAAGAGTGACGTGTTCACGTGGAGGCCGTCGTACGTCGTGATCTGCACGTCAAAGATTATTCGGCGACGACCTTTTGCTAGGCACTATTTTATTAGTAGGTACTCCCATTTCAAAAATATTGAGCTTTGAAGTTTTCAATAATTTCAATGCAAGAGGGATGTGTTCACGTGGAGGCCGTCGTACGTCGTGATCTGCAAGTCGAAGATTATTCGGCGACGATCTTTTGATAGGTACTATTTTATTAGTAGGCACTCCCATTTCTAAAATATTGAGCTTTGAGGTTGTTAATAATTTCAATGTACTTTGAACCTCCTCTCGATCATTATTCGCTGAATTAAAACTTAGTGATACGATAAAATAATTTGTCTTTAATTTTGAATGATTGACAACATCGCTGATGTTAATGCTGCTTGGTTTTAATACACAATAATCTCTTTGGTTTTCATATATAATTGATACGAAGCATTTAACTATTCATTTGTGGATATTATAACCGAAGTTCGCTCAGATTCTTTCATGCATTTCCATTGAGTCTCATGAATTTCAATGAAATTACAAGACATAATTGATGAAATTGTGAAAATAAAAATTTTTACAAGGAGAAACAAATAAATAAACTGTGAAGGATAAAATAAAAAACACACGCTGAATTCCTAAAAACAGATAAGCTGCTAACGGAGATCGTTCTGATTAGGGTGGCGGACTTGCGCTTAGGGATTACATTGATTGACTTGAATTTGAGATATAAGAGGCACAGTCGAAAGCTTCTGTTAAAGATTAAGATTCACTCCACTGAACGTGGTTAGATGAGTCAATAGGGATGGAGATAGAAATAGTTGAGGATCAGGATTAAAGTAGTCGCTTACATCAAGTGGATATTGCATGGCTTGTGTAATTGTTGATATTATCACCTTAAATAATTCTATAGTGCAATATTGATTTATTATTCTGTAAATAAAATGATGAATTGATAAAGTCAGCGATAGTCTTGTCTCCAAGCCTTCAATAAGCATAGTCATGCATTGTTCGTAAATACCATCATAAACACCATCACTGCACTGAGAGATTTTGGTGGGTCTGGATGATCCAACGGCGTTCAAATAGCGATGCATTTTTTTGACTCACTTGCTCCATTTGTGGGTCATCTGACCTATTACAGGCCCTTTAAACTTCAGGTATGACTCACTTGTGGCATGAGAGCGATTTAACGCCACGAGTGAGTCATACCTGAAATTTAAGAGACCAGTAATAGGTCAGTGTGACCCACAAATGGGGCAAGTGAGTCAAAAAATGCATCGCTATTTGAACACCGTTGTCTCTACTAAGTGTGTCATCCAGACCCACAAATTTTTCTCAGTGTGACAAGGTTGATGATTTGCAAATTTCTTTTTATATCGTCATTTTGTTTCTTCGATGTACAGTGTACTGCTGCAATTCCGGTGTTTTTCGTAAAAAAGTTGTATCTTAAATACTATTATCACGTTATGTTATCCCTCAGAAAAAGCTGACTCACTGAATTAGGCTGGATGACGCAGTAGTCTCCGGGAATGTAATCCGACATGATGCCAATTTTTGCAAAGTTCTGGGCGACTTCAGGGAGTTGGACTCCATCCAAAACTTTCTGACCGTTACGAGTCACGAACCACCTGTTCTGTTCATCACTGTGCAGCAAAAAAGTTGTCGTGTAGTTAGTAATGAAGTTACTTTAATTATTATCGAAAATTGATTTATTAAACCTAGAAATTATCGAAATAATAAACCTTGAATTATCGAAAATTTATGTTTAGCTTATCGTATGAGCAAAAACTAGGACCATAGTTTGGAAACGAGAAATTATTTACACTAAATATCTGCAGAAAGAAATTTTAAAATTAGAAATACCGGTTGCCGGAAGACTGTATTTTCTTCACGCTGTCCTCAGCAAAACAATCGTCAATAGTAGGCTCGTGCATAATTCTTTTCAAAAAGATTTCATTGAAGAGAGTCTTGTAAGTGAACCCGAGGAAGCTGTTTCGACAAGGCAGTTTTTTGACCTATGATTGAAAATTAGGTCGATAAGAAATCGGAATATTGCGAGGAAAAATATTTTTACATATTACAGTTCGACCTTCAAACGAAATATTCATGATTTAATATCAAGTGAAGATAAATTGTATTTAGGAAATTTTTAGGCGTATGTACTCTAAGTTTTCTGGAAGAATCTGTTGAAGAAACATCAAAAATGAAAGGTCTTAAAAAAAAATCCGCTTCACGAGACAAACCACTTACGTCATTCACATTGAGGGTGGTTGTGACTTCGTTGTACTCCGCTATTTTGTGGAACTCTTGTACAGCGTCGGTTTTCTTGCTCCAGTGACATTTGCTCTTTTCCTGCAATTTCTGTTTCAGGCTGGCCTTACCCGCTTCAGTAAGTGAATACTTTTGCTGTACATGGAGGCGGTGTTTAGAAGTTTTTATATAGACCAGTAATTCATTATGGAACTAGGGACCAGCGAGTGATTTTGGATGAGCAATTTTGCACTCTATTGATTGAGGTAAAGTTAAAATCGTCGACGATAATTATGGTTAAATGAAGTGTGCTCCATATAGAGAAATTAAAACTACTACGGCATCAGTTCATGTTTGAAATCTGACAGACACTATAACACGATCAAAAAAGAACGTCTTTTCAAAATTTTTAGCTGTCAAAGGGTCCAAAACAAGCTTAATTACCAACTTGTACAAAAAAACAAAAGCTATTGCGACATCACATCTTGCTCGTATACAGAAGCAGATATGACACTCTTATAACAGATATGACCCTTAATGTATTCATCTAAAATATTTCTTCATCTAAAATTTTCACGGCAAAAAGCGTACACGTACAAAACGTCACATTTTTAAAAAACTTAATGTATGAAAACCTCATGAGAAGAAAGTAAAGTCATTAGTTTGTTCTGTATTTCAAAAATGAGATGTAGGTCAGGGTTATTAGAAAATTTTTGCATTAAACACCTTCTACAAGTTATTATTCAGAGATTGAAATTGCTCTCATTTGTTGGTTTGTTAATTGTACGTAATGCAATCAGAAGTTTGCATGTAGATTTTTATTCAGGTTGCTTATATAATCGATAGTTACTGAAACATTCTATTACGTCAATAACGAATTCCTTGTGTTTCAAATTAGTGGATGAGAATTTGCAATAAGTTCGCCGTGAAACAAACAAGTTTTCACGACACTCAGGCTAATACTCACCGAGGCTGATGAGAAAAGCGTCTCGCAGCGGTCCCCTTGATACATGCTGAACTGCTCGGACTTGGTGAGGTTCTTTGCGAAAATGACGTCAATTGTGTCGAGGTCGTTCAGCTTGGGAAGCGTCAATTCCCCCTCGAAACAAGACTACGGGAAAAAATATTATTGACATGAACTCTGATAATGTATTCTAAAAGAATGCGCATAGGTAAAATTCAGAAAAAGAACCCTGAAGGCATTCAGGAAAATAACACTGTGAAAAATGAACTCACATGTTTTTTAATACAATAGACATTTTTGCGATATAATTTCCAAGCAAAATGTATAGGGAGAAGTGTAGACAAGTGCCAATTTCTCGAATTAGTTTTTTCAGGTAAGCCATGTTTCTGGCTGGCAATAATGAACGTAGTAAGCCGCAAGGAATTGGGAACTATTTAATCCTAATATGATTAATTGAAATTGATACAATTTACAACGTATGTGATTGTATTATGTATGCTGCATTTAAGCTTCCAGTTTTTAATATAACAACTGTACATTTTATCTGCTGCCCTGAATGTCTACCTGTAGCATTGTGAGTTCAGCAGGCGAAACATAAACTAAACAAGAATTTTTAAGTGCAATTATTAGCAGTAAAATGTTTACTATATTGCACTTTAGATAGATATGTGCAATTCATAGTGCACATATCTATCATCATAGATAGATATGTGATTCATAGCATCATATCTATCGGGATCATAGTGCAATTCATAACATGCTACAGCTATGTTGAAGACCAGAACAAAAACATATAATGGAAGTTATTTAAAATAAAAATTATAGTCTGACCCTGGCGCAAGGCACTCCAGTAACGTCGAAGACCGCCGCAATCTTGGTAGACTTTTGGTCCTGCAGTCCGTAACAAGTTGTGGTGGCCAAGACAGCCTCGAAGCTCGCGGTCTGCTGATTGTTGCGCCATACCTCGCCGCGGATGCTTTGGCCAGTTATTTGGTACTCTGATCCCAACAAAATGTTTTGTATAAGTAAGTATGATAATAATAAGTATTTAAACTCAAGCGAATGGGATGAGCATATATCGTATAGCAATCAGTTTGAAACAAATTAAGGCACTTACATTTCCATAGGAAAACATATATCATATCGAGATCGATTTAATATCAATAATGACACTTATACTTGTATAAGAAGAACATACATTATATCGAGATCAATTTGAAGTAAATAAAGGCATATATTATCAAACCCCACGTTATGAATAGAGTTCATTAAACAAAAGAATAAATTTATCTTGTTAATTCCGTAAAGGGGAATTAATTGGATTAATTAATCAAGCAAATCCTTGTAATCCGTGCTGAAAATACGTGACACGCCTCATCTGAAATATTCATATGGACCCCAAAGGTTAGCGAATTTCTAAGAGCTTTAGCAAATATATTAATCCATCTCAATGGCAGAAAAATAAGCGTCTGCTATCATGGTAGAAGTCATAATATATGGTTAAAAAAATTAAAAAATTCCTATGATATAGTTTCAAACAATTTGAAACGGTTAATAAATTTTTCAGAGCGGTAAAGTTACAGTTGATTTATTGAATTTTTATAAAAACGTCACACAACAATATTAAGATACGTGTATTGTATTATTACATATTATTAATACGTAATACGTATTATTAATACGTATTATTAATACGTGCTTAATATACTAATATTTACTAGTAGTACTTCATGCTGAAGATACTAGTGCGCACACTGCTGAAAATACTAGTATTTCACTGATGTAGCGAAAAGTAAAAGTAATATTAAACTGTACAGCCTGGCCCGTATGATGAACAATATCCCATCAGAAAGTTTAGATCATGCGAACGTCATCTCTGCGACTGATGTTTCAGCATTAGTTGAAATAATAAATTTCAGCAATACGTTTTTCAGAAGCAATAAGTTTTCCCCGAGTATGAGCGCCTTCAAAAACAGACTAGACGAAGCTATGAAGGAGCATATGTTCAGTCTTAGAATGCCTAGCAACTTACGGACCAGGCAATAAGTCCAGCAGCTATCTCAATCAATCGTCAGCTATGGAAAGATCGGGTTCCAAAGGCCGGATCCCTTGTGAATCAAGTCACGAAAAGTTCAAGAATCGGCAACAGGCCATGGGCCTATTTCTTCAGTGCCGACACTTCGATTATATTATATTATATTACATTATATTATATTATATTATATTATATTATATTATATTATATTATATTATATTATATTATATTATATTATCATAAGCTTCGCAAGATCCATGATGAGCAGCTAATGCAAACAGTCCGCATTTTTTCTCTAATTGAATTTTATCTCAAAAATTTTCACCAATAATAATGATATATACAATTTTAGGTTCGAAGAAAAATTCGGTTAAAATTCGCCGCTCCTTTTCTTAGTGTCTATGCATTATTGTTTCAAAGCATCATATTTACATCGAGAGATCCGTTACAGCCCAATTGAAAAAATTACTGCAAACAAATATATATATGCAATTTGTGTCGAATATCGCAATATTCGAATGGTGTTGTATATAGGGATAAAAAAAATTACCACATTATCGAATAATCCTAAAGAACCATATCCATGATATATTAGATCTGACCCAACGCCTTTTTGACTTTTGAATTTTTCGCCCCAATTGTCCGTGATACTAATAAAATTCAGAGCAAGGAAAAGCCAGGGTGCGACAGCTACAACAGCGCTGTGGCTCCAGTGGAAGGCAGAAATTTTGGATGTAAGGACGGATCTGGATCCTACTGTTGCTACGGAGACCGTGAGCCTGCTTTCGTGGCGAGCTCGTGATGTTCACGTTGGATACCTCCTCCAAGTGATGTTCCCTGGCCCTGTGGACCGACGTCTAATGACTCCTTAATCCAAACCTGCATCAACCGTCCCGGGATGATGGACCTCTCTTCGAGCACTCAGCTGGACCTAACTTACCATAGAGACCAAGTCTTTATTCAGTACACTGTGAGTCCGGCAATGACAGAGCGTGATTCATTGTCAAGGATGGTGTTGGGTTAAAGATCTAATAGCCGCTTCACGGCCTGATGTATAATAAAGATGTAGGGCCAACTGATCTAATCTTATTTTGTCAATAGAGCAAATGAAATGAAATGATTTTTTTAAATTGATCCAAATGATGTATAATTGAAAAAGTGATTGATAACTGATCACAAATTGATTAAATGATTGTTAAAGTCGCTAATTGATCTCGAAGAAACAAATGACAAATTCAAAGTCCAACGATTGTGATATTATCTCTCCTCGGTATATTAATTTCATCTTTACTATTTACTTAATAGATGCCGCATGATGACGTACGCATGACGTCATCCGCCTCAAGTTTACTACTGGCCCTTTCTTGAACGAAACAATGGCGGAATTCACGCAATTTTTATTTTCTGCACACGGTTGATTGAATAAATTATTTCGTATAAACGGTTTTTGTCTTTCCGTCATAAAGTTTTCGTTAATTTGTTATTGCAATCCATTTATACAAATTAGAAACTAAACATATTTTAGCCGTGGAAAATGGAACTGGCAAGTTGTGGTCATGCATTCACTCGCCTCCTCATTTTCAATTAATCACCTGCGCATGTTCCCCAAAACCAGAAAATAAAATCTCACGGTTACACAATTAATTGATTGCACTCACTCCAACCGGCGTTCCTGCGAAGATTGCGTAAGAACGACATGAGTTGCGGCTCCGACACGCGCCCAAACTGCTGAGTCGGGCGGGTCAGTTCCACTTCAGTCGAGTCGAGGATCGTTAACTTCTGCGGAGCTTTAGACTGCTGTTGCTCCTCCTGGCCGAATGACCCGAACGTCTGAGGAGGAATATTTATTTAAGTTCTTGGAATACGGAAAAAAGCTTATGACTGGCGAGAAATGAGGACACATTCTGCTGAGACAGATGATTGTTCCTCAGTCGCTCATGTAACTACTTGTGATGAGAAGTACTTTGCTTCTGCGGTCACAAATTTCCTATCGAGTAGGCAATCCCTCGTCATATTGTACGCGTTTTGCAGGAAAAGCAAGAGTCAATAATTAAAAAAAACTATAATTAAATAAAAATATAAAATAATGAATACAAGATAGTAGAGGAAAATAATTCATATTTAACAAGGGCCAAAACAACAAAGACAATATAAAGAACAACAGCTTCTACAGTGTTGGTTAAGTTACAGGACAGTAAGTTTGACTTGCTGTATAGACGACGGCTGTTGCTTTACCTGAATTTCATTGAAACCTGACTGCTCGATGTCGACACCTCCAGACTGTTGACTCCACAGGTCCTCGTCTTGCGACTGATCCCCAGTGAACTGCTGCACGATGTCTGAGCTCTCGTGGCCGCACAGCTCGTAGTCCTCGAAGGAATCTTGCCCGTACTTGGAGACGAAGCGACCGGCGTCGGACGCGCGTTCCAAATGGCCTGTGAAAATATTTAGTCGGGTTCATTAAGAGTCGTATTCGCAACATGATGCATCAAATTCAGTTGATACATACGTAAGCGTTACATGTAGAGGATTAATTTGCACGATTTTTTTGAATAATTGAATATTTGTTCGATATAATAATGCGGTTTAGGCTTTTAAAATTTTTTATTAAGCTTAAATTTGCATGGTGAACTAAGGACATTGATTTTCAGTACTCGCCAATGGTAGCAGTTTCATCGTCTGAAATGGCCTTGAAATGTTCCGTTATACGTTTGTTGTAATGAATTCATGGTGCGGCCAGAGGTGGGCCATAGCGCGCTACATGTAGCGGTAGCGGTAGCGGCGCTACATTTAAAGCAATGTAGCGGTAGCGGTAGCGCCGCTACATATTCAAGTAGCGATACGAGGTTTTGCCGCAACAGCGCTACCGCAACATTTATAGATTAAGCCTTTAGATTTTACTTAATAGTATTAAATATTATTTAAAACCAGCATGATACATACATAATATAAATTACTGAATAAAACTGTACGAAAGATTTCGGTGTAATGTTGTCAACCTCAGCCTATTACTAGTGTCAACATGTTAGTTGTTACTTGTTAAGGTGTTACCAGTTACCACTTACAGGTATTTTTTCATGTTTAAGTTTGCTTACAGTTATTTTTACACAGTTATTTTTATGTTTCACCTTCCCTATATGAATGTCTACCTTAATCTACCAATGTAAAAAATAATCCACATATATATGCAAATAAAAGACTGATTTTTTATATGTACACTGTATGTGGATAATTTTTGAGATTGGTAGATTAAAGTAGACATCCATGTAGGGAAGGTAAAACATAAAAGTAACTGTAAATTTTATTTACTGTATCTAACCCGTACTAGTTCGGTTAGGTTAATTGCAATAAAGTTGCATTGATATCTTTTGCAAATGTTTTATTATCATTACATGTTTATGAGTAAATCCCAATAGCAGAACAATAAATATTTAGAGATTTCCAATAATTTTGGCCATTGTAGCGGCTAATGTAGCGGTGCTACATTTTACTGTAGCGGTAGCGCTCGCTAAAATCTAGTGGGTGTAGCGGTAGCGGCCGCTACATTTCAAAGTAGCGCTGCCCAGCTCTGGGTGCGGCTAAAATACAAATTTAGAATGGTGATAATGCCCTACAGATATATCGTCATTGCCTGAACGTTGCTTAACGATGTAGGTTTAAAAGCCCGGAAAAACTAAAAGATTGATTCAATAATATATCCGTAACAGGAGAGTTTAAACGATGAATTCTTTTATCGTTCTACAACTACGATCACTTTGTGCAAACTCCCAATTCAAACCTACTATTGACAATTATGCGCTAAACTTTAATTCCCTCAGAAATATCCTAATGAAGCGGTAAGTATGTAAGTATGCTTTATACTTTTATTCTCTTTGAAATATTTAAATGAAGTACTGTAATTATTCGTTAACTTTTATTCTCTCGGAAATGTCCCAATGAAGTAATGTGATTATGCGTTAAACTTTAATTCTCTCGGAAATATCCCAATGAAGTGATGTATGAAATAAGAACAAATTACTAACCTAGACTGTATCTGAGGACGACACGAGCGTTGGTAGGGTTAAACTTATGCACGACGGAGAAGGTGAAGGCGTGCAACGAAGGAGCCAGCAGCCATTTATCCAACGAAGACGTTTTCCTGGTGAAGAAATTCCAGTTACGAGTGAGCCTGAAGATTTTATTGAAGCAGTAATCATTCCTAGAATAAATAGTTTACGTATTGAAGCGATATAAGAATTCTCTTCGTTTCAGTTTAATTCGGATTTTCAACTAAATATTCAAGGAAGAAGGATCCTAATTTTTGAATGTTCAACATTTCCTTTAAGATTTTCGTGGAAACAGTGTTATAATTTATGATAGCTCTTCTTCATTTCACTTCGTATGACTAATTGATACATTTGTTGTTGATTGGCCTGACGAGATATTAAAAAATTGCACTGAATGCTTGTGTAATTTTTTTCGCCACTCGTACCAGGACGAAAGTGAAGGATTTTTCTGCGGTTGCTACTGCCGAATAATTCCAATGAATGAAGAGTTTGATGCTTTGAATTAATAAGCTGACATACGCATATTTAAACTTACAGATTTGGGGAAAATAAACAAGTTTAACTGTGAATACGAATTGTAAGTCCGAAGAAGAAATTCCTGCCCAGCAATATATATTAGTTTTATATCCACTCTACAGTCATCAATCGAGTCAAAATATTTATTCATTATATTAAAGTTGTATTAACTTACTTGTCAAAGAAGGAATCCAATTCCAGAGACAGCGGGATGTCGCCTTCATACTTGGCATCAAAATTTAAAGGCAAGGTCCATTCATTCTGCCAGGAAAAAATTTTCAGATTAATTTTTTTGTCATTCAAGAAATTTTGAATTCATGATTATGACTTTTATAGCATTGTACATTAAATTCATTCGAGCTCATGTTTGTTCAAAGGTATACCAAAATGCGGCTTCGTAAACAATCATAGATAAGTAAATTTTATTTTAAACTGCATACTTGTTTTTAGACACAAATAAATTTATTTTTACAGAGAAATTTCGTCGTGAACTACTCCACGAGATAGATATAGAGTTGACGCTGTCGATCTTTATAAAGTGTTACGCTGGAAAATTATGCATGCAATTTTTCAGTTATTAACATAAATCGCCCAGAATATTATTGCTGATAAATCTTTCCTCGCAGAAATAATGTACATCTATTGTTTTTTACACAAATGCAGTAAAAGTAAGCAATTACACAAAAGATCAGGTTTAAATAATTAAATCGAGTAAAATAATTGAATCGATAAAAAAAATTACATAGTAAAAAGTTATACCGGGTTTAGTAATTAAATCTATTAAAAAATCAAATCTTGCAAAAAATTAAATCTAGTAAAAATTAAATCTAGCAAAAAATTAAATCTAGTACAAAATTAAATCCAGTAAAAAATTAAATTTAGTAAAACATTTAAATCGAGTAAAATAAATAACCTTGTACTTGGTGTGTGACAGAGGATCGGGCTCAACAGGTGCCATGTTCTGGAGCACCTGTGTTACATCGGCGGGCGCTGTGTCCCGTAGGAGGGTGTAGGGCTGAGTCGTCTTTATGAACACTATAGCCTGTGAAGTGAACAAAATATAGAGTGTTGAAAATTGTAAAGATGTATAACTTATCAATCATATTATATTATTATTGAACGAAATTATATTATTGATGAACGAAGTTTAAAAAGTTTTAATTCAGTTACCAATCATTCTATTAAATATACCCAAAAATGGAATAGAAGTAAAATTTTTGCGGATAAATTACATACAAAACCTCAAAATACGTTGAATAAACAATTAAATCACCCAAGGAATAGGAAAATATTCTCCAGTTCAAGTAAAGACGGACAAAAACTTATTAAAAATTCACAAAGAATGTCAATCAAAGAATGTCTATCAATGTACTCATTCACTTATTGACATATTCCTCATTTAAGCTGGATTAAGTTCACGTTGTGTTTTTTCAATATGTTTTATTACATGAATTAATCACAAGAATCAGATTAAAATCTAAGAGTTTTTGTGTTTACACTCGTTTCGTATTTCGGAGTGAGAGTGATTTCTAAACCAGCGTTGTGGTCTTTGTCTGCAGTAGCTCTGTAGACCAGTTTGGGGGAGTAAGGTTGCAGTGCGCCGGTGGTGTGAGAGACTCCAGCGGCCACCATACTTCTGGACCACGGTGCCATTGTCTCGACGATTACACTCAATGTAGACACGCAACTGCAAACATATCAGTCAGACTCAATAGAATATAGAAAAAATATAACTCGGTACTCACTGCAGTGAGTGACAGAGAGCGCATTTTCTCGTCGACGAAAACGTAAAGTCACGGACAGACGGAATGGACGGACTCAACAGAGTATAGAAAAAATATAACTCAATCCCCACTGCAGTGAGTGACAGAGAGCGCATTTTCTCGTCGACGAAAACGTGAAGTCTCGGACGGACAGACGGACGGACGGACATGGCGAGCACAATAGTGCATTTTTTCCATAAATGAGAAAATGCGTTAAAAAGCCTTGCTTAAATTTTACTAAACACTTCGCAAGATCTACCAGTGTTAGGCAATTTAATTCAATTTTATGATCTATGTTCATATAAGGATACTAGTGATGTGAGAATATATTTTGGTTCTCATAATCTCAAAATCGGTTGAGGTTTCTGGGACATTATTTCATCGATCAATACTATTTCGACAGTTTTATTTATTCAAGTCCATTCTGAAGATTAATACGACTCCAACTCTAATTCGACTGCTGTTTTCAAGCTGAGACTACGAATTGTTTAGCTTTCCCCAAAATTATTTTTTATTTTTAGTTGAGAAAAAGAAGGTGGTTGAAGTGAGGATTCCATATAAGCTGTTCCATTAGCATACAGGTTAATAGATTTGGGCGACGACTGGTGATGACGCCTTTATAACTTTTAACAGCTGCTGCAAATTTCGTAAAAACATGATACTAAACGAGATTAGCGATCGCAGTGCAGAGAACAGCAGGAATTGCTTTTGTTGTGTCTTCCGAGGAGTATCTCGACATTATTTCCGCGGTCGCAACCGACTGAAATCTGCACTACAGAAACTGGTAAATTACATCATCCAGTAGACTTTGAAAATCAATTTATCAGTAATTGTTTAAGGACATTGATTTACGAAACTTTATCTGTCTCGAGTATGCAGGCCTTGGATGCGCGCCAGGATCAAACACGCATATAATTATTTACGAAATATTTAGAATTTGGACCAATAATTTAATTGCTGATGTTCTAAAACCTTTACCATGTTCCATTAATTATTCAATTAAATCACACTAATCAAACCTCATACACTCGAAGGCTATATGACAGCAGCTGAGTTAGGATGCATTGTGAGGCATTGAAAAGGTGTTTAGTTGTTCTTATGAACTCTTCCGCACTCTTGCTGGCTGCATTAACGCCTGAATTAAGCACATGATACGAGAATAAATATTAATCCAGATTTACTCACGATTCCGCGAATGCTCTAGTTTCCAGTTCGAAAGTTTGCTTGGATGCATTTCTGGAGAAGGCCAAGGTGCCAGTGAAGTGGTAAATTGTTGGCTTCGCCACCTGCTCAACATTAGCTGGCATTGATTGATTGATATAAAAATAGTACAGGATAAAGCTTCTTCTTCGACTTTCTAATATGTTAAAATTGACTTTTGAAAATGACTGCATCTGCGACCGATTTTATCAATTAAGCAGTTATATAATAATTGAAATTGCCATGGTACTTTCATATGTCGGTTTTAATTGAACATGGTGCATAGAAATGATGATTTGGAATGATTCGTCCCTAACATCGAATGAATCTGATTTTTTTCGTGTTGGAATCTGCAGTATTTGGATGTTTGGATTTGTCTTTTTCAGCATTCCCATGAATATTTTTCAGTATTTACATTTCAATATTTGATTATCTCTCCATATTCAGTTAATATGGTAATTTATGAGCCCTAAATAATTAACTCAATTCTAGAGCATTGCAACACAAAGCTAAAAATTTCTATTCTATAACAAGAGCAGCGATGTACTCACATTAGTAATGACCGGCAGTCCAATATCATTCACTGTAGTGAACGTATAATCAACGGGGTTGACATACAGGGTGCTAGGCCCAGAGAAGCTATTGCCGGAGCCCCCTGACATAAAAATGAAACGGAATTATGCAATACAGAGGAAAATTGGTAAGTAGAATCTGAATTATTTTGATGGTTTTTGATTGCAAATAGGATTTGATGTGCAAAATAATAATGCAATTATAATCAGCATGAAATGAAATGAATTCCTTCACAACTTCCTTCACTTTCCTTTAAATGAATTCCTTCACAAATTCTTTGTAATGTGCTTCTGCGCAAATACGATGCACGATGCTTCTATACATGTTATTTTACGCTGTCAATTTCAATTGCATTCGCATCTATTATTATGAAGAAATTTTATATTGCACCTTCAAGCAAAAAAATTTACCTCAGAGTCCAATAGTATGAATTAAAATTATAAAACTATTTAATGATTATCTGCTAGGCAGGATTTAATTGAACTAAGCTTCACAGGCCTCATTATTAACTTGAATTGTTAATTAACAAGATTGCGATGAGCCGAAATGAGAGCGAATGAGAAAACTTAGAGATAGCGCAGTAACTTAATGATTAATAAGGCATGAAAATATTTAATATACAAAAAAGATTAAAATAAAATATATATGTTGACTTACACACAGACTTCACGAAGTCAGCAATGAACTCGTGCTCGAGAGGCAGGAAGATCTGAACGTCCTTCAGTGGGTTGAAGGAAACCAAGCCCACTATTGCCGCCCGAACCTTCTCGTTGATGACCAGATCCGACTGATGGCAACAGGGCGATATTTTTACTTGAATTGTAAGTAATGAAGTCGGAGATAATATTAGAACACAAAATTTAGCTTCAAAATATTTTTTCGTCGTCTTCGGCTACCGATGATGTTTAAATATTGATCTTTCGCTTTGTTCACTTGAAAGGAAAAATATTTCATTGGTATCTTTGCTGTACTTGTGCAGATGTACTTTGGTTGACTGTTTGTAACTTGATATGAATCTAGGTATGTTAGGGCTACTGATAAGGCTTGTAAATACATTTCGTAATCGAGCGTCCTTAACAACTGCTATACAACTTAAATATAAGATAATATATACAACTTAAAGATAATATATTTCTAGAGGTACTTACACGGAGCATCTTAGTGTTACTATACGTTGATATACTATTAGTGTTACTATTGTGCTATAGAACCTAAAGATAATATATTTATAGAGGTACTTACACGGAGCATCTTCATCAAGTTGGTTGAGATTTGCGCATTGCTGATCGCGGGGGCCACGTTGTACAGCAGCTTGCTGATAATCTCCATCAAGTTCCCGTTGTCGTTGGAAATTGAGACGTCCAACTACCAGTAAAATATATTATTAAGATACGTTTCTATTAAGCAGAGAATGAATAGTAATGAATTAACAAGACACGTATTGAGCATGTAGGTTATATTAAGTAGCAATTGGCAAAAATATCTCCATGTGTCACTTGAAAGAAAAAGTCTAGAAAATATTCAGCAATGTACAACGAATTACAATACCAGCTAAATACACTAAGAACTTCCCGTCCAAATTATCAATTTGAAGAGAACCATGAGATTGAAGAAGCAAAAACATGATGGCTGGTTGAACCATATCATGCACGATAGTTTTCTGCTTCTATTTGTATGGCCTCCGGACATTTAAATCCCATTAAAAATGTAGCACGGACGTGCTGTGCAATTAAAACGTCTACAAAACGGATATTTTTAACTTAAAGCTGCAAATAAACAAAAATAGAATATTTTATTAATATCTACCATACTTTCAATGAATTGGACCTTATCTGTATAGACGACGGAAAAATGCCAAAGAATTACCGATCGTGATGATAGAAACCAAAGCAATGAAACTTGGTCGTTCTCGAGAAGTTACCGACAACTCACCTTGCGATGGAACACCGCGCCTCCTAAAGTTTTCCTGACGTAGGCAGAAAACTCTGCTGGCAGGGGAGACGCGGGGTCTTTGATGCCCATCTGGTAGTCCAGGCTTCCAAACTGAGCAAAAATTAAATTTATTCTATTTATCTCCGAGAAAGCCATGAAAACTTTGTTAGGGAATAGTATAAATTTACTCATATTTCATAGTAGCAATTTTTAAATTTTCATTTAGAGCTTTCCATACTTTAGGTTATGCAAACATCCGGGATTCATTCATTCATGTTTTGGTTACGCGCTGGTAAGGACTAACACCTGGCACAACGCAACTGTACATACGTTTTTTACTGAATATACGTAGCGTGAACTCAGTGTTTTGTCTGAACTGAACATTTACACGGCCGTGTCAAGATACAGTGATAAGAGGTAGTCCCCAGCAACTTTGTATACTTTCAATCTATTAAAGTCAGAGAATAGGTTTATTAAAGAATTAACCCCCTTTTAACACGGGGAAATGTTACAAAACACTGATAATGATGCATACAACATAATACATACATTGCATAAATTTAAAAAGAATATTTTCTTGAATCAAGCGGTTTTTAATTTTTATGAAGTTAGAACAATGCGGGCAATTAGTTTTCGGAAATATTTTGCTTTTAATCCTTGCCGCAATGCCCACCAATTATTGCCTCAAAAAACACACACGCAGCAATTAACAGGCGAAGTTAATTTAGAAGATTTTTTGTCAATTCAAAATGAGTACACAATATTGTGAAGCGATAAATTAATTTTCTCAAAAATCGTGTAAAGAAAGGTTCATTTAAAAAAATCTTCTTATAAATTATCCGGTTACGGTACGAATGCCAGCAAATATTTTTAAGTTTCATATGTTGGATCGACGTGATACAAAAAATACATTAATTGTAGAAATACTCAAGTGTAGGAGAATTTATAATGAAACTTTCAGTAAAAGTATTAAAATTTCACACGGCACGAAATTTTTATTTTTGTACTAATTAGTGAGCCTTTCTTAGAAGGCATCACTGGACGGAAAATCATCTCGTTCCATACATATAATACATAGTAATTCTTCCATTATTTATGATCGGTTTTTAAAATCTGTTACTCCAATTTTAATCCGCTCATACACAGAGTGATGTGCTGGTGAATTATCATTGCATTGATGATACAGGGATGGAGATATCACACAACAAAAAAACGGCCTTGAATCAACGTTGACGATAAATTAGTTCCGACCAATAAAGTTTGAACGCAGTTGTTTCAATGCCAGGTGCCTGGTGGGCTATAATTCAAGTGTTTATACTTGTAAATCTTTTTTTAGTCCACAAATTATAAACTCGTTCTTCTTACTTTAATTTGAACACTTCAAATTTTTAAATTTTATTTTAATTTTTAGTTGGCAGTACCTGAGAAGAGAAGCAGTAGCGGTACCAAGACTTGAAGGCCGAGTAGCGTTCAGCCGCGCTGCTGGGCTTCGCAAGCGAGAGTGCGTGCTGCGCAAGCTGACGCCTGTGAAAAAAAAAAACCACTTACGTTACGCAAAATTTGTACGTGCCCTCGTGATTTATTAATGTGAAACCTAGACAGCGATCAAAGTTAGGCATTGACGAGAGAGCTTTTTTAGTAGATAATCTCAATTCTGAATTATGTGGAGTATATATTTTGAAATCTCCTTCAATATGTTACCTGAAAAATTGCGGGAATTAGAAAGTATGGAGGAACCTTCCACTCCAAAGAATTCACAGCACACAATGAAGAATGTACGATGTTTAGCTATGATCAATCTTTATAAATATTTAAATTGCTAGTTTACATATGTCACTCACATCCTGATGGCCTCGGGATGCTGGTATTCAGAAGTAGTCTTGATAAGCGAGTAGGTGAGTGCAGAAAGATCTCTCAGGCCAGACATTTTTGTGGCCAGCGCCAGGCGCGTCCAAGCTGCCGACGTCAGAGGCCACGAGGAGAGGAAAGCTAATGCACGCGCCCTCAGGGTCGGATGTTCGGCAGGGTTTTCGAAGATGTCCAATAATATCAAAGTGATCTGAAACAATTTGACAATTTAGTAGTGAAGTCAGCAGACTTTCATGACTGCTCTGAAATAACGGAGTTCTTCTCACATCAGCAAATCACTGCAATTGATGGTTTATAGAAACTAATCCTATCATTATCTAAAAGGTTCACTCGCTACTGCTGTTAAGAAACAGTGATTACTGATTACCTTCGTCTGATGTCGGCCACTCGGGGCGTTCCAGCTCGCCAGGGCCTCGAGGGCCAAAGCTCGAACTTGAGTGTCGCACTGCCTCCTGCCGAGGGCGTACGGCAGCAGGGCGTTGGTCGACTCAACCGTCTTCAGGTTGACCAGAGCTTTCACGTAAACCATTTGCTTCCAGAACTTGGTGGAATTCTGTAAGGCATTATAATTGTTGTTGTCATTGTTACGCAAGTTCAAAATATGAATGTTGGTGAATTAATCAACTCACCACATGTAACTAAGAAATGATGCCTATGAGCGGAGTTTGATTAACTGGTCATACTGTCGAAGTAGCATGAATTTGAAACGGAGCACAGGCGAGTGGTAACTCAGAAATATTTCCAAAACTACGAGATGATAGCTTTAATTTTGCTAATGCCTTAAAAGTATTGTTGGCAGATAAGATAAAAATGAATAACTAATATGAATTAGAATGCGTGTTACGTAAATTTGTTATAGAGCTTTAGTGTTATATTGCTATTGTATAGCATTGAGTTATTACCGAGAGTCTGTCAATGAGGGTCCTCTGTAAGATCTCAAGGATCTGGTCACGTCGGCACTGCTGTTTGGCGAAGTGAGTGAAGGAGTCGTTGCGACCGCTCGTCCCAAGGCAAAGACGATGCACCAACGAGGCGAGGTTCAACAGCGATTGAGATGTCGAGAATGGCTTGGCGTCGATGTTCTGGCTGAGAACATAATCCTGGAAGAGAGCGAAAACAATTTATGTGGTTAAATGAAAAATGCGTAACAGTGCGCAACGCATTAGCAAACACCTCCCACAAAATAAATTTTATACTAAGAACTGTCCAGGAAAAATGGCATGCAAAATTCCAATGACACTTTCAAATATTAGGAATGGAATCGAGTTAGGTTCATTCAATTTAAAATAACAAAATAACTTCATAAAATAATAGAAGGAGTAAAGAAACGAGCACGAATAATAAGTCTTAAAAATTTAGTTTTGCTAATCCATTTTGACCAATGTGGTATTACAGAACCTGCATGCAACGAAAAAATACGCTTTTCGCTTCATTCAACCATGATAGTTATCCGACTCCCTATGAAAAATATTTAATTGTGATCTGTTAAATTAACAATTTCCTATGCAACTTTCTACACTTCTAAGCCTGAACGTATAATTAATTTTCTGTATCTGAAACCCTACAATAGTCAATAATATGCCGTATTTTAGCTGACCATGACAGGCTTGAGAGCATTGGTCGTCTTAAGGTTGTTGTTGAGGGAGCCCGAGAAGACGACTTGTCTGAAGGCTGACACGCGGTTGTCCTTCAACGCCTGCAAGAAGAGCGTCACCGCAGGCTGGGTGCCCAGTTCACCGATTACACCGTAGAACAAATCACTGCACAAAAATTACTTCATTTACCTCTGATAAAATCAATTAATATAAGTGCATTTTGATGCAATAATATTATTTTTAGATGTGTAACCAAAATTAAAATTAAATTTATGTGTCCGTCTAATGTTTCCGGCAGATTTTAGCCCAAAGAATTCTCCAATAGGCACCTATGAATCGATCACTGGGAAAAATTCCTTGTCACTGATTTCATATATTACGAGAATATAACTTTTATAGTAATGGGAAGAATAATTTTATTTGGTAGCCAATTTCGAAGAAATAGTTGATTAGTTGTTTGTTTATTTTTGTTTAGCTAATAAACATGACATTGAGCTTGAGTGGCATGTGTCTACGTGAGACATTCGAGATTGAATACTTTTTGAAACCCCGATATTTATTGGTAAACTGCAACATTATTAACGTAAATAGAAAATTATATTTATTAAGAAAATTGATGCTCAACCTCGTATTGTTATCTCGGGATAAGTTATGAATTCAAGTATTCCGCTGCACAATTAGAAAATCGTATCCCAGAGGTTATTAAAAGTTGAAAGACGGTTATAAAATAAGACTTGCCAAAACAATTCGAAGCAAAACAAGTAATTGCCAGCTCGCTTATCAATGATTAACAAGTTAAAACCTGTATTATATATTAATGCGCAATGGCAGACTTGGCGACATTTCGCAACAATTTGGTAGAAATGTTAATGGCCAATTTCGTAGTAATATTAATGGGCAATTTGGTAGTAATGTTAATGGGCAGACTTACCGATGTTTGACGGGCGAAATATCTTTTTATCACACAATACACAGTGGTTATTAAATATTAATAAATACAATAGTTTTCCAAAATAATGTATGTGAATTCTTTATAGATAAATGTAAAACTCGACTCTAAATGTATCGAAAAGTCTCCCGTATATATACAAAAATATGCAATATTTCGCGACTTTTTTGGAGATGTAAGAAAGATACGTTGAAGATAATACATCGCTTGCGGGATTGCCTGATCATTGTAACAGTTGAAAGAATATCTGAATATCTAAAAAATATAACTCAGTACTCACTGCAGTGAGTGACAGAGAGCGCATTTTCTCGTCGATAAAAACGTGAAGTCACGGAAAGACGGACGGACATGACGAGCACAGTAGGACATTTTTTCCAGAAATGAGAAAATGCGCTAAAAATGCATCAAATATATTTTACGTTAAGAATTAACTTATACGTCTCGTTCGGCCTGTTACGCATCGATAAATTCCGTTTCTTTATGTTTTCAATTCCGGGAAATTTATGAAGCTCCTGTTTTGTCTCGCATATCTCGAGTCATCTCCGTACCACCCCGGGTTTCCAATAAAAGTATATAATTTTTTGTCTCGATTTTTATCACTACTCGAGATTTAGATTTTAGAATTGTCTCGTTACGAATATGAAAAATGAAAGGATGCAGATGTTTAATTGATGTTTCCCATCCCTTTATTCAAAACCAAAATTGTACCGTGAAAGTCAACCTCTGATAATATAACACGTAAATCCCTACATGCTATTATGATGTATCTTTGACGTGAGCAATAGACACGGTAATTTATTTAAAATTGTATAGTTCACAAACAAGAAAAAAAATATAACTCAGTACTCACTGCAGTGAGTGACAGAGAGCGCATTTTCTCGTCGACGAAAACTTGAGGTCACGGACAGACGGACGGACAGACGGACAGACAGACGGACAGACAGACAGACGGACATGGCGAGCACACTAGTGCATTTTTTCCATAAATGAGAAAATGCGCAAAAAAGATTTATTGTTTTATACTGATAATCTTCAAGCACTTCCTATTATTGACTCACAATTCTGCTGGTGGGATCAATGCCATTACGTTGAGCAGTTCATCAGCGGTGAAGTCGTACATGAGATACGTGGCGTAATTGAGAAGCAAAGTCGCGCGTGCAGTCGCCTCGAGTCTTCCTGTAGCCATTGCCGCTGCGACTTCGTGGATGAGACCAGCAACTCGTTGCTGGAGATTTCGGTAATAAAGATCAATAATAACATTTAAGAAGTAATACTGTCTATCATTTTAATATTATTTGTAGTATATATTGAAACATTATGAAAAAATATGTGAATGAATTTTTGGTTAGGAGGCTGGACTCTCAAAAGAGCCCCTAACCTAATGCCATCTGGGTGGAGACTCGCTGGTTAGAGTTATTCTTGGTCTGCTTATTTTTCCGATCGAAATCGCTGACTGGTATGAATATTTTTACACCAAGTTGACTAAAAATTTAAAAGCAAAGAATAGTCCACAAAAATTCATATCTTTATAGAAAACGTTTCGGAGTCCAGCTCCATCGTCAGTTCGTAGAATCTTGTTCTAATTGTGTTCTGTGCTTTCAATTGTATTAACTTGTGACTTTCTATGTATGTTCTAGATTCCACGAACTGACGATGGAGCTGGACTCCGAAACGTTTTCTATAAAGATATGAATTTTTGTGGACTGTTCTTTGCTTTTAAATTTTTAGTCAACTTGCGATTTAAGCAAATAAGTGACATTAATACTTTTTTACACCAACTATTGACTTTATGATGAGAGTTGGGCTGGCCGAGTCATACCGAACTTAATATAGTTGTCCTAGAGCCGAACTTAAAGCTTTGGGTGAATTATACTCTGGGCAGAGACCTGCAGAAAGTTTGAGCTCGGGTATGCCAATTTAGCTACCACTTTATTTAAATAGTTGAATTTAATGTTAATTCTGGCGCTAACATTCTAAATTAGCAGATTATACAATACGTACTGTCCGAAAATACAGAGGGTGTACACCGTTAATTCCAAACAATTCTAAAACTAATTGGGCTTAAGAGAAATCTAGACAAGCGTGTCATACATTCTGAAATTTATTCTTCTGCTCATACTTGGAAAATTGATGGGGTCTTTTGTACATACCTCATTCTTTTTTTGACCGGCAGCATCTACGAAAGCTCCAGTTATTTCTTGTATTGTCTTTTTCTGCAAAGACATAATTATTTTTTTAGAATACATTAAAAAAAATTAACTGTTATTATCATCGTCTTAGGTCGCAGTATCTTCACCATTTTCATCTCAGTTATTTAAGCTTGAAATGAAATGCCAGCTGCCGGAGGTATCAAAATATCAAATATGAACTGTAAAAAATGAGTACGATAGCTCAACAGGCTGCAAGCTAAGGTTGAGACTAATTTAAAGCAACAATGTCTTCATTTCAATATTATTATAATAAGAATTGTATTGCCTTGCCTAATTTTTCCTGTACAATATTATAGTACAAGTATTATTGTCATAAACAACATAGTATTATATTATTATTATATTACATCATTATAGAAGATAGTTTAGCTTACCATGCTGCCAGGACGTGCCCACTTGTAGGCAGAGACATAGTCTTCAGTGTATGGGACGGTGAGGGTGTACGTCATTTGTGTGTCTTCAACACACGTCCCGCGCGAACAGTCGGGTGGAGTCGATGGTAGAGCCTCTACAGAGACCAGCGCCAATTTCTGTTACATTTAAAATTTGATGTGAGGTACCGACTGTTTTTAATAATTGATATTCATGTAAGATAATGTAGAGAGATAGATAGAGATCATATTTGGATAAAAGCGAAAGTTAACTTATTGATAATGCAAAAATTAAATAAAAATAAATGTCCAATCAAATTTCATTTAATATGAGAGCTGAGGTCAGGGGTGCAGATCATTTCATTGAACGTGTATGAAATATCGCTATGGAACTTACATGAGGGCTCAAGTTCAAAGATGAATATGAGGTCGTGTCTCAATTAATCTGAAAATTTCTTGGGGAACTTTTGTATAAATATCGTTCAAATAGTATCAAGTTTCCGAAAGCTGCCTGCTTTCTCATAATTATTCGATTAGAGGATATGTATTCATAAATCTTTTATTCAGTCACGTTTAAATTAAAGAATATAGTATCAAATTGTTCTGCATATTGGCGTCCACATGGGCTTGAATTAAAAATTATTTGTTACGCTCTGGAAATATCACGGCTGATCGAAAAATTACTCGTATGCACGCATGCATATCAAATTATTGACATTTATGCGTATCAATTTACATTTATGCGCATAAATTGAAATGTATGCATATCAATCTACATTTATGCGTATCAATTGACATTTTTGCGTGTCAATTGACATTTATGCGTATCTATGAACATTTATGCGTATCTATGAACACTTATGCGTATCAATTACATTTATGCGTATCAATTACATTTATGCGTATCAATTTACATTCATGTGTATCAATTTACATTTATGCTTATCAATTGAAATTTATGCATATCAATCTACATTTATGCGTATCAATTTAAATTTATTATTGCTTTTCTCGCACCTGCCAGGTGACGGTCTGCAAATGTTCAGTCTCATAACCGAAGGGACTGACGACGATCGCTCCCTTGACTTTGGCTTTCTCGAGCCTCATGCCGCTGTGGTCGCCCCTGATGTAGAAAATGCCGTTGCTGCTGCGGGAGTACAGGTTCTCGCACTGATCTTCTCCCAGGTTGCAGCTGCTGCCCATCGTGTGCTGAAGTGGGGATTTTCACTTACAAAATGTTTCGAAATTGCAAACAACAAGTGTGAAATAACAAAAAGTCAGACAAGTTTTCACTCGCATCAGAGCTAAATTATAAATTATTGCTTGTTGATATGTATGAATTTTTTAGAATTTAACACATCAAATTGTTATTTAATATAAGTATGAAATACGCGATGATTTTGTTTGATATTTTCCTTACATCTGAATACTAGTCTCTCCAAATTGTATGAAAGGGTAACTGTTTGAATTTAGTACAGAATTGTCGGCGCTGAAGTTTGAATTTCGAAATATTCGAAATCGAAATTCCCAGTACTGTCTAAATTTAAAAAAGTTCATACGACTTAAATTAACTAAAAAAAACCTATGGATCAATGTGCAATTTAACATAAGAATATACTTTATCATTTTTCTTTCATTAAATTCTTTATTTTGAAACTGTCTTCGTGTGCATTTGTTCTGAGTCGTGTTATATGAGTAAGAGAATCAAAGAGTAATATGTTAAATTTAATGACTGTATTCAATTTCTAACTTTGGTCAATGCTCAAACAGGTATTGAGAAATTGCATTTGGAAAAGCCAGAGATATCAAAATACCGGAGAATTTACATGAATTCATAATATGTGGGGTGCGACCGAACTCGGTTGCGATTCGTATTCCAACGCGATTGCTAGGCAGCAGGTGCATAAGACAATTATTATATAAGACAAAGAATACTTGAAGCTGAAATAATGACATTATAATTTCGAAAAAGGCGGCGAATATACCCCTTTGTTCGTTTAATTAAATATATTAATTAATTAAATAATATTAAAGTTCGTTTATATTATATTATATAGTTCGTTTAATTAAATAATATTAAAATGCCAGCGTTTTCACCTGATGCTCCACTCGGTCGACGCATTCCTCGAGGTTGACGGACCGGACTACGCGAGTGACAGTTCGGTTAATTCTTGGCAGATCGCATCTGGTGAGGGGCGAGGTTACCGAGGTCTTAGTGGTCTTCCTACCACTGACAGAGCGAGCCTTCCTGCCTGGGGGTAATTTGGCTACTAGAGGAGCAGCGCAGGTGTTGTTCAGCTGTCGGTCTCCGGTGATGTGTTCGCGTACGAACAGCGAATATTGCGCCAATGCCACGCCGGACAGTTTGTGTTCCGTGTACCTGTGGAGTTGAAGTAGGAATTAATACATTGTAAATTAAACGCGAAAAGTTATTGTACACATTTTGGTGTGCCATTTTTTTCAGTTTCTTTCAAATAATCTTAGGAAATGAAGAAAAATTGCTCAATCTTGCAGGTCCCAACTGACGTTGTCTTGCAGGTCCCCATTACGGTTTGCTCAAAGTCGTTGTAGGCTCCAGCGCGCGTGCCGTTGTGGGTGCCGAAGAAAGTATTGCGCAGGGGAGAAATGTTGAACAAACCAACGATGCTTTTGTAGAAGTTCAGAACCCATGCCCTCTCGCCTGCGTGGTGCACGAAGTGCCCTCGCTAAAAAATGTTCATTACTTTATTAGCATTCGTATTCTAAACATATAAATTGAGAGGCATGTGAATTTCGCACTTTAATTTCCTGACCAAAAATATTCAGTACTTTATTACCTTTCGTATTCTAAACATAGAAATTGAGAGTCATGTGAATTTCGCACTTTGATTTCCTGACCAAAAATATTCAATACCTTGTTAGCTTTCGTATTCTAAACATAGAAATTGAGAGTCATGTGAATTTCGCACTTTGATTTCCTGACCAAAAATATTCAATACCTTGTTAGCTTTCGTATTCTAAACATAGAAATTGAGAGGCATGTGAATTTCACACTTTAATTTCCTGATCGAGCAATCGTTGGCAAATCAGATATCTTCAATTCGAAGCGTATTTTGTAATAAATAACCTCGGCGTTCAAATATCAAATACATTTCTCTCGGTGTGACGGTTGCTAATAATCATGAAACTTCAAGTACTTAATAAAAAATACTTCCTAAATTTGATACCGCATTTGGAAAAAGTTAGTGTGGTACGTTAGAAGTAGGTTATTCGAGGTCGAGTCCCATCTTTCTGCTATCGAAAGTAGCTGTTCAGGAAACTAAATGAATAAAAAAATGAAATTTATTATAATTCATATAATTTTGATTAAACTTGTTATGCACATCAATATGTTTCAATGTTCAGATTTAAATCCTTTAAGAGACATCTACATGATGAGAATTAACTCACTTCGTTGATACCGAAGGCATGTCGGCCCAATAGTGACGCAGGCTCTTCAAAAGCTGCGATGTATTCAGGATCAGAAGTGCATTCCCGACAGACGTGACAGTCGGAATATTCGACGTCTTCCAGCTGAGAGAGCAGCAGATAAGAAACTTTATTAGAACTGGATCATTTTGAACTGTAGTATTCAATCTGTTCAATATTCGAGTTTCTCTAAATTTGCCGTAGAATTTATCGGGAATTTTAGTTGAATTTATATTCCAACAGCGGTTCAACCTAGACATATTTTGAGAAATTCTTTCCTTCGTTTAAATTTAATTTTTCACTTCTCCTTCGAGCGAGCAATAGGACTTAAACTCACTTTAAAAGCAACGGTAGTGGCTGACGTGACGTAGACCCTGAGGTTGGCCCTGATGCTCGACTTGGCGCTCTGATGGCGGTTGATTTCTGGTATTCCAGCGGAGACTTTGGCGCGGTAGTGGTACAGGTACTGCAGCGGGTACTGCAGTCCCGCGCATGTGCCTGGCACGCAGTGGAGAATGAAAAAAGATTTTAAAGCTATAAAATAAGTGGTACAGGTACTGCAGCGGACAATGCAACCCCTCACAGATGCATGGCAGAGGGAAGAAAATGTTAAGGTTAACTTATGACTTCTAGAGACTAAAGATTTAAGAGAAAATTTTGCCTGAAATTTGCGGGGGATATGTGTTTTGTGCCAAAAAAGAACTACCTACTATGTCAATTATCAACTTCGCTTAAGCGTTTTTTTTCTATTTTCATTGCCAGTTCAGAAGCAATATTTACGTTTCTATTTCGTTATCCGTGATAAAATTTATCGGAATTATTCTATTAAAATTACTACTGCTAAAACGTACACCCGTAACAACTATGTAAATTTGAAAGAAAACCCCAGTAAATTTTGAACAAAAATGTGAGTATATTTAGAAGTTTTCCCGTTTGATACTTTAAAATAAGTTTATACTGTAAACCTTTTTTAAATTCCGCTAAAAAGTCTGTCATCGAGCCTGACGAAATCAGAGATCACTGCGTATGGCAGTCTGTATATGCACTCTCGGTCTCGTATTCACCCCGTACAAATTTCTGTCGCCACTAAGGTTAGAAATATTAACAGTACCAAGGTAGCCGATGCCTTGATAGCCGTCTGTGGTAGTCAATAATCTGCGAGTATATGTATGACCATTAATGCATTCCTATAAAGTATAAACTATAGGCGTAAACAACCATCATTCTCGGTGTAATCTTTACAATGATTTATGACAGCAATTATTTGTGGTTTTGCCAAGTTTTTTATCCGAAATATCTACTCCGAAGAAGGTGATCTTGTAATTAGATATCTTGGAATTATTACTAATTAAATAGTGAAGCTCATTCACGATGAGAAAAAGTACGTAAGTTACAAAATCCATGAACTGCAATATTAAAATATTTCGATCGTGATGTCTTTTGATGAACAGAATATATATATTTTATGTTAACGTGGCACGGTTTCAGGGAAATAGCTAGTGTAACCAATGTAAAATCGGCTGGCAATCACTCGTAAAAGTGTAGCTAAGGGACAATTAATTGCTTAATGAAAGAGTACGTAGTGAACAAGCGAAGCCTATCTGCAGGTTCATGGTGTTTGGGACGCTCTCGAATACGCTGCAATAGTAATTAATGTATTTCGGTGTCAATGGCAGTACACATTTTAAAGATACACACGAAGGACCTCAATAAAAATAAAAAAGTAAAATAGAATACCACATGATTCTTTTATACATGAGAGCAAAACTGAGAACTGTTGCGTGCGCGTTTTCCGTGAGAGCTGTCTCATGGTCCGTGAGAGCTGTCTCATGGTCCGTGAGAGTTGTCTCATGGTCCGTGAGAGTTGTCTCATGGTCCGTGAGAGCTGTTTCATGGTCCGTGAGAGCTGTTTCATGGTCCGTGAGAGCCACGTAGCGTTCAAGTAACGAATGATCAACTAGGAACGCGAAATGAATCGATAATTTTACGATTGAATTAACGTTTGCTCTATGTGCCACGTAGGCTTTGGTTAATCATTTCATTTTCAACAGCTCTTAAGCGCCTGAATGCATAATTATCGATCTTAAAAATCTTGATTGCCAGAACTGACTGGGATATTGTCTAAACATGATGCTAATGTTCAGAATAAAAATATTTCTAGATGGAACTCACCGACGAGCAGCAACAGCGTGAGCAACTTCATGATGGCAGCGAGCTGATATCACGAGTCAGCCAAATCTGAAATACCTAAATTGAATAGGTATAAAAAATTAAATAAATAAAATAAATTCATTGAACTAAATGTATTCAATGGATAAAATAAATTCAACGAATTTAATAAATTGAATAAATTAAATAAATTGTATAAATTGAATAAATTGAATAAATTAAATAAATTAAATAAATTGAATAAATTGAATGAATTGAATAGATTAAATAAATTGAATAATTTTAATAAACTGAATAAATGTAATAAATAAGCAAGGGGTGGAATTTGTAAGCAGTAATAAAAGATAAGTTAAACATGTATTGGATCGGATGACTGGAGTCCAAGGACAATACATTTGCAACTCTATCGATCTTTATCGATGGTGGCTATCGATCTTTATCATGCGAGCCACCAATCCTAGAATTTCACCAGCTGCCAGCCCAACGAATTCAGAGCAATTTTAGCACCACAGGTATTACTGAACGAGCTGCGCAAGCAACGAAAATCAATTACTAGGATTAATAATGTTGTGATAACGCTAAATGATGTTGATGGGATAGACCAAAACCTCGCTGATTAAATGGACGACAGTGTAGATGCAGCTGAGACGTACCCGATGATTGCCGTGCAAGCAAGTTCTGCCATTTGTTGTCGCATGTACGTGACACAGCATTCGAGTTCTACGAAATGTTCCAGTGGCAACTGCCAATTCAAGCACACAGGCCATTCAACCTCAGAGCTAACCAAGAAAAATTGTCAATAATAGCACAGATTTGTGTCCGGACCAATTCCCGAAGTGAGTCGGAGCAGCAGTTTTTGGGCACGATTGTAAGGCATGATTGCATGGGCCAGAATTTCCAGTCTGGCGTCGGTGGCAGGTCAGCCATCAGGCACAGCGGCTCGCTGAGTCAGCAGGTGTGGCGGCAGTCGTCGTAATAATGCGGAGGACTCGCGCCCTCCGTCACAAAATATTATTTCATTTCAATCGCTCAATGGAAACGCGTAATAAAATGAATAGGCATCGTGTTTACTTCGGTGAGATCCAAAGCTTTGCAACTGAAATTAAGTAAAAAGCTTTCGCTCTTAATGATTGAAATTTGTTCCATTTCAAATAACACAATTGAGTTAGTTGAAAATTCAACTACACCTCTAGTTGAGGCATAATACTCACATTTACTTAAATAAACTAGATACTACGATATAAATTAGATTAAATTTATGTAAACAAATACAATAAATTAAATAATTTAAATCAGTTGAAAAAAAAACAAAATAAGACATAATTGAATAAATCAGGGATATTTTTATTCTAAATTAAGTTTTCAACTTTTATTAATATTACCATGCATTGCTTGCAAATAGTCAACGAATCTCCCGTCACGGTCCTTGAAAATAAATAATATAATTTAGAATCATTTATAATGATTCGATTGTAAGATCGATCCTACGCCTTAAATGAGCTGCGTGTCGTGCGATGTGTCATGTTCGAGTCCTGTGGCATACTTCATGAGTTAGTGCTGGGATCGAAAAATTAAGTTTCAAATTCTCAGCATTTGCGAGAATATATTTTTTTCAGCTTGGACATCTTTCTATCTAAACTCTAAAGGAAGTTGAGCTACTGTATATCAGTATATGTTATATCAGGTGGGAATTTAGCGTAATTTATTCTCAGAGACATGTGTGAATGTCCGTATTGGTGATCAATTTTATAATATTCAAAGTAAGAACCTGTAATGAATAATTCGTTTCTCGTGATTTTTTGTGAAATTATACCAGAGAGTGTGGGTATTAAATTAAAATTAAATTAAATTGAAAAATTAAAATTTAATTAATTAAAATTAAATGTTTTGGGTATTAAAGTTATTAAATGCTTTTATATTAGTCTTGCCCATACAATTTGTCAGTTAATATTTTTTCACTGCCAGCGAGCAGCAAATAACAAATTTTGCGACACTAAGTTCTCTCTTTGATTCTCAATAACTATATATCTAAACAAAAACACACTGAGCCCCGATTACATAAGTCATCATTAAGTGACACACTAGGCGTGTATTGGAGATCATACATGGAAACTCAAGTACACCCCATGGCTCTCCCTCGAGTATCCGCTATAGAGGCTCCTTTGATACGGTTATTTTACCCAAAGGAATTGCGCACCGCGTATCAAAACACCAAGGCCAGTATATGAAGTCTTGGGCAGCGGTTGCCATCTCAGCTCTGAGAACCGTGGACTTGCTTGGCAACTAGTATAGAAAGAAGTTAATGAAGATATCGTTCAAGAGGAGCCTTGTCCTTGAATTTTTTATGCATCTCAAATTACTATTAATGTCGTTCATGAGTTAACTTAAGCCTTTCTTTATCACAATATTTTTGCTCTTGTTAATGCTAGGAGACTCAATGCACGTTTGCAGTTGGTAAATTGCTTGACCAATAATTAGTTTTTTTCTTAAACGGAAGGAACGACTGGGTCTGCAAAAAGGGTTTATAAATATCGAATAATTATTTTACACTCAATAGAAACAAGCGAGAAGCTGAAAATTCTATTCTGCACCACCTAGAAACGATTTTGGTGACAAAAACATTAACAGTCCTGGGAGATTGAAAATGCAAATTAAGTCTTCGAGAATACCGGTGAGGTAAAAGTTTACTTCCTGTGCGATATGATGAGATTGCTCTAGAAAAGAAATTGAACGAATCATTACTAAATAAGTTATATGAATATTAATCGCTAATTATAATGAATGCAGGAAATAACCGAACGTTAGAATGGAATTTATATATAGTTTAGGCCGAAGAAAATTAGTCTCGCATGCAAAACTGTCATCCCTATTCCAGGCATAAATAGAATTTATCAGCAGAAATAAATCATAACGAACAAAACAGGAAAGCTACACACTGACGTATTTGAAATAAAGTACAATACACCAAGTTTGTGTGACACAAAATGCATCACACTCAAGGTACGATATGCAGCAAATTTTAGGGTTTGACTTAAAACGGATTCAAGAAGAACAGTAATTTGAGAGACATAAGATCGAAATGATCTCATACAATTTTTTTTCAGTTTGACAGAATTGACGATAATTTTTATTTGTAAAGACTGCTGTTTTCATCGATGAAATAAAATAAGACTTAATCCTTTTCTCTATGACAAGAACTGTCATTGCATAATTCTTGTTTCATAGCCAGTAAAGGTAAGTTGTGACGAGCTTAAATAAATAGTTTGAAAGGAATAAATCTTATAGCTTTAACGTAAGTAATACAGGATTTCAATAAACAAAAGATACTAATTATCATTTGGATTCCGTGACGATCTCTTTCTCTCACGTCCTCATGCATTCTATCTCTTCTATATTTAGGCATTGAATAAATGAAAGCTATCTGAATTATCAATCGAACAAATCTAATATATGAAATCAAACTCCCAACGATTATTTTTTTAACTAACGTTAGTGTGTTCTGCTTACAATTCCTGAAGCCAGAAGAAACCAATTGTTTAGACTTTCATCTACAGATTCAATTCTGATTGTTTATATTTAATTAAATATAGAGCTCATGAGGCTCTGATTGGTTGTTGTACACTAAATTAACCTTCGCATTGCTGCCAGTCTACAGCATGGCAGCTATCGGACGTTTGTAAGGAAATATTGACGATGTTGCTGTACACAGATCCCTTCATATTAGTTAAGATATTACAATCAATATTTAAACGTAAATTATATGACTGTACAATCAATCTCAGTGCGATAATATTCCCGCATTAATTAAATGTTTTAAATGTTATATCGAACAACCTGTTTGTTTTAAACTATGAGTTCGAACAAACTTTTGTTCATTAACTCTTAGGAGCTGTCAAGCAAACCATTAGCTCTGAGTAAATTATATAGTAAGTACCGCCTTTAATGTACACGATTCGCCGATAAATCGTTAAGTAAACCACAATGACGTACATAAAACCCAAAACTGTGAATTACAATTTTAAATGTAACAATCAATTCTATGGGTAAAAATTTCAAAACTCTAATTTAATTATAAAGTTGAAGGTGCAATAAGGACTTTGGCATTCTTGCCTCATCATTCGCTCCTCTTCAAACAAATAGGCATTTATGTTATGAAAGGACGAGTCCAGTAAAAAAGAAAATCATTATAAGCGGGGAGTGTAAGCACTCTTGCAAATTTTGCTTCTGCTTACAGGTTTGTTAAATATTTGAATTTTGCGTATAATGTTCCAATTTAATGCCATTTTTATTAAGTTAGTCTTGTGAATTCTCTCGAAAATAAGATGCTACGTCGACACGGGAAGGTATGGTTATAACGACCTCAACAAATAAATTACCTGCATTAAAATGCTCAGAAATTGAATGTTTCCGGTAATAATTATAATTCAGCGCCGAAAACGACTGATGTTCTTCGGTTATCAGTTTATTGTTAACGTTAGTTATAGTTATTTATACATCATCGTAGTTATGAAATATTATTATATTTACTTATTAATATTATATATATATACATTATTATTGCATTTATTATTATTATTATATTATACTATTTTATTGTTTTGAATACATCACGTCATCGTTATTTATAGTTATCAACGTCAATAATAGGTCTCAAACTGGGTACCCTTGAATTGTACTACTGTCATTCCTAAAATATCAACTGAAAGTGTTGCAAAACGCTTCACCTGTGATAATGAATATTGCATAGTCGAAAAGTCGCATTTCAATAAAATGCCATTTGGTAACTTGATTTTTTGATCTCCAGGCGCCAACAAGAAATTTTGTTTGACTCGTTGTAAAAAACAAATAAGAAGATTGTTAATAAAAAATGTAATCTGGTTTTATATCAAAGTTGAATAACAGAAAGACTTCTGCCGAATTACAGCAATTATCAGGAACTCTATATGTTCATTTAGGAAGGCCGTGTAAAGTTAAATGTTGTGCCTATTTACGACGGTTTAGTTGTTGGTCTGTGACATTTTTTCACAGCTCGAGAAGAAACCAAAGATAAAAGTTATTATTCCCGAATAATAAGTAAATGTGAAATTTACTTATTATTCGGTAATATTAAATAAGTAATAATATTAAATATTATTACTTGTGACGCTTGAATTAATTCCCGAGTAATAAGTAAATGTAGCGTCCTGTGACGCTTGAAATGATGACACTAACGTTGGTTACTTACCTCCTTGATGCCCCGTAGCGCTGCTGGCGACTAACAGCAGTCCGGTCGTGAGGCGACACGCTCTATATACCCGCCGGCTCAACTTCCCAGCCGCCACTGCAGTGTTTATTTGCTGAGGTAGTCTTGTCTTTATACGCATTAAGGTAGGTATTTTTAACATGAAGATTCTCTTCAAACTTGCTGACATAATAACTTATTAACTATACTAACATAAAGTGATGAATACTGACTGAAGCATAATCTTGTTTTTATACGCATTAAGATAGATATATTCAACTGTGAAGATTCCCTTCAAATTGGTTGACATAATAACTTAAAAACTATACTAACATAATAATACACTAACTATTAGCTTAGTTAACTTAGCAGTGTTTATTTGCTAAAGTAATGTTGTCTTTATACGCAATAAGATAGATATTTTTAACCGTGAAGATTCCCTTCAAATTATTTGATATAATAACTTACAGACTATACTAACATAATAACTTACTAACAATACTAATTAATGTAATTACCCACTACTATAAATATAACTCTATATGAGTCACAGGCTGCGTGACGTCACAGAGGCTGGTCGTTATGTAATCCTAGGAACAAATGCGCAAATGAGTGCAGGGAAAACTTTTGTGCGAGATATTATTTAAGTTTTAACAAATCAATTTTTAAAATTTTCACTTGCCAAAATTTTAATTACCTAATTTCCGAGAAATTTGAAAAAATTACTTCCCATAAATAAATCAAGAACTTATTGGGCAATAACCCTCGTAATGATAAATTTGTTAATGATAAGTGCTTTCTTATCCTCAACAAAACGTGCGTTAAACAACTACTTCTATTCAACTAAACAAAAGCGGTTTCAATGCTTACTGCTAGTTCGCCGCTAATTTCAAACATCACCAAACATTGACAGCTTGTTGAGGTCTCGAACTTGCAACTCACTGCTCCAATTCTGCTGTGCTTAACCGCCCGGCCTCCTTGCCGATTCTGACCAGAAACTGGCGCACAGAGCTGGGATCGAACCCGCGCCTCTCTGCGCCAATCTTGGTACTCTGAACTTTAACCACTGTACTGATATAAAATAGACATGCTTTACTATCTTGAATCTCGATAAAGCGGTTGCCGTAGGAACTTATTCCCTAAGTATAGGGTTGCATTCTTAAAGCTTTCACGTTCAAGCCAAGTTTAAACTTACAATTTGGGTTAACAACAAATGCTCATTAGTGAAAGTCGGGAACCGATCGAACAGGTCATTGTTAATAGTGCAACAAGTCAAAGGGCTTTAGCAAGATTTTCTCAATGCTATCAGATAGGGATAAAACTTGATTTAAAAGCTCTCAACTTGTAAATAATGATCTTCAGGTACGCATTCTATAATTGAATTACCATTGTTTTGTTTTACCCTGAACATTGATCATACGTAAACTTTTGATCGTTATTATTGAAGTCTACTTAATACTAACTGAAGCTTACTTTAATAATTCAGATGTTTCAGTAAAAATTTGACTATATATGTCTTGTACTGTATCGATATGATCAAAGGCCATCATGCCCTCCTCCGGCTTATGCATTCTAATGAGGATTGTTACTAACAACTTACATGTTAAACGTTCGGCTTATCTCATGTAAAAGAGATGGATATCTTAGAAATTTTGAGCGTTGGATGACGTAATTTTAGATGACAGTGAAGGCACGTTGATGCTGGATATTCAGTGACAGTGAGTGCAAGATGAATGTGAGGGTTGGTGCGAGAGTTGCGTGCATCATCCCACCAATAAATATCTATTAAATAATCGCTTAGCTTAGCAGGTGCTTGCAGCATAACTTCGTTAGACCTCTCTCAACTCTCCATACCAACACTCCATAATATAATGTAATTGGTTAACCAAATGTTATTAAATTATTATTAAATAATATGATTATAGTAATTAATCATTTTATTAGTGCGCGTATGTACAATACAATTTAGAGCTACTTAAAAAATATTTCGACTCTTCAGTTGTGTTCAATCATAAATTTCAACGGGTCACTCAGCCCGAAATGAAAACGAGAGGGAAATACTTTGATCATTTCCTCTAACCTTATTCGGAAAAGTAAAGACAAAAATTTATTCGGGGCGCATTATTTGTGTCAAAAGCTCAGTAGTTGATCTATCCAATTTTAATTGAAGATGGTCACTGATTGATATTTTCTACAATATTGTGCTATATCGCTGTAAAAACCAATTTTATGATCGCCAAGGAGTTTGGAGACTTGGAGAAAATCGCAACCGAGTATTTCACAAGGAAAATTTCGGTGTTGAATCATGGTGGCTATCATGGTGGCTATCAAAAATTCTCGAGTAAAGGGATATTTTGGGCTGAATCGTTTAAATTTAAACCGGAAAACGCATTTAGGAATCGGCTAAAAGGAAACGGCTGGAGTTGAGGTTAAAAAATTATTTACACTCCAATTCATAAACGGCTGAACTGACATGGTGAAATTTGAACGGAATTTTTGCCATTGAAATTTCTAGATTTTGGGGAATATTTCAGCTGAATCTACAAATTTATCAATTTGAATAGCCTATGACCGTAATATAGTTACGAAAATTATTGTGAAATTTATTACTGAGAATGCAATTTTGAAACGTCTGAACTGATATTTATGACATTAATGTAGCCACTGCCCAGTTAGGAAGTGAATGAATCCCTCGAGTTAGGTGATGTTCGGTGTTGTTTCAAACGGAAAACGCATTTAGGAAACATTTGAACGGAAACTGCTGAAGTTGAAATTTTTTTAAACTAGTTGTATATCAGAGACATATTCAACCTTAAATTTTCCCTAAACCTAGAAATTTATTCACTTCGAAGCGGCAAGAATTCCTTTCGAATTTCACAAGTGTCAGTCTCGCCCTTATTGAAGTAGAATTAGTATAAAAAACTCTTTAAATTCAACCTGAAATTCCCACAAACCTTGAAATTTGTTCTCTTTGAAACGGCAGAAATGCTGTTCAAATTTTACGAGCGTCAGTACAGCCGTTTCTGAAATAGAATTAGTATGAACAACTTCTTAAATTCAACTTGAAAACTTGCAAATTCATACAAACCAAGGAAGTTTATTCTCGTCAAAACGGCAAAAATGTTGTTCAAATTTTACGAGTGTCAGTTCAACCGTTTTAAAAATAAAATTAGTATAAAAATTTTTGTTTTTCGACATGAAAATTCCCACAAACCTAAAATTCATTCGCTTTAAAGGGATAAAAATACCGTTAAAATGTCACGAGTATCAGTTCAGCTGTGTCTGAAAATGGAATAACTAAGAAAGAACAAAAACAGGCTGAAATGTTCTCAAGGAGAATACAACTGAGTGCTTCGTTTGACAGTCGCTAGAGCTATCAGTTATTGAACCACAGTTCTCCATAATCACGTGAAAGGCGCATTTCTCCCTTAAATCATTAATGTTCCGAATAATACAGGGTGCGGCGTGGGAACTTACTCTTTTAAAAAAATCACAAAGTAAAAAGTATTAAAGATAGCGTTTTAATTCTTTCTTTTTTACAAAGAGCTACATTTAAAGTTTCGTTGGGTTTACTTACAAGTTTAATTCTTGAATATTACATCTTGTAGGTGACCTCCATGCTGTTCAATACATTTTGTCAGACGAGNTGACATTTCGGTGGCTGGCTGGCCCGTGAAATAAAACACTGTCACACATTTTTTCTTCAATTCAACACGAGACCAGTACCACATTTGGAAAAAAAATCGCGAAACTATTAATTTTTCGCCGTTATTTCGAACAGTGTAACATCAAACTTGCGGAGCTGGTTTATACGTTATTTCTTCATGAATTAAAGAAACTCTGATCAGTGAAGCACATTGACCTTCAATTCACTCTGATCAGTGAAGCACATTGACCTTCAATTCACTCTGATCAGTGAAGCACATTGACCTTCAATTCACTCTGATCAGTGAAGCACATTGACCTTCATTTCACTGTGATCAGTGAAGCACATTGACCTTCATTTCACTGTGATCAGTTAAGCACATTGACCTTCAATTCACTCTGATCATTGAAGCACATTGACCTTCAGATCAACTGCATACGTGCATATACAGCTTTAAATAGCAATGCAGCACTATATATATAGCAGTGCGCTCTATTCTAGTGCATGCGAATGTTTTGGTTATAGTCAGGAAACAGCAACATTGAATGTAATGACCAAGTTCCTTGCAACTGTTATGCGAAACGTCGCTGGTGACCAAATACTAAATCCTACTTGTTACGATTTTAATGTGAGAAGGATATGACTGGGAATGCGTCGTAAAATAGGAGATCACTTATAATACGTCGTAGCACTTATCGTCGCTCCATACTTTCTTTAAATGCCTCATTTCGCAAAATCTTCAAAAGGCTGCAGTTATTTGTGTGATCGAAGACCACTATTCAGTCATATAAATACGTATTTGGAGACAGCAATTCATATTTATCCTGAAATATAGTGCTAAGCTACGAACTGAAATCACAGTTACCCTCGAATTGCTGTCATGGTCAACAAAAAATATCTTTACCACAGAGCCTAAGAGTTTGGATGATAATTTTCTAACATGAATCGAGTTAAGTGTGAACAAATTCGGAATTTGCAGACAAAGGTGAAGCTTATTTTGTCATTGATTGAGACGGTAGCGCCGGGTAATGTTATTCATGCAATTTTCATCATGGTTTAAATTTGTGAATTTTTGCGTTCAACTCGGAATGTCGATTAATCTAAATAACAGAAGATCAGGAATATATATGTAGAGAGATAATTAACAGGATGGTTGTTGACTTGTAACTATTTATGAAATGGTTAGACTTCAAGCTCCAACTCTGAAATTTTTTTCATCATTTTATCCGTCAGGTTTTTACCGAAACTAGTAGGGCAAAAAAAGTATTTAATTTTTTTTGGCTGATTTTAATGGAAAATAACCGTGGAATTCTGATGCACATTCTTCATTGGTAAAACCAAGAAAACTTGTGTCGGCCTTAATCCATACTTTCAAAACTCGCTATAAGTGAACGTAAGTACTTACGCACTAATTTCTTGTCTACGATTGGTGAATTTTGCTTGAAAGGCCGTCAATGATTGGCTGATGAACTTACGATCTCTTAACTTTTTTCGAAAGTATAGGCCCTGATTGATAAATAAAAAGTTCTACGTTACACGCAAGCGACATCTGGAAGGTGATTGGAGAGGGATCGTATGTATATTGAGCACATTTTATCAGTTCCAAGTAAACGGTGGAAAAAAACGATTTGTGTGTAAGCGTTGCCTAATGATCGACTAGTGCGACTTTAACAGACTGTTTCGTCATAAGTGTTTTGAGAAGATGCAATCATTCTATCGTACACTGACCTGGCCTTCGAGGAAGCTTTAGAAAACCTGATAGATTTTTTCTGTAGCTATAGTCAAGCATAAGTACTTCACGAACTGTGGAGTCATATGAGGCATATTTCAGGGGAATTTGACCAGCTTAATAAGACCTCTAAATAATTTTCTGTTCATTTATTAAAATAATTTCTTAATAACAATAGTGATAAATTTAATCTAATGTGACCTGAATATGTTGTTATAAGGTCATATACATTTAGTACTTCATGTGTTTATTGTTACACTACATTAAAGAAAATTAGCTGTTTGTGAAATAAACATTCGTTCACAGCCTTCCGGGGGCTTAGCCCTCACTAACCCAACAACCTAGTGACTCCCTTTTTCGAAATAGTTATTATGTCCAACTGAACTAAATTATGATGACTATAAAATTATGAGGTATTGTGTGCGTTTTCTTTTCTTTTCCTAAATACCAACTCACCCTATTTTAGCTAATTTTTTTCTGAATGTAAAATGACAAGATGAGCTATAAATATTGGAGTCGCATTGCAATGAAACGAAAGTGCGGTAAATTAAGTTACTTTCAAACATTACTTTTCTGGAGCTGCCTGCGTGTCGTCAACTCAGATGTTCTAATCTCCATTTTATACGCATGCCGGGCTCACTAGATCAAATATAATTTACCAAATACCAAACTCTTGTATAAATCACCCAATGCCACACTCTCCCTCATGTACAAATCACCCAATACCACACTCACTCTTATGTACAAATCACCCAATACCACACTCACTCTTATGTACAAATCACCCAATATACCGCACTCACTCTTATGTACAAATCACCCATTACCACTTTCATGCACAAACCACACAATTCTCCACCAATTTACAAATCACCCAACACCACACTAATCTACAAATCACCCAACACCACACTAATCTACAAATCACCCAACACCACACTAATTTACAAATCACCCAACACCACACTAATTTACAAATCATCTAACACCACACTAATATACAAATCACCCAACACCACACTAATTTACAAATCACTTAACACCACACTAATCTACAAATCACCCAACACCACACTAATATACAAATAACCCAACACCACACTAATTTACAAATCACCCAACACCACACTAATATACAAATCACCCAACACCACACTAATTTACAAATCACCCAACACCACACTAATCTACAAATCACCCAACACCACACCAATATACAAATCACCCAACACCACACTAATTTACAAATCACTTAACACCACACTAATCTACAAATCATCTAACACCACACTAATATACAAATCACCCAACACCACACTAATCTACAAATCACCCAACACCACACTAATTTACAAGTCACCCAACACCACACTAATTTACAAATCACCCAACACCACACTAATTTACAAATCACCCAACACCACACTAATATACAAATCACCCAACACCACACTAATCTACAAATCACCCAACACCACACTAATTTGCAAATCACCCAACATCACACTAATTTTCAAATCACCCAACACCACACTAATTTTCAAATCACCCAACACCACACTAATTTTCAAATCACCAAACATCACACTCACACTTATGTACAATTCACCCAATATCACCCTCGTGAACAAATGACCTATTGGCATATCACCATACAATTCAACCTGCACCACATTCATGTATACACATGAAGTTTTGATATAAATACCACCAGAAATTTCTCGTAGCCCGTTGTTACCAAATATTTGTACACTCGAAGCCATTGATAAAATTTCGATACAAGAGATTTAAACTTTATCAAGTTTGGAAATGAAAATTTGTTTCAGGGTTGGTTTGATGAATACATATAAACCTGGGGTAAAACATAAACATAAATATATTTTTTTAATTTTTAAAGCAGCGAGCTTATGCTTTCATTTTATGAAGAAATGAGTCGATTCCATTGAAAATTCACACAAAGATATAATGTGTAATACATCAAATATATGGAATACATTATTATGTATTACCATAATATATTATAATATAATATACTGTATCACATATATTATTATATAATAATAAATAATACTTTAAATAATTATATGATATCGGCTAATTGCCTACACTGGGTGCTGAGTAATGGAAATAATGTCATATTTTAACAAAAAATTATCATCAGTAACTTTAGTGAACTACGAAAGGTCGGTATTTCACTGCATGAGCTAAAGCTTGTTTCTTTTAGAAGCTAACCTAACAGGACACACGCAGTGTCTGTGCGTTCAGAGAAATTTGATTGGAACAATGAACCTCGACAATGAAGATTAGAAAATAATGGTAGGAATACTCTTGATTAAAAAATAAAAAAAAATTATTTTTTAAATTCATATACTTGACTAAAATATACTTTTTATATATATTTAAATTAATATACTTAAATACTCTTGACTAAAAAAATGAAACCGACTTGGAATGAAATATATTTATGATGACATAATTAATTTCGTTGCAAGTTGATAAATTTTGTTCGAAAATAAATAATTTGAAAACTATTCTTTTAAATGTTCCTTCTTCTCAGTTAGCCTAAGTTAAAAAGGAAATCAATTAATTTAATTTAGTTTAATACTAAGTTTTCTGATGTCACACAAGCGACTTGTATATGCAAATTCATCTCCCTACATTCATTTAATAATACAAAATTAAGGGCTCAAATTTTAAGTTTATCCATAATGTTTAAATAAATTGATAAATTGAATTGATGTAATAAATAATAAATTTGACTCAAGCAGGTTAGAGAGCGAATATTTGATAAAACCCTGGCTGGGTTCGTGCCCATGTGCACCGCAGTGTTTCTCAGGAAGATAAAGAGTTTCTCCAAACTCGTATCAAGTTAGCGGAATTTCTGCAGTTCAAGGAAGTTATATATCCTGATTTCCACTTGCCATAGAAGAAAGCGATAATAATTTCAGACATTCCGTGAAAATTATATATATTAATAAAATGTAATAATAAATTATATATATTTATTATTATTCATGGAAAAATCATCCATAAGGACTTTTATATCAAGCAGGGAGTTTGTATGTGTTTCTTTGCTGATTTTCACTCGCCATAGAAGAAAGCGAGAACAATTTCAGACATTCCGTGAAAATTATATAAATAAATCATGGAAAAATCATCCATTAGCTACATTTATGTCAAGCAGGGAGTTTGTATGTGTTTCTTTGAAGAATTTAAACTCAGGCATTATATAGAGACCGGCGAGAATTCGGTGTTCTGGTCTCTAATCTATATATAAGTAACCAATGCAGCACACCGTGGTCATTTGCATATACATACTAAATGCATGTTCAGTCGATTTCCTTGTTGCCACCATCTTCGCGGAACTCAAAGTTGCCAGGAATTCATGAGAATTTTGCTTCTAGTCCCACAGATACGACAATCTTGCTCGACATAAAAATCTTTATGAATGAAAGCCGATAACAGATGTTTCTGTTCCCACTGCACGTAGCTATATAAGTACAGCTTGTACATTTGTAAAACATGTACAATAGTAGCTACTACTGAAAGGCTCAGATTCAAATCAAGATGAAGTCGTTCGCAAGCTTTTCCCTTGCTTTATTAGCAGTCTTGGTTTCCGTTTCAGCTGGAAAAACAGAAAGTAATTCTTATGTATTCATATTGATACTTTTAATTAATAAGAATAATAAATTCTAGTTTATGATGGAATTTGATATCAATTCAATCAGAAAATCGATCGATTTTCAAAATTGGGAGACTTTTCAGGCATTTAACACTTACAGGATATGAATAACGGAAATCCTCCAACTTTCCGACTATATTTTCTGATAAAATAGTTTTTTTACAATAATCTTAGCTGTAAATATGTGGATGCTCACGAAAAATGTTCGAAAGGCAGTTTTTTTATGCATGACAATATTATTCAAGATCAAAGTTAACCAATTCAAATTTTTCGGTTTACCTTCAAACCAAAATTAGGAATTAGAAAAACTTTGAACTTCGGCTTCATCTGTTTCATCGTACCCGCTTTTATTTGTGTTGTGTCTGTTTCATGATCATTATGATCGATTATGTAAACATTTTATCAATTTATAATAAACAAGTTTTAGTTATGTCCTTTTATTAGTAGGTATTAGTTTTTATATTCTTAGTTGTAACATAATATAATATAATTAGTTAATAGTATTATAGTTAATAGTAATATGGTTAATAAAATTTCAGAAGGATATAATTACCACATTTGTTCCACTTTTATCAAGAATTTCTCTCTACTCCTCAGGAGCGGCGAAAGCAACATCGCTCCGACACTACATGGGCTACACGGGCCCCAGTCAAACAGGCGTCCACTTTGACTTCCTCACCTACGACGCTGACTTGAATTTAGTCGGACTGGACAACCAAATTCGTAGCGCGTGTCAGGCTGGGCTGTACGTTAACTTTTTTTATTATTTATTATTGCAGTGTTGGTTTTTATTTGTGTTGTGTCTTTTAGCAAATGCATTTGAATGCAAGTAATTTTCAATAATTAGTGCAATGAATACATACTTGGAGAGTTATTACTGAGAGTATCAATGATTTTATACGTTTGTTCACTCAGATTATACTTTATATCAGTTTTGTCATTTATTATTTGAATTTATCTTATCATTTATTAGTGATTAGAATTAGTTGAACGGCATCACTCGTGTTTTGGATTACCAGAACTTGTGCATCTTATACGAATTTAATCAAAATTGATGGTTCATAATATTAATTATATTAGTGATTGATTTCGAGTAATTGGAGTTTCCAATTAGTCTCTGAACAAGCGTACGGTACTTGTAGTTTGGAATTCAATTTCTTTGCAAATAATTATTCCTGTAACCACACTCAAAATAGAAAACAACACAATATGTCGTACGTCCTCATTAAATAACAGATCCAAAATGACAATATTGACAGTTATTATGTCTCTATTTCATCACCAATTAGTTGGATGGTGTACGAAAACATCGAGTACAATTACTTCGAGCCTGGCAACGTGTGCATCGTGCCCGCTTTAGAAGACTGCTTCGACCTGTCGGCTGCCTGCTCTGGAATGGTCAGAAAAATATGGAGATACATTTTCCAACAACTCGTCATGATTTGAAATCTCTTAATGACTTGTGTTAAACGGAGTGCTGTAATTTAAACCTAGATTTAATCTTGCTCTTGAAGATTTACTAACACCTATATTCTGGAGTTAATGATAGCCAAGCTGATTAAAATCCTCGTTAGAACTGGGAGTTATTGATTGCTAAGCAATCTGGCGATAGTCCTCGTTAAAACTAATTTTGTAGCCTTTCATAATCTGAAATTTACGGTATCATATAGTTATGATTTAGTTACCCATTCATCAGATTTTCACTTAACCCAATTAATTTTTTTTTAATTCTTAACAGGTATCATCCCTGCGCTACGCGGGAAGTTCTGAGGGCATGAATGACGATTTCTACAACATGTATGGGGCTATCAACTATCAAGGCTTGGAATTTAAAGGCAACAACACATCGCGCGATGTCGGGATTTTGCAAGGCGATGTTTCGTCGGTTATCGTTTCGGGTACAGGGAGCTGGACTTTCTACACGTGAGTGTAACGCAGAACGGGGATAATGCTTATAATTTATTATTCTAATTTGGTTTAAAAAATTATTAGGATAAGTCAGCAACTTCATAACTAAGGCACACACGTTGGTCGCAAATTCGTCTATTGCGATAGATTTTAGCTCACATAATTGATTGGCAGGCTTAGTGGAGGCCATGGTTAGTGATTTTTATTTTGCAAACTTTATTTTCATGTTTTATCGTTTCGCTATTTTCAAATTTCAGGTGAGAATCCCAAATCAACGTAGTGGTTCATTCCGAACGCTAGTGCACAGTCATACACCGGAATTCGTAATTCAAACGCGCATAGAAAGTTTGCATGTCAGCAAAACCTAATCATTAATTTAGTTTATTTGCAATCACATTGCCAAATTATTCACTTTAAAAAACATTGTTGCTACCCATTTCGCAGCGGAGTGCGAAACAATGTTTTTTCCAAAATTCGCAAAAATTTTCCCAAATTCAAAGTGATTTTTCCCCCCTGCGAAAGTCCTCATGAATCCACAACTGAATCATCCCGAGTTTGTTAACCAGCTATTTGTGAGCGAATTATATGCATTATTGGGTGTTTATTTTAGTTGCGATTTTAATTTTGCTTGTTTCAATTTATGCCTCTAACTTGAAAATTATTGTGAATTAGTTGGAATAAAATATACATATTAATTATTTAACAAATAACGATAAGTTACGCGATGCTATTTGATTTACTTATCTATAATTCAACATCCAAACCATATTCTCATTCAATACAATTTTTTACTTCTTGATATCCAGGGACCGAGAATTCAATGGAGCTTCCGTGTGCGTGGTTCCTGACAGCAAATATTTAGGCAGCGACGGCACAGCCTTGAACTATGGCCTTTTTCAAAACGTGAGTCTTATTCCATAGTATATTAGTTCGTAAATTTTTATTATTAAACAACTTACATTACTCCGCAAGTTTTCTTTCCTTTAATCGTCCATCAGTTTCTTTCCTTCTTTTATCAAGGAAGTAATCAAGTTTTACGGATGTCCATTGCGCGCATTTGTTACCAGCCAAAACTATTCATTCGCGATAATTTTTCCCGACATTCTTTCTCTCATTCTTTCTCCTACAAATTTTTAGAATACAATAATAATGTTTTATCAAGGTCTTCATTTTTATTTAAATAAATCTTCAATAATTTCGTTGGTTTTCTAGTTGGGCGAGCTTGGCTTGAGTGACGGCGGTATCGGGTCGTTGATCAAAGGATGCTTCAGCGACACCGTCGTGAGCGCCGAGGCAGTGAGGGCCAAGAGAGAGGCTGCAGCTTCTGCTGGACTCGCCTGAATTGTCAGTCAATTTTGAACCACGTTCTCCGATAGAAGAAGCAACTCTTTTTCGAATTTGGAACGTCAAGAAATATTTCTCAATAAAATATATGCTGCTTAAATTTGATATCGTTTCCTTTTATATCTATCCCATTTGAGAACATTTTAAATCCAATGGGCCGAATGAGCTAAACGTGACCATTCTCCACAAACCTTACAATTATCGGGGCTGAAATAAGTTTTCATCCAGTGAACATTCAGGATGGAATAATTCGTAGAATCTGACAGAAGTACATATTTTGTATGATCTACAAAATATTCGATAAACTTTAGAGATCGTCAAGAAGGAGTGAAACAAATGCACTATAAATAAAATCAACATGATCTGCTCACTGGTGAATTTCTCAGGAATGCATCAACGAATGATTTAAAATTGAGCCACTTCTACCAGAAAAAAACCTTATGATAAAAAATAGTAATTAATTGCATTTTTTATTGAAAAAACGTGTAGGATAAAATTTATAATTAGTATGAAGAAACTAAAATTGATGACTTGTATGCTAAAAACGAAATTTTAATGCTATCGCAATGAAAATACTAAGAACTTACCTGTAGTCGTGAATTCCACTTATGAGGCGGACATTCGAATGCGTTGTTTAGTAATCTTATTTTCTTTTGAGCTATGTGCCGACATTTCGTTATAACATACAATTCAATGATTCGTCAAAAAAAGGAGAACAGTCTATGAAATGGGAAATTAATCAATTTGGCTTTTATTTCTGAAGAAAATCTCCCCTTTGCTGTCCCCCTTGGTAATGACTTAGGCATTATAAATTTGGTTGAAGTGGCATGATTATTTTTAAAGAGACAACAATGTCTGTTTTGGATCAGCTTGAGCAGAGCAAATTGAATTCTATGCATGGAGTTTGAAAATTAACAATAGTTGCTTCGCAATATTTGTATTTTTCCACAGCGCATTCTCATCGACATGAAGTAGAGAGGAAAATAGAGAGGAAGTGGCATTGCTAGAACGTAGAAGCGAATTTCATATGAAGAAAAGTTATTAAAATTTGTGCTTAACGATCTGAATTAGACGAAAAATTAATTCGGACTAGTATAGGACCATAAAACTGCCCCGCAAATTATTGCGGGGCAGTAATTATTATTGTAATTATTGTATTCCGCAAATTATTGCCTTGCTACATGAGGCGTCATCACCGATAACCATTTCTTTAAGATATAAACGGAAAAATCTATGATCATCTCCCTATAAGTGAACTAGCATTTATTTAGCAAAGCAGCGTGTTTGTTTTCCCCAAATAAATTAGGACCAATATTCCCAACCTTCAAAATTTTACTATATAGGGCAACACGCTTGCAATGCAGAGGCTTAAGTGAAATTAACAAGGACTTTAAAGACTTGAGCAGTGAATGTTCTGTTTGTTAAACCAACCGGAAGCAGGAAAGTAAGCCTGGTCGCTGAGAACCTTACCGCGGTGCGTAAATATATTTCAATTCAGGTGCGGTTAGACGACCACAAAGTCACGCTCAGTCATGTTCAGCACAACAGACGCAATTGCGTTAGCTGGAGGCTCGAGTAGGCTGAAGAATTGCGTGTGTGCTGCAAAAAATAATCATAATCTATCGAGATATTTCCATGTCATGTGCGTTCTCACAGTTCCTATTCTACGTTTAACGACACTACTATTCTCATTATTCATTAATAAACCTGGAGCGTGAATCACCAGAGCAAGTATCAAGGTCGAACGTGGGATATGATTCGTTAATGCATATCATTTCATGACAGTTAGGAGAGGAAACTAAAACTGAAAACAACCTTTGCAAACACTTCCCATTAGCTACCCCCTCGCACAAGAGATACCATCAAATCACGCCATTTAGCGAGCATTAAAGATTAAATTCTTGTATGTGTGTGCGGTGCCACTAGGAAAGAGTGGAAAAGAACAAGAGGTGGCGCAGAGTGGCCAGAAAGAAGAAGGGGAAAAGGAAAGGACAGTAGAAGATGAAAAGGCGCATTGCGCATAATTGGGTTAGTTATCGGTTTTAGGGGTTTTGTTGGGGTTGGGGGGGGGGAACCCGTCAGGGCTTTGATTGGTTGTGCGGAGTTCTGTGGGCTTGATTGTGGTTCAGTATTTACTTATGATGTATTGATAATGCTGTACTTAATGGGCAATGTCTTGATGTGTGCTCAATATGTTGTGAGCTTCGCTCTCATGTTACGGTCATCAGCTTAATATTCTTGTTAGTTTACTCCATTCGTTGATGATATTGGCTATGATGATGATGACGAGCGGTGGAACGCTTAGGACTAGGGTTATCAGAACTGTGCCTTTATTTGCGTATGGGAAATGCTCGTCGTCGATGAATATGTCAGATGTGTTTTTGCGGCCAATAGGTATAATTTTGAATTTATATGTGTTGGTCTCTATTTTCCATTTCTTTTCGAATGCGTTGATTTGTTGTATTTGTTCTTGTAACGCACCCTGATTTTAAAATATGTTGCTCATTTGTCTTTAAATGACTAATAGTTTAAACTCACCAATGGGATATCACGTATATACATATAGTATAAGTATTAGTTTTGAATACTTTTGGATTGGTTGATTCTTCAAGTATAATGATAATCGTTTTCAAATGCATGCTTTTTTATTTTATAGATAGAAAGGGGTTGGACAAAATAAGGGAACGCCTGATGAATCTTCGAAATATATTTTAGCATGGTATAGGTCCACCTTATGCAGTAATTACGGCCTTAATTCACCGAGGTATTGATCCATATAAATTGTAAAATTATTGTTTCCAAAGGAATTTTACCCCATTATTCAGTTGAAACTCCCTCCATCGCTTTAAAGACGATGTGGCAGGAATAAACTTCTGACCTGCATCTCTAAAATCGACCATAAATGCTCGATAACATTCATGTCTGGTGATTGCGGTGGCCAATTGAGATGGCCACTCTAAGTGCTTTGAAGCATTTGTGCTTAAAAGCAAGGGTTTTCTAATTGTGGCTCTTTCATGGAATCAGATTGTGCAGCTTTCGGCTGGCAGTCTTTATAGAAACTGGGTTCTTTAGGTGTCCATTGAGGTCTGCAGTAATTTTAACAGCCGTGGTTTTTCGATTGTCACTCTCCATTAGATTTAGGTACCGACGGGCTTTTTCAGACAACTTCGACTTGGGCAGGACCTGTGCTTTGCTGAAAACTTTTTCCTTCTCTTTCAAAAACAGTCATTACTTCTGAGGCAGTACCTCTAGCAACGTCGAGCATTCGGGAAGTTTCTGTCACACTAGCACCTGCCATGCGAGCCTCTTCAAAAGTCAATTTGGCCTCTTTGAAAGTGATAGAGGTTTATATTCTTTAGGTTATACGTTAGGTTATAGACATAACAATTCACTAAAAATATCTGTGCATGGATGAAATATCAATTAGCGGCAACAATAATAATTAAAACATATAAATATGTCACGTTTTCATTGTTTATAACATGTTCAAAAATTACGATATCAAAATGTCAAGCGTTTCCCTTATGTTGTCCAACCCCTGTAGTTGTGCGCATTGCGTATCAGAGTACGTCGGTTTAGCGTCAACTTTTAACTTTTAATCTGGAAAGGCTGAGCATACAGGGAGTAGTAATCGTGCGCGTCCAACTCCTTCCGCTGTATGAATTCACACCGTCAATTTATCCATAAATTTTATCTTCTGTTCCTTGCTTTCGGCCAGCAATTAGAATAGCAATACGGCCAGCAATTAGAATAGCAATAGAAGTTTAATTTGCTTTAAACATAAGCGTGGTATGAAAACTTCCTATAGCTCTTATCCTCTTGAAATTTTAGATGGACTGGCTCGTCAGCGTGTGATTATTTTCCACTGTCATGTTTTTAGTTTGTAAATTTATGATTCGATATCTGATCTATAAATTTTCGCAAGGCAAATTGATCAAATGCATTTTTGAAATTACGATGGAGCTGTACTCCAACAATTTGTTGCAGAAGAAATGTCTAATTTTTGCAACATTATGTTTGCTTCTACATATTAAATTAGGAATTATCTTTGTTTTTTGACTGGTGTGAGGAGTCGATATTTTCATCGGATTGATTAACTTCAATACACCGATGAACTTAAATAGTAGATAAATAATCAAAATGAAATATTTCTAAGGTAATTAGTTAGGGTCATTATCGCTCGTGATTTCCAAAGAATTGCGCTACCAAGAAAGCAGCCGTATGTGTTCCCACGTCTGTATTCATAATCTCAGAATACTCTAATAATACGCCATTTTATTTATTTGGACCTTCGAACAGATGATTAGTTTTGCCCTCCATGGATAAAAGGAGATTATTTCCCAATATTGAACATTTATTTTCGACTCTTCCCTCCAACATGAAGACGTTCGCTGGGTTGTCGCTTGCATTTGTGGCGGTCTTATCCGTAGTTTCAAACGGGAACTGCGAAGGTAAAAGCAATTGAGGCGTTGAATATGTTTCGAGTGTTGAATATATTACGTACAAAACTAAAGTTCGATTCATACATTTTTAATTCATCGAAACGCTAAACAATAATTGCCGTTCTTTTTGTAATTTATTATTGTATCGATGAAACAATAACTGTCTTAATGTTATTTTTATGAAAAATCGCCAAATTTTGTGATTAATATATTATTGATTATATATTATTGTTGTATCTGGAAACAAATGAATATTATTCAACCCCAAATTCAGGTTATCATCTTATCATCGTCGAATAGTTAATTCAGCAATTGATTTAATTGATCAAACGTTTGAATTTGATATCTGGTAACAATATTCTATATAATGAATATTTTTATGGGCTGTATGCCTATCTGTTTGGGTCATGGGTCTGTAAATGTAGGTGCTAATATAGCGAGTATACTCAAATCTTTACGCGTCGGAATATTACTAGGATCCAATATTTTTTTTACATCATTAGTGAGGATATAGTAAGTACTGCGAAGAACAGGGTTGTAAGATTTCGGGAAATCAAGTAGACGCCTTTTAAACTAAAGTTCTGAAAAAGATAAAAAGTTTACATTTTCGTTTCTTTCCACAATTGAAGATAAATATTAGTTCAACGGTAAACGTAAACTTAAGATGAGCTCTTTTAATAATTATAATTTGAATTTATGGTTATTAATGGGATGTTGAGTGAGGCATTTCTGAGTGAAGGGATTCAGGATGATGCAATACGGGATGACGGGTTTCTAGGAGGCAGAGATTCTTGATGATGGATTGCCGGGATTCAGGGTAACGTATTCTCAGAACTCACGGATTAGCAATCCCGAGCACTGATGATTTAGGCTGCTGGATTCCGTTTTAAATGTTTAGTCTAATGTCAGATTTATATTTATTTCTGTTTCAAATTTTGAAAAAATGTGTTGCCAGAACTATTATTATTTGATGTTGATCCTTGCTAGCAGCTGTATAAATCGAATTTCGAGCAAACGATGGTGGACTGAAGCGATAGGATTGTTTTAGTGAGTTCTACGCGCGTTAAAATCGTTGTAATTATTTTTATTTGAATAAAAATTGTATTAGATACAGAGAAATGATTTCCAGATTATTTCTGCAATTCAATATATTTATGTATATATATTTAGTTTTTCCCATTCGAGACAATTTTTCTTCTCAATGTACAGGAACTGAGCGAGCAACGAATTATCGCTACTTTCATGGATACGCGGAGAGCAATCAGGGAGGTGTCAATTACGACTTCCTCACGTACTCCCCAGACCTGAGTCTGGTCAACATGGACAATGCCATCAAAAGTGCATGTCAAATAGGATTGTGAGTATTTAAAATTACGTACTGAGTTAATAGTTAGTGGTGTGGACAGATTAGTAAATATATTTATTGAATAACCTTTCAATAATAGACCATTTCTCAAAACAGGTGGATTTTGTATGATAACATCGAATATAACCACTACACGTCTGGCACGGTATGCTACGGGCTCGCTGTCGATACATGTTTTGAACTGCCTTCATTGTGCTCAGCTCAGGTACGAAAATTTAAAGATTAGCATTTTATTATTATTTAATTTGTCTAAATTTCAGTACGCGTCTGGAATTCAAGCTTTAGTTGTTGATTTGCATGAAGGCAAATTATTATCGCTTCTTCTTGACTTGTTTGCGTTTCTGACGGCTATTGACCTGCGCTTTCGAAATTCTAATGTATATGTCTTTATCTTACACACGTTATTGGTTAGGTACGATCAGCAAAGAACTTTAAGCGCTAATTTAATTTACCTTATATAACTGATTTGATAAACACTAATAATGGAGTTCATATGAGGTACTGCAATTATAAATAGTACCTTGCAGGACAAACTATGCTTCAGATTCCGGGCAGAAATAGTTGATATTTGTTCGTTAAATTGCTTTGAAGATCAATAATTATAATCAGATCGGTAAAGATTATCGTTATTTGAAGCCCACACAAATTATTGATAGGCATCACCCAAAAAATTCTGTATGAGACCATATGAGCTCGTGGCTTTCAAATGAGTGGTAGAATGAATCTGTGAGAAATATTGAACGAAGTTTTTTTTTAATTTTTATGACTAATAATTTGTGGTTAGATAAACCATGCGTAGTAAGATCTATCTCTCTACAATAAATGAAGATTGGCATAAAGTCTAACATTATAACACATAAATAAAAAAACTCGGTGTTTGTTTGCCTTTGAAATAACACCAGCTCCTGGACCAAGGAGATTTCCTTGCTTAAGAAAATGGTTCAAATAAGAAAAGCAAAAACTCTAGAAGTGAAATTAGAAAAGCAGTGACACTGAAAAAATAGGCCCATGGCCGGCTGCCGACTCATGTACTTTTCGTAACGGGAGCGCAGCCGTGGGTAACAAAATTGACTCGTAAACAGGCCCTGGGCCTAACGCCAACCATCAGCATGCAATATATACACATAGCCTCAGATCAATGAGCTGTGGGTAACTCCGGCTAACAGTAAATCCGCTTTGCACAACACAGCCACTGCTTCACAGCGCCGGAGCACAACTGGCCGGAGCGCAACAGGCCCTACATCTGTGCGGCGCAGGTTAGGTTAGGTTACGTTAGGAGTAGCTGTTGCGGTAGGGCCTTTTGCGCCCCGGCCAGTTGTGCTCCGGCCTGTATGCGCTCCGGCCTGTGACTGAACGGCGCTACTGTGGTGGGCGCTTTGTGTCAAAAGCCGTGAAGATGCCCGGCTGCGTTACGCTCGGGAAGGTATAAGAATCGCACTGTGGACTTGGGCTATGCTGACCTCTAGCTATCCACCCTTCGTAACTTGATTCCACAAGGGATCCGGCCTTTGGAACCCGATCTTCCCATAACTTTCCATAAATTGGTTCAATGTAGAAGAAACCAAGCTCATTAATTATAGTTCTCCTTTCCAGCTGAAATGAGAATCATTGCTCTAATTCAACACTTAATTAATTTGTAGATTTAATAAACGTGCATTGAATTTGTAACAAAGGCTGACCTTGCGACGCCGCAAAGCATCGCAGAAGAATACAATTGAAAATAATATTAAATTTTGAATTGCCACAACCATATGAACTCGAATAAATTCTGATGAAGGCCACTTATTATGAAAAACCTTTATTTTTATTTCAATCCATAAATATGTAACCAGTTTTCATCTGTATTTTCTCTCAGACATCTTCTCTCCGGTTCGCTGGGAGTCCCTACGGGCTTAACGAACCCTATTTCAATCTTTATGAAGGCAAAGATTTCCAGGGAATAGAATTTAGAGGCAACCACACTACGTCGTCGGTCGCCTTCCTGGACATGGACGTGTCTTCACTGATCATCACTGGCGTCGATGGCTGGACTCTCTTTACGTAAGTCTTCCCTC